TGTGCTCGATGTACCGTGTAAGATGAACGTAGCCGCCGCGTGAATCTCTGCCATGGTGTATGGGTCGTCGGCGTAGTGGTCGGGGTGCTTGAGATGCAGTCGGGTCTCGAGCCGTGTGAGCAACGCTGGCTGGAAACCTCGAAGAAAAGCGCGACTTTGTTCGATAGTGGAGAGCCGGTGCTGTGCGATGAGATGTTTTGTAATGGCCATGAAGTCGCGGTAGTAGCAGCCTAGGTCTGCCGCGTTGTGAATCCCGATACGAGCGCGTTCTCCGATGAGCTGATCCATGTCCGCCAGCGACCACTTTCTTGTATCGTCGGCGCCAGGATAGAGTGCTCGTACGTCGGCTTTCCAGTCGTTGTAGCTCTTGGCTACGTCGATGAAGGACTCGATGGTTTCCCACAAGTCGGCGACGTCGATCGAAGGATACCGAATGGCCCACTGTTTCTTGGCTGCTTCGTCGGTGATCTGACACCGGGTGAACAATGCTTCGAGGTCCTGGAAGTAACGCCGAAGCGAACGGACTTCTGATGGGTCGAAGCTCGGTGCTGTCGAATGACCGCGCGGGGGCATCAATGGTGTATTCGTGTTCTGACTCATGTTTGTAGTGGTAGTAGGAGCTGGACTCGAAGAGGACGAGGTAGTAGTTGAAGGAATCGTAGGTGCGGGCGGTGCGAGGTTGGAGTTCGAAACTGCGTTCGAAGGTGCTAATGGTGGCGGAGGTGCCAGGTCGGATGTAGGTATGACTGAAAGTCGCGAAGAGGATGCGATGGGCGGCTGAGCGTGGACGCGAAAAGAAGATGGAGTCGGAAGTACGAGATTCGAAGTAGATGGGATAGGATACTCGGGTTCGGGCGAAGAACTGGATCGTTCGAAAAGATCAGGAGTCGAAATGTCGTAGTCGGAAGTAGTGAGGCCTAGAAGCTCGGGGGACGACGTGCGTTCTTCGGCGGTCGAAGGGATCGGTTCTTCGTCGAAGTCGTCCTGGAGTTCTTGGTCTATCTCGTCTTCTTCGTCGCGGTCGAAGTTACCGGGAATTGTCGGAGAGGGAGTTGAGTGCGTTCGAGAGGAGCTGTCGAGGTTCTCGGCGGCGCTGCGACTAGCAGCCTCACGCGCTTGCGAGCGGGTGAGTACTGGAGACGTTTTCGGAAACCCGAAAGCGGCGAATTCTTGCCTGAAATCCCCTCGCGGTGGGCTCCAGAAATGATACGACCTACGAAACCCTAACCCCTAACCTGGGTGCGACCTAAAGGGACTAGAGAGACGGATTATAGTCTAGTGAGAGGGGAGTTAGCAGCAAGGTGTCCCGCGTTTCGAGTGAACACGAGAAACGTCCTTGGAAAAGGCTACGAACACTAGGGAAGGTACGAGGTGGCTTCGACACGTCGTCGAAGCTACTCGGAGGCTGTGGAAAGTTAGCGATGATCGAAGCTCGGCAGAGCTCTTCGATGTATCGTAGAAGGAAAGGACACGATTCGATAGGGGGGACTTAACTAGGACGCGGTTCATAGTTTCTCCGACGATAGTCGAAGTCGAAGGGTTCGTCGAGACGGTATCAACGAGTAAACGCAGTGGACGAGGTTTCGAAGTTACGCAGCGAGGGACGAAGTGACGCAGTTGAAAGCTTAGACGCGGGGCGAACTCGACTTATGAGCTCTGAACTCGAGGGGGGAACCGGATCTTGTGTTTTTTAGAGAGAAGTACGACAGATTTTATACTACACAGGACGCTACGACTATCGAAAGTGGCACACTGGTACAAGGGGCTTTGCATTGTTCCTCAAGAAGCTGCCTCACCGAGGGGCACGCATCAAGTCCATCGGTAGAGTGACGTCATGCCGAACGCGGAGATGAAGAGCAACATATGGCCACTTCGGACCGGTATCCGTCGTCGAAGGCATGCCGTGAGGTTCGATACCTAATCGGGAAAGACCGGCTACGTCGGTGTGGCTTGGGGCGATGCGCGCGCTTGGCCGAGCGGCGTTAAGTGGCCCTATTGTTCGCCGAATGCGGAAGATGTTCCGAGATCTACGCGCAAGGCATCGGGACGACCGTGCCGAGCTTCGAGTAAGCGTCGCGCACCGTCGAAGGTGTCGAAGAGCGTCGAAGGCGAAATCGAACTGTTGGGAGACTGAGTCGAAGTGCCGGGCGGGATGCGAGTGCCGAAAAGAGGTGTATCGGGGCCCAGAGGGGTTTGGCGCCTATCATCGTGTTTAGTAAAGAAAGAAACGTAGTGGCACGATACCGGGTACGAAGTGCGCACGGACCCATTATGTAAGCTACATAATGTTCAACCTGCGGGTGAGCGCTAAGACAGGCACCAGTATGGGCGCTAGTAATACAAGGAATAGAACGGAAAGACAAATGTTTCAGGTTACTCAACTGCGGATGACTCATGGGAGCCTGAAGCGAACCTGACAGGGACTGCGGACGAAGTGCTAACAGAGTATAAGAAGAGGAAGAACTTGAGCTGAGTCGACAGCAGCTCAACCCAGTCGCTACACCCCTACTCGTACCAACATGTCCTCCACCCTTTTGTTCCTCGACCAGTTCAATGCCCCCTCAACCGAGGGCGGAAAGAGGATTTCAATCTACACCCCTAAGCACACCCATGTCGGCGACAGCACTTTGCTGATGCTACTTCTCAGTAATCCCACCGATGTCTTCAATAAACTCAAGACCCATCACCCCGAGGCAACCAATGCCACTGACTGCGCTGCACTAGAAGTGTATCTCTCTACCCGCCGCGAATACGACGAGGCTGTCAAGGCAGCCGACGAGGCCATCGACCACCACAAGCGGCTCCTACGTCAACAGGATGACCGTGTCCTCACCGAGCTCATTCGACTCGACAATCTGAAAGTTGCCCATCGCTTTCAACCGCTCCTACCGCGCAGCATCCAGGCACAACACAACAAATTCATCCCACGTGCCATCCCCAATGCATACCTACCCCTACCCGCACCCCTACCGACGTCTACCTTCAGGCACCCCCCGATCTCGTCCCCTTTTCTCCAAGCAACGCCGCAGAGCACTACCATCCCGGCCGACTGGCAACCCAACCCTGGTTGGACCCCAAAGGGAAGCTGTAGGCGATGCAGATCGTCTCGACACTGGGTACGAGACTGTCCGGACATACGATGCACAAGATGCGGAAAAGAAGCCCCTGGACACCTGGAGCGAGAGTGCGGAACCAGGCCGATGAAGCGACATGTATCCACACCACCTGAAGAACCTGCGCGATGCGTGGGGGTGGTCGTCAACAACGTGTTCCTCGAGGGAATCATCAACGAGGCAAAGGAGAGGAAGGAAAGAGAGAGGCAGACGAAGGTGGTACCCATCCCCCCACCGTGCAGCGCTAACCCCGAACCCCAGGCTAGTCCCATCGCGGGATCCTCACACCCCCGCCCCGATACACCCGTCGTCTTTCGCAAAGTTGACCCCGATTGGACACCCGACACTACTCCATGGACGTGGGACAGCTCCTGGCCGCGTCAGAAGCACCTCTCTGGCGAGGAATGGAAGAATGTGGGAAGGAACGTGCACAATGAATGGTTCAATAAAGAGGAGGACGATGGCATAGACTGGGAGTTGTACGGAGATGGTGAGCAGTAAGTAGTCGAATGGGACTTCGACTCTGGCAGGGGGGTAATGAAACATTTATCTTTCTGTTCTATTTCTTGTACTACTAGCGCCCATACTGGCGCCCGTCTTAGCGCTCACCCGCAGGTTGAACATTATGTAGCTTACATAATGGGGTCCATGCGCACTTTGTGCCTGGTATCGTACCACTATGTTTCTTTCTTTACTAACACGACCACACAGATACAGTAGTCCGTGCGTAGCCGGTACTTGTATAACTAGTTGTACCATTAGTCGGTCGAACCCTAAGTTCAACCTAGTTATTCATTCAAGTCTCTGCTCCTCTTCGCTTGGGGTAGTGGTCATTCTCAACTTCCTCGCTCAATCTTCAGGATGACGCACTGTCCATAAGCCCTCGCTCGTCGCCTACGAGTCAGGCATCAATATAGGAGTGTAGACCATTGTATCAGATAGCATGGCAACTAAGAGGTGAGATACTCAAGAGCAAGTACACAAACTCATGCTGTGGTGGAGGAGAACATGCTAAGGCTGAAGGTGCATCGATGATGATACAACGGTCTGTACTCCTATATTGATGCCTGACTCGTAGGCGACGAGCGAGGGCTTATGGACAGTGCGTCATCCTGAAGATTGAGCGAGGAAGTTGAGAATGACCACTACCCCAAGCGAAGAGGAGCAGAGACTTGAATGAATAACTAGGTTGAACTTAGGGTTCGACCGACTAATGGTACAACTAGTTATACAAGTACCGGCTACGCACGGACTACTGTATCTGTGTGGTCGTGTTAGTAAAGAAAGAAACATAGTGGTACGATACCAGGCACAAAGTGCGCATGGACCCCATTATGTAAGCTACATAATGTTCAACCTGCGGGTGAGCGCTAAGACGGGCGCCAGTATGGGCGCTAGTAGTACAAGAAATAGAACAGAAAGATAAATGTTTCAGACGAGAGGATTCTGCTAAGAAACATTAGCGGATACATTCCTTCTCTCTTTTTTCTTTTCTTTTCTTTCTCTTGATGCATTTCCATAACTGTTATTGAACAAAAAGTGAAAAGTACGTACAAACATTTCTGTAAGAGTGAGCGCGCGAACATAGTCCTACGCCTGTAGCATACAGACGTAAACCTCAGTATGGTGCGCGAGTGGGTGCATGCAAGACTGAGGGTGCAGGTCGCAAAACATACAGTATATGTAACTAAGGCATAAGGTACTGGCACGTATCATAGGGGACGGCGGCAGAACAGGAACACGAGTGTTCTGTTATACGAAAGGCAGCATGCGTGCCAAGCAAAATGTGGCATGGCACACAGATCAGGAAGAAACAAACGGAAAACATACAGGTATTCTAGACAATGCTGGATTGGAGTTCCAACAATTTCCTCTCAACTTTGGGGCTTGCGAAGACAGTGTGGTGTTGGAACAAGGGTGCGAACAGCACGGGGTGCGTTTGTCCACGGGCGTAGCGATGCCCATAAGGGACAATCGCGTGCAGTACATACATCGCACGCAGTTGTTATATACTACGATAGGGGCCTCCGGCCCCCGGCTACTCGCGCGCCCGAGCTTTCGAGCTCGTTCCTGACCACGCGGGTCGGCGTGTTTCAACACATGGATGGGGAGATGATGTGGGACAGCTGCTGATGAATACACGGAGACTGAAGTATCTCCCTATGACGGAGATCGAAGTGTCTCCGGCATGGGGAGATATCTCCGGCGTCTAAGAGATATTTCTCTGAGGGGGCACTTAGCTCCCTGAACGGAAATTCTATCACGTGCAGTGCGAGAGAAATACCCAAGTCACGTGCACTTGCTGCTTTGGGTGGTGACCAAGATTTTGTCTCGTATAGTATCGGGGAGTTTCATTATGGCCAGTTTTCGGCCTCTAATGGAAATATATTTATCATGGCCAGCGCCGGAAAAGGCAGGAGGGTGCAGGAAAGTATGTAAAAAGCGAGTTTCTAACCCTAATCTGAGTTAGCCTGATTTGGCAGCAACTCAGATTAGATAACGAGAAAGGACCGGACTTTACTGAAAGCCGATGAAGAGATCGGGCGATGGTGATCCAGTCATGTGATCGCCCAAAGGGGACACAAATAATTTGAAGCAAGCGCCCCGCGGTGGAAAATTGATGGAGGTGTCTCCACATGCCGGAGATATCTCCCCATGCCGGAGACACTTCGATCTCCGTCATAGGGAGATACTTCAGTCTCCGTGTATTCATCAGCGGCTGTCCCGATGATGTGGTCACTGTAGGTCGAGGAAGCCAGTGTCACCACGCTCCTGAGGGCAGCAGGACGCATATGTAAATATGGTGCGACGGAGGCATCATCTTCAAAAGGCTGAGACATTGGCAGCTGCGGATTCGAACTTGAAGTGTCAGGCCTAGCTTGCTTGTGCCCGGGAAAGGGCTCCCATCCTGTTTCGGATAGTGGCTTGCTAGATTTGGACATGTGTTGATTGATCGGACAAGTTGAAGCTCTGTCTCTCGTGTATGTCATTTCTCTTCTCTCAAACTGGTCATGACATCATTTGTCCTGTCTCCTCTGTACATATATAAACTCGGGTTCAATGTCCTGTAATCTCATCTTCCCCCTCTTCCTCGAACTATGAGCATCGCCCTTAGAAACTCATCAACAACTTTGTCAAAGAGGATTTGTTTGTTCAAGTTTGGTTGTTCTCTAGTCTATCATTTGGTGTCAACACGCATATAGTCAGATCAACATGGCCTTTTACTCTTTTATATCATCATAGCTAGTCGACAAGTCACTTGTACCCTTCGACCATCTCTGGACGATGCTGCCATCATCCCTCCCACAACAGGACCCCGGAGAACCCCCTCAGAGCTCCGATCCCGAAATCCCCGAAAAGGGGGCCTCTGGAGCGAAAATGTTACATCTCAAACCCCCGAAATGGGGCCCGAACGGTGCTCAGGTTACATCCCAAAACCCCCGAAACCACCATCCGAGGCTGTCCAGCCAGGTCCAGCCAGCCAGTGATATGCCCTTCGGGCAAACATTGGTGGCTGCTGCCAGTGGACGCCGACATGTGTTAGTGTGCGCATGTGCCGACGCTCATCTCACTTGGATGCGCCTGGCAGCTGCGTTGCTTCATTGGCATCTATTGTCAGCCAATGATGCGCTTCTGCAGCGCTGCCAGCAGTTACATGGGATCTCGGTTGGCGTGGTTGGCAAACTGACGGACCGCTGCGAGATGCAAACAGGCTCTTGCAGAGCTTGATAAAAGCAGCAAGGACACTGTTGACCCGGGTGCTTCAAAAAGTCAAGAGAAATGTGATAGTTAGTACTTTTGAACCTATGTATGGCCTCGTAACAGGAATACAATGGTGTGCGCAATTTGTTTGCAATTTCGCCCTTTTCTTTGCAATTTTTAGATGTTAGATCCCATTTACCCCCGAAATTGACCGGAACAAGGTGAGGTTACATGCATTTCCCCCGAAATCGACCATGAGCCGACCCCCGAAAAGGGGTCTGCGCGGGATCGGAGCTCTGAGGGGATTATCAGGGGTCCTCCCACAACCCGCGCCGCACGGCAGGTGCGATCAGAATATTGGTCCTCCGCCGCTTCCTTGCACTCATATTTAGAGCGCCGCCCCATAAAACCGACCTCACGGTAAGGCGACGCGTTGGAAACTAGACTACTGGGACATACAGCCTAGTCTGGCCTACGTGCATTTCCCCCACTTGCGAGTGAAAACAAGACACAAATCTGCGCTATCGTCCTCGAGAAGAAAATAAAAACAAGTGATTCTGCCCGGGCTCGAACCGGGAACCTTCAGCGCCCACGTAATGTGAAGCAGACGTCATAACCATTAGACCACAGAACCATATTTGGTAATTACGTTTGCGCTATTCACCTCTCACCCACTGAATCCGCTTAACTTCTTCACAAACTCACTGAACTCTCTTCAGCTGCGCCACATGGCTGCCGTGCTAACACTGACTTTGCCAACATGATATTAGGCGGTATGAAAGGGTCTTTTCTTCGCCCGGTCCATCCACTATCCCAAGGACCGATGCCTGTTTCATTGGCACGTAGATCGCTCACAAGCTCTGCTACCCCCAATCCTATCCTCGCCACCTTCATGCGCGGCGGGACGTCGAAGGGCATCTACCTCAACCGCGTACACCTTCCCGCCGACACGGCAGCATGGGACCCCATCTTCCTCGGTATGATGGGCTCCCCAGACCCCAAGTACGGCCGCCAACTGAATGGCATGGGCGGCGGCATCTCGAGTCTCTCCAAGGTCTGTGTCGTCGGCTCGCCCACTGACGAGCAGCGTGCCGCGGGCATCGACGTCGCGTACACTTTCGCGCAGGTCGGCATCCGCGACGAAATCGTCGACTACTCCGGCAACTGCGGCAACCTCTCCAGCATGATCGGCGTCTTCGCACTCGACGAGGGGCTGGTGGCCGCGCCTCGCGTGTGCGATGCAGACGTGAACGCACACGCGCCAACGGTGACCGTCAGCGCGTTCAACACGAACACGCAGAAGCGCATCGACACGACCTTCCCCGTGTCGCTTGCCAGCGGTCAGCCGATCGCCGTGCTCGACCTCGAGCAGGAAGCTATGGCGGGCGTGCACGGCCGCGCATCGCGGGTCGTCCTGGACTTCGTGTCCCCCGGGGGCGCACGCACGGGCAAGCTCTTGCCTTCTGGCCAGCCCACGGACGCGCTCCCGTTTGTCTCTGCAGACGGCGTTAGAGCGGACGTTCCCGCGTCGCTTGTGGACGCGACGAACCCCACCGTCTTCGTCCCCCTCGAAGGACTGCGTGGCGTGCTGCAGCACTCAGAGAGTGTGGACTTCACAAGTGTGCCCGTCGAGCTCGCCGTCGAGCAACTCCGACGCGCCGGTGCAGAGCGCATGGGACTCGACCCAGAGACGCAAGCACAGCCTAAGATCGCGGTCGTGAGCGAACCCGCGCCGGACGATATGGAGGCGGACATCGTCGTACACGCATATTCGATGGGGGTTCTGCACAAGGCTGTCCCAATGACTGTTGGTCTATGTCTGGGCGTCGCTGCTGGCAAGGAAGGAACGATCCCGTGGAAGATCGCCCGCGCCAGGATGGGTGCAGTGTCTCTCCCTCATGACGGAGAGCACATGGTGCGTATTCGGCATCCTGGCGGTATTGTCATCGTCGGCTCTGCCGCCAAAGACGGAGAGGTGACAAGTGCGAAGGTCATCAGGACCGGTCGCAGACTAATGAAGGGCGTCGTTTGGTGGTGACGCTTTCATGGCTGTTGATTTATTTTGCGTATTTTCTTCATCACACTGTATATTAAGCAACAAACATCTGCATAACGGACACTTGTGTCACAGCATTGGTACAGCATAAAGAGCAACAGGAGGCGCATACGCACAGCAACAAAATACAACAATTCCGCGAGAATAAAGCATGACGACATACTAACTGCACTACGAGTAGATATGGGGACGATCCTGACTGATCCTAGTACAACTGAGAAGCAGATCAGTTGGCGAAAAATAGGAGAGCTCGTTACGAGAGCGCCGCTTTAATGTCATCCAAGGTAGGGAGAGGGGGCACATTGAAGACCGCCAGGCCCTTCAAAAATTTGTTCCAGTTGTCTTCGTGATCTCGTCGCTCTCGCACTTCAGCGACTTGCGCGTCAATGGGACGGTGCAGACGCACAGCGAACACACAGTCAGAGTGGTCGCGGAGCTGGTAGACCCGCAGAGTGTTCTTGCCCACCGCCACGGAGCGGCTAAGGTCCACGAAGCTCTGGGACTTTGGCTGCACAGGGCCCGTGAGAATGAGGGCGGTAGCACAGGACGCCGTAGAGAACTCACCATGAACGGCGGAGAGAGCATCACGTTATGTTCCCCAGCCGCGTTTTGCAACTGCGCCCAGAGCCGTCCGTCCCTGGGCCAGCTTGTAGGGACATCGATCGTGAGGGTCTCGAGACTCACGCCCGGTTCCTCGGTCCTCTTTACGCACTCGTCGAACGAGTAACATCCGAACGAAAGGCATCTGCTCGAGGTCACATCACTAGAACGCGTACTTTGGTCAGAGATTCGTCGTGCACGGCAAAGTGCTTACTCTCTCGTTTCATACCGGGTTATCCACTTCGATACGAGAGCATGCTGTTCGGGACTGACGTCGAACTCGAAGAGAACGTGGTTATCAGAAGTGCCCCGCGCGCAGCCGAAGACAACAACATTCGGAATGGCAGTTGAGATGGACGGCGGGGCTTCCGGGACGGTAGCAGTCTGTTGGATCGGGATATCCGCAGGCTCGGTGCCGATGATGGCTTTGTCCGTGGATGACACCGCGGTAATCTCCTGCGTCCGATGGACAGGTGTAATTTGGCCTTCCTCAATTGTGGAAGCAGAATCGCTCGCAGGAGCGGACATGGTAACTTCGCCTTGTTCGAGAGATGAGGTGAGAAGAGACGGGGAGCGTCCCGCAGTCTCCTCAATACCGGGCGCCATTGATGCCACGCGCTCCGCCTCTTGCGGTGGTCGCTCGTCGTCGGCCACCATGCGGCCTACAGCCTCATCAACAGGTGACGCTGGCCTCACGACCTTATCTTCTGCGTGGAGAATGGGTGGACTCTGGTCCTCGCGGTCCGGCTGCGAGGGCACTTCGTTCCCTGAGCCGGATGAAGCAGGGATAATCGAGTCGGCGTTCGGGTCCTGAAGATCATGTCCTTGGCAGATCGTGGCAGGATCTAACTCAGTCCGTAATTCCTGAACGAGATCACGATCTGCGTCCGCAGCAAGTATCGAGATAGCTTCAGATTCATTAAGAGGCGATGCATCGATAGTTGTCTCATCTGCAACCTTGGGTTTAGCAGGAAGGTCAGAATCAGGGGGAGCTGAAGCATCCCGCGCAAAGTTGTCACTGATCGACGCAGTCAGCTCCCTCGCATCGAGAAGAGATGGCGACATTGTCCGCCGCCTTCTAGGCGACCTCGATATATGCTCTCCGGGAGAATGTGAGCGTTTACGTGGTTTCAGCGGCGTGTCGGGTGGTTGTTCGCCGTCCGTGAGTGGGGTGGAGTCGGTCATAACACCCTCTGAATCATGTAGAGCGTTATCCTGTACGACGTCAAATTGCAATACTCGAAACGTTGATCTGGTACGATGACTTACTTCGGGTGCGATACCGTGTTTAGTCGACGGCAGGATATCTTCGGTAACTACGCCTGCAGCAGACATATTATAATCGGTAAGCGATGCACCGGTCCCCGACAGCGCATCGTCTAGCACATTCTCTGCAGATACTTGTGATGTCTCCATACGACTTTCAACTTCAACGTTTGTGTTCTGAGTAGCGAGGATAGTCTCGGGAGAATCGTCGGTTTCAATGGACATGTACTGTTCATCAGGGGTGGTCTCGCTCTCGCTGAGCATTTTTTCTACGAATGGTTCGTCTTCCCCTGCAGCAGCAGTTACGTCCGACGTCTCGACTCCCATGCCGTGGTCGGCCGGCGTCGTCAAGCGATCTTCAGCAGGGTCTCCTTCAATCGACTGGCCAATAGCTACAGCCGAGTCGTGGAAATCGCCACTCTCCGGCTCGTCCTGTACCTCAACATCCTGTGTGATCAGAGCATCGTCGGTGACATCGACAGCCATAGACTGTTCGTGTTCCTCTTGATCTTCACCGTCTTGCGTCGCCACAGACAAGTCAAAGTCATCCAAGTCAGAAGGTCCCTGCACGTCCACCGCACCTGCCTCTTTTTCCTGTGGCGGTAAAATCATCGAGGACTCGACAGGAGCGGTAGCCGAGGGCTGGTCGATTATTGCTGATACGTCGCGCATCTCGACGTCTAGAGGCTCGTCTTCACGCGACGTGGCTTGAAGAGGTGTTGGTTGGACTTCAGGCGTCTGTCGCAGTAAAAGCGCCGGAGACACGCTTGCGCTTACCTCCGCCACAGACGCGTTTTGACCGTCCGCTTTGCTTTGCGACCGTGCGGATAGCCCACTAGTCGGCGGTTCCGCATCGACCTTAATTGGTAGGATGCGCAGCCCCGGAGGACCCTTGCCCGCCCGCGTCCCCTTCTTCCTCCGCACACTTGAGAGAGGCGAGGGCAGCGGCGGCACGGGCGCGGATATGGAGGACATGCGTCGGGGTGTCTCCGGAGGCGTTTCGGAGCGGATACCCATAACGGTGTCGGGCATGGGGACGGGGTCTGCATTCTCGCTCGTATTCTCTACCTTCACTACAGCGGACGACGAACGGCTCGGCCCAGGGATCGATTCCAGAGCAGGCTCAGTGGTGACAACAAGCGTGGCGAACTCAGCGGCAGGAGCCACTTCAAGCGACTCAACTATAGGTGCTGTCTCAGTCTCTTTTTTCATCAATACCACGTCGCGCGCTGGCTCTGATGCTCGCGAGGATACCTCGCGAGCAGCAGGTTCAGCACTGACGGAACCAGGGTTCTGCTCAGCAATAGTGGGCGTCGACGGCATGGTAGACACGAGCACCGGACTTCGCTCAGCGCTTTGCTGTTTCGAGTGCTCATACCATGCAAGGTCTGCGAGGATGAAGTCGTCTTGTATCGCCGATCGTTTTTTCGCTTTCTTCGCCTTCTTGGTGGGCAGCGGCCCAGGAGGTGCAGACGCGGACGTAGACATGGATGACGGCCCTGCTATTGGTGGCGTAATCGATGGACCCATTGGGCGCGACGATGTAGTCGTCGGACCAGCTACGGACGATTGTCCCGCTGGGGGTGACCGTCCTGCTGGGTTCGACGAGACGGACACGGGTTGTAGGGTTGCGATTGTCGGCGAGGCGGTCTTGGGTGACGCGCTCGAGTACGAAGGCGGAAGTACGTTTGCCGAGGACAATCGCTGGACAGGCATTCTGACGGACACCGGGATACTTGGAGTGACAGGCGGAGAACTAGACAGAGGAGGAGATACGAGTGGCGCGATGCCCATCTGCGAAGGCGGCCGTGGAAGTGTCTCGGACAAGGATGCGCGTGGAACGGGACGACCGCGCACTTCTGTGCGCTCGTTGCTCATCGGTGGCGTAGCCGTGTACACCCGCTCAGGGATGGGCCTGGCTTCCTGCACATTCAGTGGCATTGGAAACGTATACGAGCGTTCTGGCATCCTCGGGACGCGTGGAGCGGGCAGGCTGGGCGACACCGATGTAGATTGCGGCGTCCATGTTCTTGGGGACACCGGGGCAGCGTTTGCCACATTCGCGATGCCTGGATGGACAGCTGGAGCGTTTTGCACTGGCGAGCGCATGTGCACATGAGCTGTATGAGCAGGATTATGTACTGACGCTTGCATGGACGGTCTAGGGACTGTTGGGCTTTGACTCTGCGACGTGAGCGCACTAAACATTACTGGTGTGAGCTGTCCGGAAATCGGAGGGCTCCGCGATGCTTGACGCGGAGAGACCGGGTCAATTGTCTGCAATAACGCGTACAGCCGCGCTGGGAATGAGGTATGTAATGAAGATGCACCGAACAAGCCTCTAGGACTCACGTTGCAGCTCCGATTCCGTGAACAGTGCAGCAAACGGGACTACTGTGCGCACTAGTTTTATAAAAGGGTCCGCCCATGGTTTGAGTGACTCTGGGCATCTCGAAATGCGGAACGGTTGATCAGGTGCGTCGCTGGCTTTGCGCACTTGCGTATGGGCGGTCTGCAAATGGCGAACCTGTGAGACTAGTCCATTGAATCCAAAGTATGAACCACTGACCTCTAGTAGTTCCAGAATCTGTGCGAAGCGATGTGAAGTGTGCACAATGGACCGTAACGTTCTTGACTCACTATAGGCCTCGCTTGCTGGTAGTATGCCTTGTCGACACTAAGCCAGCCTGCCAGACGGTCTGCGGCAAGAGCATAGGTGCCGATGACACCGTCCGACAAGTTTTTGCGGAAAAGCGGAAACAATTTTGCGTTGTTCTTTTCGGCATTGCGAGCCATGTAGGAGACGAGCTGTGTGATATCGAGCAACTAGAACCCACCCAGGTAAATACATCCAGTACGCGCTCGTCAGGGTCCTCACTGCCGGCAGTCGCGTAGAGCACGTGTCCGACAATGAAGTGTAATGGATTTGTCCTCAAGCCTCCTGTTCTCTCTTTCTCTCTTCCCGAGCGCAGTACTTGCGCTGCAGCCTCATGTACATTACCGACAGGCTCGCTTGCTCAACCGAATTGTTGTTTGGGATCAGAAGAGCTCCCGCATGCCCTTTCTATACAGTCCAGATCAGACACAGCCTTCAACGTCCTCCATCTGTAAATTGTGCAAACGCAAGCCGCCCGGCAGCCCGCCTTCAGTGCTGATGAGAACTCTGTCTCTGACGATGAGACTGGGGATGAAGTCATAGGTGTTTATCTGCTCTCCAGAGCCTACGGCACGCCGGAGCTCCTTGGATCCCTCAAATTGACTCCAAGATAAGACCCTGAACATGGGCTCTACACTGCGTTTTCACATATATCGGCACTCAGGCCCCCCAGTATCTCTGCAGGCCAGTCATTACCGTCCTCGAGGCTGACTCTACAATGGCTACTGCATTTGTCGACCCCACCATTCCGAAGGAGTCTCCGATTACTTCAGAAGTCCTGCAGCAGACAGCGGCCAAGATTGGGGTCCGTGTCCCCGATAGTAAAGCGGATGAGTTCACTGAAATGCTGGCGAGTGCCAGAGAGACCATGGAGCAGGTCATGGCAATGCACGGTGTGTCAGACGTGCAGACTTCACGGAGTGTTGGTGATACAATATACTCGACCCCGCAGACTTCATGCCAGCTTTGGACACGGAAAGGTACCCGCGTACTGGAGTGACAGCTGTTGCAACAGAGGACAACCCTCTCAATGCGTGGGCAACAAAAGTCATAGTGCGAAACGTCAACGAAGACGAGGTTGCTGCCGGAATACTGGCGGGCCAACGGGTCGTTCTGAAGGTCTTACACCTTTCACTAGTCATACACATATAGTCCTCCTAAGCTACTAAACGGATTTCAGGACAATGTTTGTCTTGCAGGCGTGCCATGCCATTTCGGCACAGATGTCTTCGCAGGTTGGGTCCCACAGACTGATGCTACTGTAGTGACGCGCATTCTTGAGGCTGGCGGAACCGTACGTGTATCCGTAACAGAACGACATCCGAGCTAAGTATACGCACTTGCTAGATCACTGGCAAAGCTACTTGTGAAAGTTGTCTGTATACTCCCATCGTTACATGCGCATATATCCTGAGCTTCCCTCAGTTTCTGCATTTGGTATCTCCAATACGTCTGCGCTCGGTCTCGTCGGCAACCCATATGGCAAAACGCGCTCTGCTGGCGGGTCCAGCTCTGGCTGCGGTGTACTCGTCGCGACAGGCGAGGCCGACCTCGCCATTGGCGGCGACCAAGGCGGCTCTATTCGTCTCGTACGTCGCTTCTTCACTCATCTTCCCTGCTCGTTCTCACGGTAACCTACGTTTCAGCCCGCCGCACATGTCGGTATCGTTGGTCTCAAACCCACCTTCGGGCTCGTGCCCTACACAGGCATCGTCTCGAACGAAGTCGCACTCGACCATACAGGACCTATGTCGCGCGACGTGCTTTCGAACGCGCTCCTCTTGCGCGCAATCGCGGGTACGGACGGCATTGACGACCGCCAGATTGCTGGCACGCCGGCCCGCGCACACGTCCCTGACTACCCCGCGCTCCTGCGCGCGGCGGGCAACGCGCAGTCCTTGCTTGAGATTGGCCTTCCCTCAGGTGAGACGGGCGCGGACCCTGGCGCGACGCGGAGACTACGCGTTGGGATTCTCAAGGAGGGAGGTTCGATGCAATACATGGATCCGAGCGTGTTTGAGTGCGTCGTCAGAGCGGCGCGGAAGTTCGAGGATCTGGGTGCGGAAGTCGTCGAGGTCAGCGTACCAGGGCACGTACAAGCGTCGCTGATAGGTCGCGCACAGAGGTGAAAATGCACGACTCTGCTTATACGGCGGCGTTGATAAATCTGCCACAGGTTTTCCCAAGCAAATAATATGCTGGGACGGGCCAGTGGCACGAGACAACTCTATCTCACAGATTTCGTGGAGAAAGTGCTTCCGTGGACGCAAGAGAAGTTTGATAAAGTCTGTCGTGCGGACTTCTCAGCTTCAACAGTCATGCTAACTCAGCGTAGTTGTTCCCGAACTCGGCGAACATCTTACTGAACGGTGTGTATGCGGACCAATACTTCCCACAGGTATTGCATATATTGAGGGCAAAATCAGAGATGCTCCTCTGACAACGCGTTCCACAGCTGCATGGCAAGACACACAATCTCTTCCGCAAGCTGCGCCTGGAGTATGATGCTGTGCTGAATGACGTCGATATCCTCGTCATGCCCACGACCCCATGGGTTGCGAAGGTTATGCAAGTGAGCATGGCGTGGTCTTTACACCGAATCCTAACTGTGACATAATCAGCCTCGGGAAGCATCTCTGAGAGACCACTACAAGGATTATAACGGCTTGGTATGCCTTGTCCTCTTATTACTGATCTGTGCCGCTTAACGTTCTATGACGATAGACGTACAACACGTTGCCGTTCAACAATACTGGTCACCCCGCGTTGTCTGTTCCTTGTGGGATGCTACCACCGCCGGAAGGCCCAGAGACCTTGCGCTTGCCTGTTGGCATGCAACTGGTCGGAAAGTATTGGGATGAGCTCACGCTATACAAGGCCGCATTGGCCTGGAGCGACGCATTTGATTGGAAGGAGCTCTGACAGGCCAATCAGTAGTCGCATTGTGTCTAATCTGTTATAGGATGATCTGCAGCACCCGTCCTCGTCTAATGAAACCCATCTTGACACCAATTGTATATGCAGAGTATCCTCACAAAACTGTTTTACAACTCGTATCTCTTCAAGCTCTTCAAAGCCACTCCACCGTCTGCCGTGTATCGGATGGCATCAGAATATATAACTAGTTTCTGCGGGAATTTACTCACCGCTGGAGGCTTCGAGGAAATGTCATACGTGACGCGGTTGATTCCCTCAACCTCGTTTGTAATGCGAGACGAGATGCGTCGTAGAACCTCAGCAGGGAAGACGAACCTGTGCAGATGTACCATTCAGTTCCAGTTATGCAAAAAGATCAGTTTGTGCTCACCAGTCTGCCGTCATGAAGTCCTCTGACTGCACCGCCCGGAGGGCAATCACCTGCTCGTACGTCCGCTTGTCACCCATGACACCAACGGCCTTGACAGGGAGCAGTACGGCGAACGCCTGGCTGATCTGCTCGTACAGTCCCGCGGCGCGGATCTCCTCGATGTATATGCTGTCCGCGTGCTGAAGAATCTTCACTTGCTCCCGCGTAACGGGTCCGAGGATACGGATGGCAAGGCCAGGGCCGGGGAACGGGTGTCGCTGAACGAGCGGCGCGGGTATGGAGAGTAGCCGGCCCAGTGCACGAACTTCATCTAGCAGAACACTTCTATGAGTATAACACAAGACACACGCGGACAAACATACCCTTGAACAGCTCGCGCAGAGGTTCGATCAGCTTGAGCTTCATGTCCTTCAGCAGACCGCCGACATTGTGGTGCGTCTTGATCGTAGCACTCGGGCCCTTGAAGCTGATGCTCTCGATGACGTCCGGGTAGAGCGTACCTTGCAGCAACCACTCAATCTTGCCCTTAGGGGCGGCACCACCAGCTGCCTCCAGCTCCGCGGCAGCCTCAATCTTCGCCGCCTCGTCCTCAAATACGTTGATGAACGTGTTGCCGATAATCTTACGCTTCTTCTCTGGATCCTCAACGTCAGCAAGACGAGAGAGGAAAAGTTCGGACGCGTCGACGACGGTGAGGTTGACCCCGAGGTCGCGGTTGAGCATGTCGTGGACCTGCTGGGCTTCGTTCTTACGCAGGACGCCGTTGTCGACCATGATGGCATGGAATCTAGTAGCATTTGGGGGTTAATGAAAGGGGGCCTACGAGGTAATAAAGGCTCACCTGTCCCCGATGGCCTCGTGCATCAGTTTTGCCGCAACCGTGCTATCCACACCACCGCTGACGGCGCCAATAACGCGCCCTTTGGGTCCACAAATCTGGCGGATACGGGCGATTTCCTTTCCAATGAATTCCTCCTACAGAACACATTAGAACTTTGCTTCTCAACTCCACGAGTTGCACGCACCATCGTCCAGTTCGCTCTGCACTTGCAGATGTTGAGGACGAAGCGGCCGATAACCTCTTTACCTCGTGGTGAATGTGTGACTTCGGGGTGGAATTGGATACCGTAGAAGGGTTTTGAGTTGTGCGCAATGGCAGCATACGGAGCTGTTTTCGTCTTCCCGATGATATGGAAGTTCTCTGGCATCTCCGAGAGCTGGTCTCCGTGAGACATCCAGACCTAGCCCACAGAAAGTAAGTGACCCGCGTCACAAGATAATCGAGACTTGAGACATACCTGCATCTCATCACCCAAGCCCTCGAACAACGCATCTGCGGGCTCGTCCCCTGAGCCTATCATGCTGATCTGCAGTTGGGCGAATCCATACTCCCGGTGATCACACTTGGTCACTTTCCCCTTGAGGTTCCATGCCATCTCCTACATGTCCGCAAACCGACTAGCCCATTTAGCGATGGTCCAGATACACCTAGTGGGTAGCCCACCTGAAGGCCATAGCAGATCCCGAGGATTGGGACACCCATGTCAAAGACTGCGGGATCGACGCGCGGCGCATCCTGGTCATATACGGAATATGGAGATCCGGAAAGGATGATGCCTACGACGACGGGGCTGTAAGGGCAAATATTAGGGAGAGGTGGTCGGACTCTTCCACTGACCCTTGGGCTTGAAGTTAAGATCCTGCATCTTTTGGGTACATGGCATAAGCTCCGCATAGACATTCAGCTCTCGGCACCTCCTAGTGATGAGATGGCTATACTGCAGATGAGCTTTAGCTGTGCCAGTACTCAGACTAGCCTGATCTAACCTGCGAGCCGAAGTCCAGGATGAGGATGGTCTCGAACTGGTCATGAATCTCAGCCATGTCGGAGTCTTATACCAAGGGATGAGTGTGAAGTAAGCAAAGCACCAGTATATGAGATTACGACAACGCAATAGCTGCAGGACCGAGTAGTGAGGATGCAGCAATTTTAGAGGTTAGATTGAAGCCGGTTTCAATTTTCCCACCTGCGCCTTCAAATTCAAGTGACTCGATCATGATCGACGAAGTCAATCAGCCCTGGTTGAGATTGCAAGTCCGATGCATCCAGTAGACTCGACGAAGTGGAGGACAACAATGCGATAGCGATGCATCGAGAACAGTAGAATATACACACTAAAGGTACAGTACTTATACTTGTTCCAAATGCCACATGGATAATACACGAGTCCTGTGAGGGCAGTCAAACTCATCACGCCACTGCGGGGGCGAAGTTACCTCTTCCCCTGCCCCGGTAGCCGCCTCGCAGCGGACCCCCACGACCTCGGTCGCCGTTCGAAGTAAAGCCCCCTCGACCACGGAAGCCTCCCGGGAAGCCGCCACGAGGAGGACCCGGCGGACCATTAAACCCTCTCGGGCCAAATCCTCCACGAGGTTTTCCCCTCGCTCCATTCACATGGTGATCAGGAGCATGCGCTGCTGGTTCCGGAACATCTGCATCTACTATAGCATCGTGCGGCGCATGTGCAATCGCTAGCGGCCCATCCCGTCCATTCATGTGGTGGCCTCCACGCCCGTTTGTAGACGAGCCTCCGCGGCCGTTGACAAAGCTTCCACGGCCACGGTTCGGATTGCTCATGATATGAACTGGAGCGCCTTGACTAATAACTAGAGTCAGCGATGTCGCTGTAATATGTTTTCTAATGACTGCTTACGTTGCGGGGCGGAAGCCGGCAACGGCCTGCTGCCCTGGAGGGGACTGTATCCCCGGATGGGGCCCGAAACGCGGCTTGAATGGAACACTCGGTCGCTGCTGTGTCGGCTCCTTCGGGTTTGTGGACGCCACAAACTGCGGATTGGACAAGTTCAGGCACGACGTGAACTCGACCGTCGACCCACGATATTGCGAACATCGGTCCCCGAGCGATGTTCCGGACATGAAGGATGCATCCCACACGACGTCCATGGACTTCGCGTTCATTCCGATCACAACACCCTTGATGGACAACGGTACCCCGCCCGAGTCTTGCACCATCGTCACACGGTCGCCGAGTGCGAAGTGTTGGTTTTGCAGCCGGTACACTGCGTGGGATGGCTTCAATACTGCCTGTCGAGGGATGCCCTTTACCATGGCCTTCTTGATAGCGGCAGGCGACTTCGCTGCGTTGAGCTTGTCCGCGAACACTTCAATCTCCCGCACGGTATCCTGGTAGCCGTATGAACGTGATTTGTGAGTATGCAGCCGGAGCGCGCACGTAAAACATATATCATGATGCCGCACCTTCTTCAATTGATCGCAGAACAAAGATACCGGCTCAAAATCTCGGATACCCTTCGAGGTGAGCCAGCTCCTCACTTCCTTGACTTTGGCATCTGCATCGGAGCTCGAGAATACATCCGACGACTTCAGCATTGCTACGAATTCGAAAATGAGTTCACAATGTTTCACGCAGTCCGCAGCGGAACTTACCGTCACCGCCTCTATCCAATGTCCGCATGACTTCGGGGTATTTCTCCTATTTTGAGACTTTAGTATCACGGAAATGAGACGCAATGATGGACGAACCTTGTACTCTCTGATGAGGTCAACGGCCTTTTCGCTGAATTCCCAATACCTGCCGTCCTTTCGCGAGTAGTCGATAACCTTAAGACCCTTCGCCTCGAATTTGAGACTAAGCCCGAGGTTATTTTTCTGACCGTCCGAGGTGATGACCATGAAGCTAGACGTGATCTTGGAGATCGCCCTTCCAGAAAGGCCAACCATGTCTGCGGCCTTGAACGAGGGAAAATACCGGCTTGACATACGGTTGACCACGATATTCTTGAACTTCTCATTCTCTGCTTTCTCTGAGGGGAAGAACTGGAGAATACAAGTGAGGAAATGTTGAAAGACAAATAAAAAGAACTTTACAGCAAGTATAACCGAGAGAGTGTCCAAGGTCGTAGTAGAGACCTGCGCAGCGACGCCGTAAGCGTGTTCCCCAAGGAAGAATACCTTGCTGCCTTCGGGAAACTCTTCGGAGAGCGGCGGAGGGTCCTTTTCCAAAAATCGGGGATCTTCGGAGACTATCTCAGACACAGTCATCTGGACAGCTTGCTCTGTTTCATTCTCTGCACTCTCATAGTCCTTCACGAACGCTCCAGTATCCAGGCGCTTCAAACCTACAGAGTGGCGTGAGACGTTGCTGACACTAACAGACCAAACCGACAAACCCTTAAGCGGTCGCACATGTAGGAGAACATCGATACTGCCGGTGATGACACCACACCTCTTCGAGTAGAAGTACTCGATCTTCTCTGCCTTCGATTTCCAGTGACCGAGACCCTGCGTGGAGTGGGGATTCGAGATGACCCTCGGCGGCCGGCCAGGAATGATGGACACCTTCTCGTACTTGAAGAGCGAATCTGACACGGCGGAGACCATGCCTTCCTGAAGAAACGGCCATCCAACGAATGTTCGTCGCCCGATCATTTCGTTTGCAATGTCCTCCGTCTTCCGCTGTTCATGCTCGTTCTCAATGTGTATGATCATGGACTTGTTGCGGCTCTCGGACCCGTGCACGTTCACGCCGTGGGGGCCAAGCAGTGCGGTATGCGGAAGTGTCTGGAGCGACGGGAAGCCAGCAAGGGCCTCGGCCCCTAGGAAGACGCCGTCACAAAGACCTTCGACAAGATGCAAGCCATTGAGGGTTGGCAGATCGAATGGTTCCATCCTGCACATGCATCGTTGTAGGGTTGGGAAGAATCCAGGCAGGGAAGACGGGTAGACAGTGGGCTCTTCGGGGTTGAAGATAAACTTGGTGCTAGTGCCGGAAGCGTTCCGCCTCCTCTCGTCCGCTGTGAGTTGATGTTCTCGTGCTGTCGGGAGAGATGATGAGCAAGCCGGACTAGGAACCTTCTTCCAGTAATGAACATACATCTCATTGCTGCGAGCAAACGCTTTTCGTCGATGAACGGAATCTTCACAATAGCTTCCCAATCTTGCTTCTTTCCGTTCAGGTCCTGTTCGAACTCCTGCGGATAGAAGTCTAAGATAGGGGAGTTGGGGTCGTACATGAGATCCTGTGCGTATAGCTTAAGTTTTGCACGTAAGACAACAGTGCGGACAACGTACCCTGAAAGCAGAGGGTATGAGGTCCCTGCTCGCTTCGGGCAGGACACCCATCAGTTGCTCAAATGGCTTGAAAGGCGACCCGAGCTCGTAGGAGAATGTCATCATATCAATGCCTCTGAGATCTAAGGAGACACAAGAAACATAAACATCATAGATTCTTCCGTCCGCAATTGCAAAAGCAAACCTGATATCCGGGGCGCATAATGGTAGTCGTAGAACCAACTCCAGGAGGCCACACCGCTATAATAGTAGTGCATCACCCACTGCATGCCCTCGACGTATCTGTACACCAGGGCGTGCATTTGGTCTGGGTCGTCATACGAGATCTCGAGTTTACCCTGCGCTATGTCAGCGGCGTAAAACATCACATAGCTGAAGTAGACTCACCCGGTAATAGTTCCTCTTCCATTCATCCATCTTCTCCTTCACGGACAACTCGTAGCGCGCGTCAAAGTCACCCTCCTTATCGTCCTCCTGGACCTTCGCCTTCTCGTACTTCGCGAGCACGCGGTCGACTGCTGCGCGGCTCTCCTCGTCATCCTCGTCCTCCCACTCCTCGTCATCTCCTTCTGCGGCTGCTTCCGGGGTGCCGTTCCCCTGGCCCTCCGGCAGAGGCTCTTCCAGCTCTCCGGGGAAGCGCCATGTCACCAAATTCTGGTCCTCATCGTCGTACTCGTCCCACGTTAGCGATAGATGCAAGTCTTCCGCTAGTTTATTGATGAATTGGCGCTCACGCGCGGGGAAAAGGTTAGGCATGGCCAAGCGCGTGCGATTGGCACGCTCGGGCGACGATGGGTTCCTATGTTCCAGCACAAACTCCTTCACCTTGTCAAATATCTCTCGTTGAGGTCTGGTGAGGACTATAGGAAGACGTGAGACTATCATTCGCAATAACTAGTAGCCACATACCAAGCTTGTTTCGTTTCCGCGCCACCTCCATTTCCTTAACATGCTTTGCTTGCTTCCCCTTATACCAGTTCAGATCTGCATATTCCTTCTCGAAAATCTCGCGTTCCCAATCCGCCATCTCGTCCAAGATGACTTGTAGCCGCTTCATGTTGATTACACCGCTCTCGTTCAGATATCCATCTGCAAACATTGTCAGCTCCAACAACATAGCTAACGCGTGCGGCGTACCTAACGAGGGCAGCGCCTTCTTGTAGACGTCGAAAAGCTTCTCTAGGCCGTTCTCGTGGATGTGCAAGTCAGGGAGATTTGGCAAGAAGTCGTTGCCAATAAACACCGCGAGGAGGATGAAGTCGTCAATGACATGCTCGACGCTGTATTGGAACGGTAGTACAGGCTCGATGTCATGGAATTCGAGGTCGAGGTATTCTCGCATCAATGTTAGATGCAAAAGATAAAAATTAATCGATTCCAAGCTGCACAGCCGGTCAGAAAACAGGCAGAACTGGTATATGAGGGTACTCACCTCTTGCTGCCTTTGCTCTTGGAAGCAGGTCCAAACTTGACTTCCTCTCGTAGCAAGCAAAAGTGCGGATCATGGCTTAGGAGACCCAACATAATCAAGTCGGCGTCGAGGCCGTATAAACAATGTCGCACGTTGGGATCATAGTCCGGCTGTGCTCGCGACAGTCGAATGTATTCCATGACCTTGTGCTCTCCTTCACCCGGGACGTCATGCCCCGACAACACAACAGTGATGTCCCTCCAGTTCGAGTCTTCTGATATCTTCTTGTTGATAAAGTATCGCAACTGCTCCGAAAGCTTCGCCATGAACTCAGTTCCTGATGGACGCTGAGGGATGTACGAGAAGAACAGTGATTTCAATACTTACCTGGAGTGATGCAATTGCTATCGAATGCCTTCTGGTCCGGCAGCTTCTCTCCCTTCTGCTCAGCTTTCTCCCTGATCTCTCTCGCTTCCTTCGCAGTTCGGAATCGCCGACTTCTTTGCTGGTTCATCTTGGCTCGCGGGGCCACACCGTCAATTGCCATAAAGAATAGCTTCTTCGGTTTGATTTTGCCAAATAGATGGTCAACATATGCGAAGATAGACGTGAACATCTGTTCCTCGGAGAGACGGAAGTGCGCGTCGCCGTCATTTGGATGTGAGCCTATAGGTATGATTAAGTGGCGGTAAACGCGTATGAATTGCAAACATACAGTTGTGTATGATACCATTGAAATCAACATAAAGATTATCTGGACGCCGGGTTAGGACCATGTGCAGTGGTCAGCACGGAGGACGTACCAAACTCAGGTATCTTATTCTCCTGGATCAACTGCGACGTCAGGGGGTACCGTTCTCTACAGAGGAATGAATATTGATCAAGGAATATAACTGCCACACTGACGATATATATCTGAAGAACTGTACAAGAAAAGCTTCAGCCATCGCCTGAAAGAACATCGAAGTCACCAACCTTCGGGATACCTGCATACCAACTGCTTCAGCTCACGGTTGGAGGTAAGAAAGACATTACTTACCCATGATGAATGGCCTTTATCCAGGAAAATATGCGCAAATAGGAGCGACAATGTCGCAAGTACCAAGCTGAGTATGGAGGTCGCCAACCCTCGTACACGCAGGTTTGAGCGCCCATCGTGATCACGACGCGACCCGGAAATGGTGGCTGCCACGTGCTTCGTGGAAGCGCCCAATTACAGCTGTTTCTTTTGAGAATCGAGGAAGGCATATTCACAATCTGCGATTTACTCTCCATTGAATGAATATCTGAGCTATGCGATTCCACTTTGGACCCTTGATACGACTGATATGTACGGGTTTTTCGCGTTGAACGCCTACTCAACATCGACAATATTGGGTCCCCTCAGGCAAAGCGCGCGGACAACCTTGAAGTTGCTTGGCTTTTCCCGAGAGTACCGGGCACATTCTCCATCAAGGGCATCGTACATAATGCCTGGGTTGCAGGACATACATTACTCACATTTACTGTGTGGTGAGTTTATATTTTATACATCAAGAATACCGTCTGGAAACCTATGTCCCGTGAGCATTTGAACTGGGACATCACTACGCTGATCCCCCTTGAATGCATCCCCAAGGATGTCACCATAGACTGGCACCGAGATGCTACTCGTGCGTCTACAGTCAATGCTTTCCGAAACTGCTGGCGCAGATCCCGGTTCCTTGATTAGCAGCATGGGGTAAGTTTTACAACTTGTTCCTTGACTGAGATCTACCCGATCGCACCTAGATCACTGTCTCACTCAATCTGTGCACATCTCTCAATCATTTTGTGGCGAATTTCAGTCATGCCAGCTAAAAGCGCTACGCAGTGTCACGCCATCTTGCGTCTGCAGGGACGCCCATCACGTCATAGGCAGCCTACACGACGTTGCGCATACATTCCCTACTTATCTCCATGACAGGCATCACACACACCCCAAGCCAAGCAAAGGTACGTCAATTCGTCCCTATATCCAACTGATATCACCACAACCTCAGCGCTTGAGGCGTCAGGATGAGGATTACTCGATCACGTGTATCGTGTCGCAATCTCCTCTTCGATGCACGTTTACCTCACGCGACTTGTCGTTCACGGAGCGGGGACTGGAACGGAAACCACCCGTATAAAGCAGGACGAATATGACAGCTGTAGAACACTGCCACTGCCGTCGTCTAGCATATCATGGCCCCCGTCGCAACTACCGACAACGTTACTTCCAACGGTACGGACATCGCCAGCCTCAAGGAGGCCGCGAAGGTCTTCAATCCCTTCTACTCACCTTCTGCGGGCGACGACAACGATGGTAACTACGAGTTCGCCAAATACAAGGTGTGTGTTTAGTGCCGCCGATCATCAACGCACGATCTGATCGCGATTTGTTGCTTCGCGTAGCCATCCTTCCCCGATGTAAAGTGGGAGCCGCTCAAGGAGCAGTCCGTCACCGACCGCGGCCTCTTCGCTGACCCGGAGAAGAAGAGCCTTTTCGCCGCGGCGACGAAAGTGCAGCACCTGACACCCGCCATCGGTACTGAGATCATCGGCATCGATCTCAGACAACTTACCAACCAGCAGAAGGACGAGCTGTACGTATTACCTGTTTTCCTGATTTGCTTTGTTCTTTACATACTTCACAAATCAGTGCATTGCTCGTAGCTGAGAGGGGAGCTGTTTGTGAGTATCGCAGCAACGTGATTTATGCCCCAATGCTCACGAAGTGTTCAGTCTTCCGCGACCAAGAAATCAACATCCACGAACAGCTGGAGCTCGCGCGCCACTTCGGCCCACTTCACAAGCACGCTACGACGGGCGTTCCCCGAGAGCCAGGCCTTGAGGAAGTGCACGGTTAGTGAAGTTGTTCATAACTGCTTCTAGACCGAGTTCTATAATTGTTTCGTTGCAGTTGTATACAACGATGGTTCTCGTCGCCCGGATCCGTCGGCATTCTCGAAATTGGAGCTTTGGCACTCAGATGTCACGTATGAAATCCAACCCCCCAGCACGACCTCACTGAAAGTGATCACTGGTCCTCCCTACGGCGGTGACACCCTCTGGAGCTCCGGGTCAGTTGCTTTATTCACATCAGCGTTTGTCTAAGCGTCCTGACGTGTTTCACAGCTACGCCCTTTACTCCTCTTTCAGTCCCGGCTTCCAAAAGTACCTCGAGGGCCTCACTGCAGTTCACAGCGCAGTTGCCCAAGCCGACGGATCGCGTGCAGCCGGTCACACTGTCCGTCGAGAAGCCGTCGAGACCATTCACCCCGTCGTCCGCGTGCACCCAGTGACCGGTTGGAAGAGCATTTACGTCAACCCCGGCTTCACACGTCGCATCGTGGGCGTGCCTAAGGCTGAGAGCGACACAATCCTCAACCTTCTATTCCACCAGATCAGGTGCGCCTTCCCACACCCGTCACGTCGACTCGCTCGGGTACTGACTGCCCCGATGTCCTATCTATCAGCGAAAACCCCGACTTCCAGGTACGCTTCCGCTGGGAGCCCAACTCCATCGCCTTCTGGGACAACAGGGTGCGTGCCTTCGTCTGACATGCTGTACCGGCTGACACTGATATCTCCGTGTGGTCAGGTCGTTACGCACTCGGCGACGTTTGACTTCTGGCCGCATACCCGACACGCGCTGCGCGCGACACCGCATGGCGAACGCCCGACTTCGGTGGCGGAGTACGAGAAACAGGGCAAGGTCGCAAAGGATCGGCAGCTGGAAATTTGGGCGCAACAGGGAATTTCTGGCTTCCAACAAAACGGCCAGGCAAAGCCACGCGGGTACAACGACTGAGATGTAGCACTAGACAAATAGGATGCGAGGAATGTATCATTAGAAGTCAGCGGAATGTATAACTGGCACGCGTAGAGTGGCAGGAGCGAGCCCTTCAAACGCATGGATCAATCTCCGTAGCCTCGTGTTTGAGATCGATCATCGTCGATCCTATGACAGTGCAATTGTGAGATCAGATCTCACTTGAGATCACTCCCAGGACATTGCACAAAACAGTTTTATTAGGGAGAGCTATGGCTACGGTCGATTACGAGACAAGACGGTACAGGCATATATCGACAGGGAGACGACAAGACAGGCACAAAGGTCACAGACGAGAGAACATAAGACGACAACTCATGAGATACGATGACCGGACAAGGCATACAAAAGGGACCGAGCGATTCAACGCAGAAGCCTCCGTTTAGCCACACACAGGCACAGGACTACCTCATTGGCCGTTCATTGGGGCGAAGCACGTGCATGTGACGGCGGGTGCGACGTTCGCATGTACGACTGGTGGTCCGACTGATAAACGGAGCGACCAGACGACGACGACGATGACGACGTCATCCACGGCGGCGGAGGCACGCTAAGCCCAGTCTCGCCATGCGTCTGCTGTGCAGGGACCGGCGGCGGAGGCGGAGGCATCATTTGGTGCGCCTGGGAATTAGGGTGAGACGGACCCGAATTGACAGGCATCAGTTGGTACGGAGCACCATGCGGGTGCGGGTGCGGCGAGGGATGTCCGGGATGGTGATTAGCGTGCGCAGGTGGAGGCTGCTGCTGCTGCTGCTGTTGCTGCTGCTTCGGTTGCTCGTAGGGGACGACGTTAGGGTTCGGATGCGGATGGTGCTGCTGCACGGGGGCTGGATGCGACTGCTCCGGATCAGTCCCACGTGCAGACTGCGTCGACGCACGCAATGTTTGGAGGTCAATTGGTATCGTCTTCCCATCCGCACCCTTTTCACGTTTCCGCATCAGCTTGGCGTAATCTATCACGAAACCGTCAGACGTCATGTAGCGACCTGAGATGCATGAGTTCACTCACGCAAGCCGCATGCATTACAGAGCGTCCGTGCTCCATCGGGGCCACGTCGCCACTCCGGAGTCTCTCTGATGTTACAAGAATGGCATTTCCCTGGAGGGGTGGCGCGCTGATGGAAGCATAAGTGCCTGTGAGATCGGTGATCTAGCATTCACGTACGCTTCTCTTCCTATATTTGCTCTTGGGTTGACCAGGCGCATTGCCACCGGTGCTCGTCGCACGCTTGCTGCGAATGATTTCCATGTCAGCTTCGGCAGTCGTTTTGTCTGCGACATCGAGGTATTGGGACTGTGGCTGCTGTGATGTATGTCAGCTGACGTGCGAGTGGTGTGAACAAATCGAGTTACTTCAGGATAGTTGCCATTGGAGGCAGGAGCCTCATCGCGCGACATGTCCTCCCATGGACGCTTTGGAGGACGCGGGGTCTCGTCCGTTGCACTCGTGGCGTTGCTCGGCGCAGCGACACTATCGCGAGAACCGCCGCCGTCTTGCGTACGCCGCAGATCTTCAATCAGACGATTAACGATATTCGCCCGCCAACTCATGTCTTGCATCTCCTGTGGAGAAGGTTGGATATTTGGTTGCGAAGCTTGCAACGTCGCTGCAAAGCCTGTGAGGGTACAGTGGCAACAATAGATGGAGCAACTTACCATAGTGGTGAGCAAAGTCTTGCAGCACACGGCAGTGCTCGTGGATCTGTAAGACAATCGCGTGAGACAAACTCACTAAGAGAATGAACTCAAAGGCGCTCACCTCGGCGAGAAGGCGCTGCCGCGCATTCACATCTACCGTGTTAGGCGGTGGTGGCATAGCGGCTCGAGGATCCATATTTGGTGGGGCCATCCCCGAAGGCCTTGAGAAAGTAGCGTAGGGTGGCGGCGGAGGCGGAGGCGGCGGATGGTGCTGCCAATGTTCGTGGGGTGTTACAGGCGGAGGATAGGTGTTAGGCGGCGGCATGTGTTGAGGAACCTGAGACGGAACTGCGTAGTGGCGCTGGACCATGTGAGGATGAGGATATGCATATGGCGGAGGGGGGTGCGTGAAAGGAGCCGGTGGATGCACCGAGTCGTGCGGGGGTGGAACTGGGACTGGGGGCCCTGCCTGGAACGAGGGCGATGGGTGCTGTGAGGGGTATGCGTGTTGTGGTGCATACGAAGCCTACAATGCAGGATCACGCATGCCCGATCGATGAGCGATTAGCTCCATCGTGCCAACGTGTCTCACGGGAGAAGAGATGCTTACGTGGGAGCGCCCAGGAGAGACGCCGACGCTTGCATCTGACCCAGAGCGCGGACGCTTCGAGGAATTTTGGGAAGACGCCTCTCCACGGGAAGGGCCGGGGCCCATGCTGCTGTGCCCCGTTTGCTGGGGAGGGGGCATGTTTGAACTAGCATACTGCTCTGCCATCTTGGGTGGTGCGGGCGAGTGAGGATACTGCGTTTTCGGGCTCTCGTGAGGCGGAGGCATGCTCATCTGGTGCTGAGGAGGCAGGTTGGGCGGACTTGGCCGTGCCCACTCAGGGCGGGCAGGCCGCGCATGCTCCATCTACCAACGCGGTGAGCGACGCGTCGCCGGACAGGCGCATACAATGACCAACCTTGTCGAAATGCAACTCCTTGATAGACGGCAACCGCTGGTGCGGCGCCGGGGGCGGTGGCTGTGGGTAAGTATACTGAGGCGACGATGCCATGGCTGCTATGCGATACGCAATCTGCAAAATTATTTCGCTTCGGCGGATGCGAAGACACGCGGATCGGGAGTGCTGGAACAAAGGCTCGCGACTACAAGATGGAAACGGCCCTTGGCGTTGCCGAGCACACGAAACGACTACAACTACGCTGCGAGGTAGGCGACAAGGTAGAGCGGACGGAAATCGTGGCGAAATCTGGGCGAGTCACGGCAGGATGAAGGAGAAAAGCAAACAAGGGGGCGCGGGCAAGGGCCAGATGATCTAGACAATCTGAGCGGAGTTTGAACTTGATGCGCCGCACAGAAATCGGGCAATCTCACTCCTCTCCGATTCGTCCGCCCCCAAAGTCGTGCCGCTCAATCGGCGCCGCATCGCCCGAGGCTGCGCACACAGACTCACCCTTCTTTTGACCGACGCCGCCCTCAGCAATGTTTGCGCGGGGGGGACGCATAGGAGGAGAGGGGGCGCACACTGAGGCCCGAGTCTCGATGAGATCCATCACCAATCTGGAGAACCGGCCACCCGGGAACCTCTATTGCCCGATGCTAGATCCACTGGCCCAGCGTGTACGTAAATCCCCAATCGCGGCACGGCGAATCTGCGGATTCGGCGCCGCCATCGTTCCATTCCATGCATCAGCCGCCGAATCGCCCTCAGCATCTATCCCTCTCTTCCCCCGCGCCCGGTCATCGCACAAGTCCCTTTCAGCGCACCGCGCGGCCCGCATCCCTGAGAGTCCCCGAGAACTACTCTACTGCGTAGATATGATCCTCACTGAAACCTCCGGTGGGATCGGCCAATGACCGCAAGCTTTCTACCCGGCCAGCGCCTGGATCGTGATCAGGCTTACTTCCAAGACCGCAGATGGCCGCCGGTTCCTGGGCCGTGAGATCCAATGACCGTGCAAACGTTTCACCTCGACCTTCGATCTCGTCCCAAGAGATCGCCACCGCGTGAGCCCACGCAGCCCAAGACGACAGATCCCACAAAGGCGGCTGTTGATCCCACAAAGCGGGAAGGATGCGCACACGGGCCATCGCGTATCTCGCAACACGCCTTCGATTCTGCGATACGTCAGGTGCTAAATGTGCCGCAAGCTTCGGAGAAGGTGGTGCGAATGAACGCACAGACGGTCCTCACCTGACAGGGAAAGTTCCTAGCCAGAAGCGCAACCCTGACCCACGCATGCTAAGGACGGAGACTCCTGGGACCATAGGTGTCACGATAAGGTTGCGCATATCTAAATCTCCCTATACAGATAACCCAGCGGCTGTGAGTGTTCTTGATGGACAAGGAAAGCGCAAGGTCAGACACCTAGTCTTGATTAACGTCTATATCCGCAAGCTGACCCTGAAGCTTCGAGCGTAGTGTTATTAGACACCGTGGAACCAATGTTCAGCATTATGAAACCGTATCTCGTAGACGAAACCGACGACACGACACGTCGCCGTTTGTCGGCGCAAGATCCCATGCCTTATCATGGTGATCCGAATCGGTGCTGGTGAGGCGCAGAAGGCATTGGAAGACAAGAAGGGTGGGCAAGAGGGGAAGGAGACCAACGTAGGCTTCAGCAGAGACGCCGCGGGACGCCGAGACCACAGGTGCGGCCAGATCCCAAGTGAGTTCGGGACCAAGCTATCTTGCGCGCTCCGGCGATGACCACGAAGTCATATTCGGTGTTTTGTCGCTTCGTATATGAGTTCGAGATGGAGGCTAGATGCCACATGTCAGCAGTGTGTACTGAATGAACCGTTCCTTGATGTAGGATAATGCAAACGTACCATGCAAATATCGTCCAGTGGGATCTGGCGGCTAGACGTGCCACAACTCCTCAGAGACCACTGTCTGGCGGTGGGCCGTGGTCAAGGACATGGGTCAATGCGGCTCTTCAACGCATGCGCGCATCGAGCAATGCGACGTGCCGTGGTGCGGAAATTGTAGCCACTGTTCGACGGATGTCAAATGTTCGGTGCTCGCCGTCACGTCGAGCGAATTATTGCCGCCGCAGATCGCATCCAACGGTGAATATGACGGTGCTACTAGCTGTACGTAACACTTCATCTCGCTGAGATCTGCCGAGTTAGTAACGACATTCGATGACAAGACGTATGCTTGCCTTTGTCCAGACAGACAGATGTTAGAAACGACGGGCAGACGGGCGAATTGCGGTAAGACAACGGCGCCAGCTTCGAGGAGCGGCTGGCATGGCGTCCGGTCGTGGTGGTAGTAGGGCGGGGAAGATCAATCTGTGGGCTAGCTCGGTCGCACGCCAAATGGGAAAGTATGTGTCTGATGCTCCGCATCGCTAATTGTGCCAACATCTCGATACACAGCCTTTGTGGGCTCCGACCCACAGCGATCCATGCTATTGGCTCTTGCAGAGTTATTCAATCTCAGAAATCGTCGATCTGCTTACTCATCATGGTTTCCGCGAATCCTGCAGGGGTCGGTTTCCCCCATCGGGGAGACCCCTCAAACCTTGATTGTCCGCCGCTTTTGGGCAAGCGATGCTGAGTCCCCGCCCAACTGGATCGTCAAGCCGAATAGGGACACTTTGCCATCACGCTCATCCTACCTGGGCATACGGAGCACCGATAGTGCGCCAGTGGCGCATACTAGCGTACAAAATCATCGATAGCAGGCTTCGTGGGTACGTTTGGCTCATCAACGCTGATTTAGACAAGTCTCACTCAGTCGTAAGGAAATTTGGGCAGACGGCCCGTCGGCCTGGTATAAGCTCTAGCTGGACGCCTGCGGAGATGGCCTTGTCATTCCTGACCTCTCCGTGCATGATGCGTAGCAGACATCGTGCTGGTGCAAGTCACTGCCACAGTGCATCTTTGTCGGTGGCTCATTCCCTGTCAAATTTCCACCCATGACGCTCTTCGGGTTGCAATCCTCCATCAGAGGACGCGGTGTGTCTAAATATGGATGTTCTCGCACGGGACGACCTTCGCATCACTCCCACCCACCTGATTCAACCACAGCGCCCCGTGGTCTTCTGGTACCTTTCACAGACGTCCATACAATCCGCTCACCGCTAATTGTCAAGTGCGGATTTACGGCGTGCATGGTATTCTATGGGCACCGCTCCTGGTTGTCTGGTCCCATCACGTGAGTGCGCGTACAGTGAAGAATGGTTCTTTGCCGTGCAGGCGCTTGTGATTGCCATCGCGCGAACGTGGCGCTCTCGCTCCCGTGCGCCGGATTATTTGTCATGAATAGCGAAACCCACGCCCTGAACCGACTGCATCAGGGGATGTCGATTTGATGTCTAAGCGACACCTTCTCCATGGGCCCCTGCACGATAGCCAGACGCGGGCTGTATCATCGCGAGCTCCCTTGTCTATTTGTGTTCAGAAGCTGGGTTACGCATGAGGCTTGTTGCCGTTGAATTGCTGGCCTAGAGTAACACCATGCCTAAACAGCTCTCCATGTGTTCCTGACTGTGTCATGGGAGACTGGACGGGCCTGCCCACCCAAAGGCTTCCACGCTGTAAGACTGTATGCAGCGGACCCCGACCATCTTTGAGTGATTACGAAGGTCCATGTCAGTTTGCCTTCTATCTGCGCCAGTACGACATGATGATTGATGTTCCTTTCACCCCAGTCTACGCAGCTCCAACGATACGACTTTTCTCTGGGCATGAGACTACTCCGGATGATAGATCATCTTCTCTCCCTATGAACCAAGTGGACCCATCCAGCAACACGAAGGCAACTGGCTTGTGCACCTACAGATCCGGATGAAACATGGTCCACGCCCTGACAACCGTAAGTGCATACGTTCCCTGTACTCTGCCGCTTGCTGACATTTTCCCTGGACGAACGCGAGCGCTGGGTCGGTTCCACGTTGTCGGGTTTAAATTCGTCACGACGTATATCATCGGCATGGTCCACTGTGACGTTATCTCCACACGCATTCGGGTCTAACATAACCGCTGGGTCTTTCTGTGTCTTAAGGATCGCAACGATCACGTCCTGAGCGAGCCGGTCAGGTTTGACGTCGTTTTCCCACGAAATTGAGATCAGCTTGCGAACGATCGCCGATTTCTTCGTGGCAACCACCAGCGAGCATGTTCCTTGCTGACTCAAGGCGATGCATCAGCTTCCTTATTTCCAATGCGCAGGAAGTGCTCTCCTAGGACTAGTGCGTTTGTTTTCTCGAGGTTACCTGACGCGGCGACCAAGGGAAACAGTGTGTATTCTGTCTGTACCAGTACGGCAAGTGCGTTCCCGCATGTACAATGCGCTTGCAGACGCATCGTGTGGGCGACTGACAGGCAGTTGGCTTATAGTGACAGAATACGCCCAGATTTCCGGTCTAGTATTCCGGCAACCACAGCACACCGGCAGGGAGCAAAAATAGCGTCGATTCAATGCCAGTATCGTATTGCGTGAGTTCCAATTGCCATAACCAGCGCGTCCACATCGTTGACCCGTTGTGAAAATACGTCCGACTATGCCGTTATAGAACGCCTCGTAGAGGTGGATGGAAGACGCGTAGAAGCTTTCCACGAATGGGTTGACCCAAATTGGTCACCCCCGCTTGACACCAGGGCGTCCCCGTCACTGCCGCTCACAAACATATGTTACGCGCCAAGGGCTGCAGGTGAAACAGTCTAGGCTTCGGGCAATGCAAATTTCTCGGTGTAAGGTAGAATCCGGCAATTTCAGCACACCTGTGCTAGTCATCAATGCCGCAGCACACAGCACTGCAGCTACTAAGACAACGGTATATCGTCTAACATCTCGGACTAGGCACCTGTGCGTCGGAGTCGCAAACCGGATAATTGTTTGGACACATCGACCAGACATTGACTGTGAGCTGCCCATCCATACGCTGGCCCAATGTCTTCAGCCACTATTGAGGTCAACCCAACTTCAATACTTGCAAATGACAGTAATCCGTCGTTCTTAAATGACCAATGACTAGTCGCCTTTGAAGTCACCGCAGGCCCTGTGCGATAGTTGTTGGCAGACGTCTGCAGAGTGTTCTATCACTCTATTGTAGGTCGCTCGTGTGAAGTTAGGTGGAGTTAGGTGCCCCCACCATTCGTAAGGCTGACACTTCCCCACAGCAGACGACTTTGCTGCCACTGCCGCGCCCCCTACCCCCCACCTGCCCCGGCCATGGGAGCCCCAGCACCATAGCGCCATCAGTGAACATGCTGCACGACGGCACGATTTTTTTTTAATAACACGTTCACGTTTTGATGCCCTTGCCCCTCCCATGCAAATGCAACTCCTGTCCACCGGATATTTTGTACGGACATTGGGATTGACTTCAACCTGAGCGGCTCTCCATTGCCGCTTTTATTCGACGAACCTCTTCGGCCATCTTTGGCGTCAAAGGGTGTAGACTTGGCTGAATGAAAGACTAGCCGCTGACCCTACCTGTTTGCTTGCTCATATAACTTGTATGTAGTGACCGATTCTATCCGATTCTATCCATTTATTAGCAACGCAGAAGTTGGCAACCAAATTCGAGGATAATAAACATATCATGAGCGTAAGTGGGTCAACCGGTTGTCGTTTGCTTGTATTATTCCATCGTACCTCAGTTGTAAGCTTCATACATTTCCCCAACCCTCCGCTGAAATTCAAAGCACTTATATGTCTACTACCACAGCCGCTTGTCATCCACTCGAACCGCCGCTCTTACTGAACACACAATGAGTGAATGTTCCTGACGCCGAGCTTTCGTGTGCCTGCCCACATGCAGAATGATTTGCTAGCCACCTCTTTCTTTTCAAGCTCGTGGTAGAATATCAGGCGTAAATGACGGTCTCAGTGAGCAGCGCTTTTCAATGCTAAGTTTCGACTGACGTTGTCGTCTCAGACAAGGAGATTTGCGAATCGCTCAATATGCACGTAAAATAGATACTACAAGTATACCGAATCGCACTAATAGTTATCTATTAGGCGCGTCTGAAAGTAAGCGCCCAGAACGCTCCGCCTTCAACCTTCTTACGTACTCCTCTCAGCCATACTTTAGTTAGCCCCGTGGAGCAACCCCCTCTCGTGGTCTAGTGCTGAGCAATGTACGTATTTTTCCGCCAGATCCGACTTAATGTCGCGATAACAGCGTCCCAGTCGACCTCTACACGGTCATCAGGCTGCACATGAAGCTCCGGTGGGATACACCACCAAATCCAATTCACGATGCAGCACCAGGACGGCCTGCCGACGATCAGATGACTGTATGCGTCGCGCGATCGAATCTGCTTATGGGCTGCAAACGTCGCTCTTTCCGAGGTTTCGCCGGCCGAGCGCGGTCTATTCGAATATAAAGATGGGTACGACGATGACTGCAGACATCGTCGGTCACCTACACTCCACACAGCAGTACTCAGTACCATCACTTCATTACAGCAAGCATGACCACAGAAGTCAAAATCGAGTTCGACGCGAAGAACATGCCTTTCCGAAGGCTTGGTCCTAGCGGTCTGCGAGTGCCGCTTTTCTCTTTGGGCGGATGTGAGTGCTTAAACTCTCCTCCTCAACTTGACCACTGAAATTGTGGAAAGGGCTTACTCTCGGTGGCTCGGTTAAGGGCGATCCCGTAAAGGTAAGTTCCGCCGATGAAATCATGACCTACGGGCGTAACGGAGTTTTGGGATATTAGGATATTATTAAGACCGCTTTCGACAACGGAATTAACATGTTTGACACGGCGGAGGGCTACGCTGCCGGGAAGTCAGAGGAGGAAATGTTAGTGTTGTGGCCATCATCGTATTTTGAAACAGGAGCTGATCCCAGATACCTAGCGGTCGAGTAATCAAGGAGTTAGGTTTGCGCCGCACGGATCTTGTCATAACTACGAAGCTCTTTTGGGGCATCCATCCTGGGCCTAATTCCATGGGCCTGTCTCGGAAGCAGTAAGTCTGGCCAGTGGTCGACGAGCAGCCGAGCGTTACAAACATGTCAACTACAGTATTATTGAGGGCACGAAGGAATCCCTTCAAAGGCTCGGACTTGACTACGTAGATGTCATCTTTGCACATCGTCCTGATCAAACGAGTGCGCACTTCCTTTTCTCGTACACTTAGTAAGCTTCTGACACGCACGTTACCAGCTCCGATAGAGGAGACAGTCCGCGCATTCAACTTTGTTATCGACCAGGGTTGGGTAAGGATGGAAATTTCATTGAAACAATTGTGTCAATGACACTATTGCTCAGGCGTTCTATTGGGCAACCTCGGAATGGTCAGCGCGGGAGATCGAAGAAGCACACCGTAAGTCGCGCACCACTCAACAAGGATTTGCCCTTACTCAGCCTTCTAAGACGTTGCCGACAAGCTCGGTCTAATTGGTCCCATCGCTGAGCAAGTCAAACATCAGTACGTCTCGCCAATAAAGAGGAGCGAATTTCTACTCATTTCTGCTCAATGGGAAGTATGCTTCATCGTGAGCGATGCGAGTCGGAATACAAGTGAGCGTTGATTACTTTGTATAAATTTCTGTGCTCATTTGATTGCGGCAGTCCGATCTACAGCACCTATGGTACGGGCACCACAGTATTCTCCGCGCTTGCTGGGGGCTTCCTCACTGGCAAGGTGGGTTGTATTCACGATCTGCCGTTCGACAACTCATCAGTGTGCAGTACAACAATGGCATACCTGCAGACTCTCGGCTTGCCGTTGAGAAGGAGAAGCAATTCAAGGACCAAGCGGCATCGCTGAGTACTCCGGAGGGCCAAGCAATGCTCGCGAAAATCAAGGCACTGGCCGAGTTTGCTGAGACTGGTAAGATATGAGTAATCTGGTCGCAAACCCAGCTAACATATTTGTCTGTACCGCAGAACTTGACTGCAAAGTCTCGCATCTCGCGCTCGCATGGGTGGCGAAGAATCCGAACACATCTACCGTCATATTGGGCGCGTCTAGGCCCGAGCAGATTGTCGACAACCTGAAGGCGCTGGATGTTATTCCGAAGCTGACCCCGGAAGTCCTGGAAAAGATGGAAAGTATATTGGGCAATAAGCCTGCTCCTCTGGTGAGTCACGGCGTGCGCTTGTACAGAATGATGTCTTTCTCAAATGCTATCTCCTCAGCCAACATTCGGGAGACCAGCACTGGACAAGTTTGGACGGCAGTATTGAAAAAACAGTAGAGCATTATTATCGCATATATATATCGTGCTATAAGGCATGATTAAATCGAAGCGAATGTACTGGCGATCATAATATTGCCAATTTTCTGCTAGGACAATCGAGGCTCCTCGTGATGCAAAATGTAGATCCTCAGGTACTAGCTCATAAATGCGAGTATCCAAGTGTTCAACATGGTACTAGATCATATATCTTGGAATTAGCGCTCAATTATTGGCATGCACGTGTTTGCCCATTATACTGGGCGCCTATTGTGGTCTGAACGTTGTGGCAGCATGTCTAACATGCTCAACGCAGTCGTACAGCTCTATCAACTCAACCCATCCATTCGTGACACTCACCAGAGATATACAAGAAAATATGAGCAGAAAGGTACACGATGATTAGAGTATAATGAGATGCCAACTCATGCCAACCACCAGGACACTTTGATCGATGACGAATGGGAAGACGTCCCAGACAAAGCACCTTCTTCTCGCCAGTCCTCTTTGCCGCCCACATTCGCTCGCCAGAGACGAAGGAACGCTGGTGTAAAGACAGTCTACATCACATCTCAGACTACCCGCAAGTCAGCAAAATCCAGAGCTCGCTCCCAACCTCTCAATACGCCATTGGTCGACCGAGAGGAACTAGGCAAAGCCACTCGGATAGCTGCTGCGTCCACAGTGCGCTACATGGGGGACATCCTCAACACCGCTTTCGGTCTACTTCGCAAGCCCCTGGGTGTCCTACTTTTTCTATGGATCCTCGGGGTGCTCTTCGTCCAGCTCTCGCACACATTCCGCACAGTCTTCTCGCCAGTCTGCTACATTCCTGGCATCTCGCGTTCATCGTTCTGTCAAACATCGTATGGCAGCAATGCAGTGAAGCAGGCCGACTATACTCGGCTCGCCGACATCGAGGCATCCAACCTCGGACATTTGATGTCGGAATCGGTTGATGCATCCGGATTGAGTATCGATATCAAGAGAGCCCAGATGGCCACAAGCGATCTCATTCTGCTTGTGCGCGCGAGCAACATGTCGAGCAGGGATGCGCTTGCCGATGCACTCAAAGACTTCGTCGGTGACGCGAAGAAGGCTAGCCGGGGCCTGCAAAGTCTAGGTGCTAAGATTAGTGGCGCCGTGGACAGGTGTGGCATCTTTCGTTATCCTCGATAGTGTCGCCGTGATTGAACCATTTGTCTACAGTATCGTTGCTGTGAACGACCACGCGATGCGCGCCATCGAGGCGTCCCAAGCAGAGCCGTCGGGACTTATACAGGTTTGGCCATTCGCCACCAGTAAAGAGCAGCGCGCGCAAGAAGTGGCCCTCGCAACCTTCAGTACTGCCATGGACATGCTTGCGTCCACTGTGGAGCGCATCGTACTCGAGGCGGAGTTAGAGCTTGCACACCTCGAACGCCTCGAGGAACATCTGGTCACCATACAAGAGATTGTATCACGCGAGGATGCGTCAATCTCATCCAAAGAGGAGGAGTTGCTCGCAAGCCTCTGGACAAGGTTCGGTTGGAACAAAAAACAGCTACGCACATACGAGCGGCACCTCGCGCTCTTGCAAAACGTGTCTGCTTACCGCAGCCGCGCGCTTGCGCACGTTACGGCCGCACTGCACACGCTAGGGACATTGAGCGCGGATATGGAGGAGTTGCGCGATCGTGCTGCGGCGCCAGAGATTATAGGCGACCGCATTCCTGCCGCGGTTCACATGGAAAGTATCCGCGGCGGGATTGAGCGACTGAAGGAGGGCCGCCAGAAGGCGAAGGAGCGGGAGGAGCTGGTTATGAGGAACATCCTGGGTATTAACGGTGTGGACAAGGATTAGTGAATGGTGATCTACTGCAGTTTTCTATGCATGCTTTGTTGCGCGGTTGCTTCTAATGCATGTATATTATATGATGAATCTCTATCAAATTGGATCGCACCTCTACCATCGACCGCGCGTGCATATCGCTTCTGCCGCGAATACTTCCCAAGCAGCCACGCTGTCTCATGCATTTTTGGGATTGACGGCATCTGTGACACAGTCGTGTGCATGCGATCCGCGTAAGCACATGTGGTCTTGTGTGGCGATTGCGGTCTTTTTGCGGAACGGCATGTACATTTCGGCGTCACTCATTTACGGTGGCAGATGATACCGACGCCGAGCCCCCTGTCAAGTTGCAACAGAACAACCAGGGTGCATGATGCAGCCTGTCTAGACGTCAACGCAATGTATTGCGTTTGATACCTGATATCACTGAGGCACTCAAATTCGGCACCGAGCATCGGACACGCCACCCCCTGGCCAGGCACTACCGACTGTGTTGCGATCGGAGCGTCTGAATCTGGGGACCCGAACTGGCGGGCGCGTTACCCACACCCCTATCTCAACCTAGTACGTCAAAATTCGCAGCAAGAGAGCACACGAGCACACGAGCACACGCGAGGCTGTGTCACACATATAAAACGATGACCTCTGTCCTGGCGACGGACTCGGGTGGGTAGCCGTGGATAGCAGTCTACTGCTGAAACGAAGTTGACATTCGCAGGGGCTCGCATAGGCTCGCGGTCGCGTGCCGATGAGGCCTAGATGATGGCTAATTCTGGTGAGCTGGACGGCGTGCTCACGCCTGATGGAAGTCGTACGTGGCTTCGATGCGCGACCCTGATACCTCGAGCAGCATTACAAATTAGACGATAGCGACTCTCGTCCTCGATGGTTTGGCAGGGCGCCGCAGGCCTGGACATACTTGCTCGATCAGGAACGAGGCGGCCGAGCTAACCAACTCGGCGACTTTGCGCCGGAGGACGAATATGGGGTCCTCGAGTAAGTCCTCGCCTTCGAGGATAATGTCAGCCAGTCTGGTCCGCCTCGTACTCTTGCTCTGCGGAGGAACACTCTAGAATACCGGAACGCGTCCAGATTAGGGCATCGAAAACGCGCTCGAGTACACTGGAGCCAAGGCCTTGAGCATCGCAACAAGAAGTACCTACAACGATCTAGAGCAAAATCGTTATGGTAATTGCCGCGAGGGATACTATCACCGTACCATCCCCTTGAGCGTCCAAGGTTGGGTTGATCCCTCAATAGGTTCCTCAGCATTGGCTTGACACGGCCGCCGCGATGTTTGGCGAATACTCCTGGCCGGAAGAAGCTCTGGCCGGCAAGGGATGGACCATCAGGACAACCAGCCGAGGCTTGATGGTAATTTTCGTTATCGGAAACCGGTCGCGGGGTCAGGGTGGGAGGCGGGGTCTGAGGCGAACAGAGTATGTTGGCGGCCAAAATCATGCACCGTGTCCGCGGACATATTGATGGCCCAGCATTCGACACACTTGCGGAGAGTATTACTGGGCTGGAGGAAGCAAGAACCCGTATTCGACTGCCAAGAAGCAAAAGCAGGCTGGCTCAATCGTTGTGATGAGTAGTAATGCACACGCAGCAACATTTGATGCAACTTGTCCACGGTCAATACGGTCAAGTGTATTCGCGCGATTATCATTTGGGATAATTGAGCGAAATTATAGCTGTGTGAGCTACACAGTGTGGATGAACGTACTGCTCCATGGTGACTCGTGAGGTTTGAATATTGCCCGAATACTCAAATGTCTGGGCCATTGGACTTTCTTTACGTTGAGCCAGCCATGCGCTGTTAGCTGAGTAAGGTATATGAGGAAAGAAAGCGTCGCGTAAGTGCATTCCACTTACCCATTTTTTAATTTTCAAGATGTCCCAGAAATGTCAGCAGCTTCAGCTAAGCCTCCGGGGCAATCGCTCTCCGATAGGACACATATAGACGACGACCGAAATAAACCCCGAGAATAATGTCATAGTTTTCCTGGAGGAGTCGTTTGATGGTCGTGTGACCCGCCGACACCGCGCCTTCTCGTCGCGCTCTTTCCTATTCCGGCTGAGCACCTACCGAATCAGGCGATGCGTCGGTGACACTTCGTCTTTGATGATGTCATGAGCATCTTCGCGATGACGGCCTGTTCCCCTTCGCTCAGCATCTGTCCTCACGCATATATAAGAGCGGACTCACCTCTCAGAGCTGGTTTCCTCTCTTCCATCTCCCCCGACTTGTCGCCTGCGTGTCCATATATTTGCGAGGGGACCGCGCCGTCAAGTTGTAGTGCGCGCACCAGGTTCGGGGTCAATATGTTGTTGAGACTCTTATGCAGGGTGCTGAGTATGTACCCACTTAGTCAGTTCGCTGCCACAGCTAATAGATGATCCATGCGAATGGCCCAGCCGCGCTATACAGGGATAGTCGCTGGGTTTCTTCTGTGATTCTACGCCCAACAGTGTTCTACATGGAAGGATGCACGCACGCGAGCGAACGATCTTCATATGCTTCGAACAGCGATGTTGCTCACGCGCAAGAATCGGTGATGCACGGCCATAACAAATTGCCTGATGAAGGACACCGGTATGCCATGCTCGTATTTTGCAGATCGAAGCTGGAGACGTCATGCCGAGGGTTGAGCCATGTGCTGAGCACTTGGCGTCAGCGAAGGTCAAAGAGTAAGAGACGATGAGCTCAGATTTACGTGTCTGTGCACATACATCCACACAAGTTTATATCAAGCTCACGCGAAGTTCGCGGCACCGCGGGTAAACGACATCATCCTTCTGGGAGAAAAAGGTCTTCCCATACTATCTTTCCAGAATCCGTTGGAGATGCAGCCTCGGGACCGCGCTCGCCATCAAACGACATTAGACCTGGCGGACTCGTGTCAACCCGGGATGTCGAGAACTGTCACAATTATGCCGGTTATGCCAAAGAAAGGCCGATGCGGTCCCAGGGTGCCCTGAGCTGCCATAAACGAGGGCTCACACGATCGCATGAAGGGTCTATTCGCCGAGCGAGTTACATTTTTCTCAGCCAATAATGGTTAAACGTTGACGATACGGTCGAACAGATAGAAAGGCCTTCCACAGAAGGATAATACCGCCAGCATGGCGGTCAGCATCTTGTCAGGGGATCAGTTGCGAGCGCTGGCGGCGCGCGAGGTGTGTGAGCGTTGTCGCCACGAGAAGCGCAGCTAGAAGACGAGGGCCAGGCGGGAGCAGCATCTGGCAGCGACGAGCAGCATATGACAACTGGCTGGGATGCATATGATCGTGATGGGCGCCTGCGAGGCTCATCATCCTTGAATCTGGCGATGGCCGCTGGATCTGGGGCGTGAACTTCTCCTTTCGGTAACACAGTCCTCCCGGGCGGCCGGCGCTCACTGAAGAGTTTCCCGATACGGTAGGTCTCCGGCATCACCCGATTTGAAGCGTCTCTGGTGGGAAGTCCTGTTTGCACGTTACGGCAAGCACATGTCCCTGGTCAGGGTCGTGAGATGTCCTCCTGCTTGCGTGCATTGCTGTTGCTCGCGCGCGACACGTCGAGGGCGGCCCTGCCAACAGCGTTGACGAGCGGTGGCGTGCCAGGAGGCTGGGCAACGGCCCGCAAAGGGAATGCGCAAGGGGCGCGAGGGCCGTGTGATTGGCGGGAGAGTACTAGCCGGATTAGGGGGAACACTTGGGAAGATTTAGGCCAGTGTAATCTAATCAGCTTCCCCCCCGCTAGAGCAATAACTGCGAATGCACCAGCTCGAGCAGCCCTCATCACCAGCTCGTCCGAGGGCTCTACCATTCCTTCCCTTCACCGCCCTTCGCCCTCCCTGCCCGTCGCACTCCCTGCGCGCAATACACGCACGCGGTGCGCCGCGTCTCGCTTGCCCATCGTGGCCCAAGCTGATAGCTCTCGCCCTATCCAGCACGCGGCGTGGTTCGCTTTGCTAACTTATTGTTTCCTGTCTATCCTACACACCGCGCGTCACTCGTGAGTCATGCACCCCCCGCCTCCCGTGACGCCCCTGTCCTTATTGTCTTCCCCCAGAGGCTATCCCACGCGGATAGCCCGGTCCATTCGCAAAGCTGGCTGCACGACACTTCACTCATCCGTTAGGTTACACCCACCTAACGGTCGACATGGCTGCTCCGGCCCTTGTCGCGGGTGATTTTCTGGTGAGCTCCCTCACCACTCCCAGCAGACTGTTTGCAAGTGCTAATAATATCCAAGGGTGGTCCTGGTACCGGTGCCCTAGGTGGTCCACCAATACAACATGTATGTTTATCTATTCTTGCCAAACCAGGCTACTGACATCAGCGCACGCACAGAATTACAAACGAGCTGTATGCCGCCCTGCACCATCTAACTTTACTGTGGAAGTCCTGCCTCCAACGAAATTCGGTATGTGGTGTTTGTTATTGTACGTCCTTCGCTCGCCTTACGCGCCGCAGGCAGCGGATACTGCTATGGCATGCACATATACCCTATCTTGGGCAAGGAGTTACTTGATGATGAGTCCAGCAAATCGAGCAAGTCGAGCAAGTCGGGCAGCTCGATGCACACCGACTACGAGGTATGGCGGCGGTGGGAGGACTGCCTATGGTTTCAAGACCTCCTCGAGTCGGAGTATGGCTTGATGGCGCGCACGAAGCGGCAGCGTCTTGCCGCGGGCAAAGGGATCAAGAAGAACGGTGTCTATATTCACTCTGACCAGGCGGCGTCCTTCGAGTCGCTTCCGCCCGGTCCCGAGGCGAACAGCATCGCGAAGGACATCCACGAGATCGTGCCCAAGCTGACGAAGAAGGGCACCATCTTCCGCGCGAGCCAGTCGACGATCGACCAGCGCGGTCGCGAGTTCAAGGCAATGATCGATTCGCTCTGGAGTGACGAGTTACCGACATTGATGAAGGAGCTGCGCGACACGCGTGCAGTTCGCGACTTCTTTGGATACTGGCGCCGCGATATAGATCACGACAAGAAGCTCAACCCGCATCTCACATCGAGCGGCGATGACAAGCGCGGTTCTCTTGCAGACAGCACGATGTCCATGTATTTTTCTGCCTCCAATCTCTCTGTACAGATACCTGAGTCCCCCCGCCACTCTGCGCACCCATCTGCACCCTCACCGAACCCATCCACTGCATCTTCTCGCCGCACAGTGAGCGGCAAGTACGCACGTTCGGACTCGATTACATCCTCCTCGAGCGCCTCGAGTAGCGCCTCCCCCCTTCCCCTTTCCCCTGAGGCTTCATCACCTGCACTTCCCTTCTCAGTCTCGCACCGCGGTTCGCTGTCTATCCCTTCGCCTGTACGCAAGGTTGAGGATGCGCGGCCAACCAGCGCGCGGAGTTCAACCGGATCTACGTCCTCGCTTTGGTTGGCACGCAAGCCATTCCTCGCGAAGGGTGCGGAGACGCGCGTGGGCATCGAAGAGGTGCCGTTTGTGCTCATGGGCGATGGTGCTCACCATACGTTGCAATCGCTCCCTGAAGACAGCGAGCTCGTCGAGCCAATGAACGAGCTCAGTATCCAAGCGCCACGGCCCCCACGGCGGGTGCGCATTAGCTCATGTCCTGACCCAACGAATCGCAATTGTGTGATCATCGAAGGGGACGGGGACACAGACGGGGACGAAGATGTACATACGGTGTACGACGACGACGCGTCGGCGATGACAGTATCGCCCTCATCGCGGCCGTCATCTCTCACGCCGTCGATGCTGTCCGACTTCTCGACGCCCTCATCTTGGCGTACATCGATCGCGTCAGAGTTCAGCATCGCGACGGCCATGTCAAGCTTCCCGCCAGACCCGTGTGCTGACGAGCGTACAGTGAATGGCCATTTGGCGCGTTACGTCCCGTCGAACCCCGCGCGGGCGTCGATCGCGACGATCAATTCGCTCATGTCGGGTACGTCCGTGGATGCGGTGCTCCCGCGCAAATGGTCGCCCCCACCAACAAATGGCCTGCGGCGCTCACTGTCGGCTGGGTCACGGCGGCGGCCAGAGAGCTCCCTGTCGATGATCCCTATCCCAACGGAGGAGATGTGGGACGGGCAGCAGGATGATTTCGTAGACGCATATTTCTATGGTGAGTCGGGCGTAGCGTAGCAACGTGCATTGGTCAGAGGCTAATCAATGACCAGATCCTACTCTGCGTTCAGCCTCACCCGACGAGTCTGTATACAGCTCGGACCAGGGCGACGAGTACACGCATTTCAACATGCAGCCGTCGTCTCCTGACCGATTCCCCAAGTCATTCCAAGACAGACCGCCTGCGCAGTTCCACCTGCCATTCTCTGCGCAGGCATCCAGTTCTCCCACATCTGCCGCATACAGTCTCACGAGCCCTACGGGGCCAGAGACGTTCGCGGTGAAAGTGATTCTTGACGACTCGATCGTGCTCCTGCGCGCTACCTACTCTATGTCATTCCTTGAAATCCGCGAGCGCATCCGCGAGAAGTTCGCCAAGCACGAGGGTTTGAAGCTGCCCGAAACCTTCGTAATCGCGTACCTGCCACCGAACGACCGAGCGCGGGTGGCGGCACAAAGTCGGGCTCGCTCGAACTCATGCTCGACATTTGGAGGGGACCAAGCGCAACCGCTGCGCTATATTTCTTCTGACGAGGAGTGGCAAACTGCCATCGCGAGCTCAGCTGCAAAGCTGACCATCCGAATTTTCCATGCGCGGTTGTAGGTCCACTTATCCCCTGGAATTTGCATGGTCTGTCTTCTCTTCTCCGACCTTCGAATTTCGCCTTCTCAGCACACCTTTAAACTCAAACCATCATTGTCCTACTTATCTATAGCTGTATATTGGGGTGTCGCGTGTACTTGTGACCTTATCATTCATTAGCTGTTGTTCGACTGTTGTAGGTTAATCGCAGTTTGTGACCCCGTCGTGAAGTGTTCTTAACTCGTTGTCACACCAAAAGTAGGGTGTATTAGAGTAGGCCGTATGTGGAGACATCAATAGAATTACATCTTATGCACCAACCTCGGTCTCCGTCGATATCGGTATTTGTACAGGCGTGGGGCGCGGCGCAGGTGGTGCACCAGCGGGCAATGGTGATCGTGTCCAATCAGGGAGGATGTTTTTTGGTGATCGCATGGTCTCGGGTGCAGTCTCCATAGCATCATCGTCCGATTGTACGTCTGCCTCGTCCCATTTCTCCCGTGCGACCTCCACCCCTCCGGTTTTGAGCGCGCTGCGTAATGAGAGTAAGCATACCATTGACACAGAGATGAGAAGCTAACATACCCAGCTAAGGATCCACCAACCCATGACATTGTCGCAGGAGTGAATGCAGGCGCTTTTCCAGCGTTCGAGCTCACGCTGGAGATGGGAGGTGGTGGGGACGGATTGTTTAATATGGTAAAGTACGGCAGTAACGGACATAACGGCGCGTATCGGTCATATGGCGCGGGCCGTGGACGCTCGCGGCGACTGGGTGGTCGGGAAGAAGCCGAAGCAGGTGATGTTGATATCGCACGCACGAGCTCCGCATGGAGCCTCGGGATAAAGCCTGGTAACATGGGCGTGCCACCAACGACTAGGATAGTTGACGCGAGGGCCTTCCGAAGGTCCACCGGGACCTGGTACGCCGCACGCGGTGGCTTGAGCCCATGTTGCATGAGAGCTTAGTAATGAGACATACCTTGAGGAGCGAGTCAAGAATAACCTCTGCCATGCTACTCTCGTCGACGTCGCCACCCTCGAAGAGCACTTCTGCGGCACGCTCCCGGATCCAACCGGGGATAACGAGTGTACCGCGACCAGTGCCGGTCTGCTGCGATGCGGGCGGATCCACACGCATGTGCAGGTCCGTCGCGGTCGAATGGCGCGTGTACATACGCGAGAGGGCTTGCAGGTGGGTCTCTCCGGGACGGCGGTCAGGGTTAGGCACTTGCGAATGGGAGACGACCGAAAAGCCCGAGGATGCAGCATGTTGACTCGAGAAGTTGCTCTCCATATCTGCAGAGACGCGAGAAAATTCTGACTCAGACATGGCTGGGTCACTCGGGGGAAGGTCTAATTCTGTCGAATCGTCACCGGAGGGGGACATAATGTGCGCGTCTGATACGTCCAGAGGCTCTCCAACGAAGCAGCAGCGCGTCTTGATTTCTTCTATGACTGCATCGGTGAGGACTTCTTCGGGGACCCGCATGGAGCGGGTTGCCGCTGGGATGTTTGCAGCCGCGCTAAGCGAGGTTAACGGCGGGATATATGTGCCGAACAGGAGGAGGAGGGCACGCAAATGCGACGATAAACGCATTCCCGCTAATGGTGTCGTGCGAAGCTGTGGAAATAGCGGTCTAGACGAGAATATCTAGCTAGAGATTGGTTACATCCAACACGTGTAGCACAGCGTGCTTACCGGAAGAGCTGTTGATTCAAGATGACCGCAATCTAGCACCAGCCCTGTTATCCGCCCAGCAGCAAGCAATGAGAGCAGATGGCTTGACGCGAATGATATAGAGGGGACCTAACATAATGAGCCATCTCTCTGCAAAGCACGACGTCCGCGTACCTGCAGATTATCGAACAATATTCTTGCAATAGTCTCCTTTATGTGCAAGGGAAGTAGAGGATGCTCCACCAGAATTACCTTGCGCGACTTCGGGTCGGTCATTAGTGAGCTTCGTCCGGGTCAGAATATGCGTAGCAATCGGTGGGCACAGGCACACACTTGTGAAACACGAAGCGTAGACTTGTCTGCAACCTTGCTTCGAGCAGCCTATCCTCTTCCTCACGCTCGAGCAAGCCGGGTGCTCTGTTCAGTGTCCAGACAGACGTGCCACTCTCTCCTCCCGCGTAGAAAACGTCCCTGGGCTTGCCCTCGCCGCTGAAGCCCACCTTCCAGAGACGCGATCCTGGATCTATTATCACACGGTCTTCTGTGCCGTAAAGCGAGTGCCGACGGGTGGTCTGGTAATGCGGCGACGACTGTATCACATGCGATGTGGTTACTCGGGTTGTTTGCGGGGTTGTAGTAGGGGCTGCATCATAGCCAGTCTGTCTGCGCGGAGTAGCAGGTGCTGTGTCCATAGTCAATGCAGAATTCCAGACATATACAATGTTCCAGGTGAAGTTCGGCTCTCAAGTAGTGGACCGAGGGTAAGGTGGACGCGCTCGTCTGAGATGTGTCGCGCCCCACGTGACATTCATACCGTCACGTCGCGGTCGAAGTTGCAGGCCCTGTTTGACCGTTTATGAAAATGTGTCGCACATTTTCTGGCTTAATTTAGCTTTTGAGTTGTCATTGCCAATAGGTTGACGAGCCACATCAGCAACAACACCTCCATATGCGTTCATTGAATCTACGAGTACTTGCTGAGACCGGCCAAGCAGCAAGTAGCATTCTGCACATGTTGTTTCCTCGTTGATGTCACGAATCACATATTCAGAAGTGGACAATGAATCATGTAGACGAGGTGTACATAAGTCAATGCTTGAGAGCGATGTTCTCCAAGATATCCTTCAACTGCCCAAATTTTGGCGTTCCGAAGCCGCTAATTGGGTCACATCCAATCGTAGCCTAGATAAAGTATTGCGATAGTGTCAAGGAACGATGAGAAAGCTCACATTGAATCCATAAGCCCCACACCCCGGATCGGACCCCTACACAACGTCATTGAAGCTTTCAGGGAGCAACGCCCCGATAGCATAGGTAAGGGGATTTGAAGGGCCCGGCGGAGGAATTACCATCACCGACACCTAAATCGCCAGAGGCAAACATTAGCGAGGCACCTCTGGCTCCTGCGGTGAAGAGGTCCGTGGATGGACTCCTTCAACCATGCACACACCCAGTTAAGCAAACCCAGAACAATTATCCTTGCGTAACTCTCCGGGACCGCGAGGACGAGATGAGAGGCAGAGACATGAACAATACGCGCGATTAGCCCACGTGCCACCCTGCTCGTCATCACTACAACTTGTCGAGATGGTCTGCGGAGGGTTCGGAATACTTAAGATGTGATCGCGCCACTAACGGTGTTGAGATTCGTTGTCAGTGCCCGCCTTCAAGGTCATGATAAGAGTCACTTGACCTATGTTGGCATAGGGCTCGTTCGTATTTGTGAATTCGATCGCATCGGCATCGTAAGGAGGGATACCCGCGGTGGACCAAAATATCCTCGGCGTCGACCATGTCACACCTCGGAAGGCATATTGGGTATCTAGCGAAGACGCTTTCGGTGAAGGCACGCTTCGATAATTGACCATCGTGCACGCACCTAGGCCGGCCTCGCCGGAATCGCTCTCAGTTCCAGCCAGTGACTGATTATTCTGTGCGCCATTAACGATTACAAAGTCAAAGGTCGCATCCTCTACCTGTGGAACGTCTTTCGAGAATAGCTCGAAGTCGTCGAAGTTCGCGTGAGCGTCCGAATACCCCGGGTGGAGACCCCGATGTGATTTTTGTTTGTCGCGGCAGGCTCGTAGCCGACCACATTACAGTTCCTGTAAGCATTGCGGTGTGACTGATTCATTGCAGCTTGCATCTGCTAGTCCTTTGTACGCGTGAGGCACATGTATGTATTGAGAGTCGGTGCTTGTGGCATTTCTTCCGAAATAATGCTACGTCATCATTATACGATTGGCGCGCGCAAAATAGGTCGGCTGGATTACATCAACATGCTCGTGCAGGTGTTCCGGTAGGTTATAGGATGTTGTCCGGATTACGGAGTCCCCGCTATCATGTACCCAGACATGGTATTGCTGCATCACGTATTTCATCAACGCAGACTCATCTGAATGTTCGGATGGCTTGACTTACGGTATTGAGCACTATGTCAGCAGGAGCCACAGGGTTCTTCTAATGTAACCCAATGCTTATCCGGTTAGCGTGCAGCGAAGGCGTCGAGTGTCAATACTAGCCAGAAAATGAGGATCCGCATGCTGGCTGAAAGGTGAGCGGACACCACTGTCAACACTACTATGGGTGCGGGATCTGATACATCTCAGGATGTTGTATACCAGAGATGCTGTCCAGCAGCATGTCCTGGAAATGATACGCTCAAGGGTACAGCCTCCATAGAGGCAGATACGAAGTCCGGGTCTGAAGGCAATGAGACATACCGCTGACCCTGATTCACCGTCATACTATAATTTATCGGGCGGCTGTCTTTCTCCCTGTCATGATCTCGCGAGTGGTGCATACCCCAGGGGTCGGAGAAGGTGTTATAAACAGATCGCATTGTGCGCTCACTCAGGCGTTTCCACGCGCCATGTGCATGACCCACCTTGCCGCGTCCTTCGATCTTGTCGTGCAGCTAATCTTCTGATGAGGCTACGCAAGGTTGCGGATTCCATCTAGCGCCACTCGACGCTAAAATAGACCCTCCTTTCATAGTGGCGCGGCCGTGATGCCCGGTACCTGACATTATTAGGTCAGTGCGTTGCCATGATGTCACCTCGCAGGTGTAAACTGTTTGTCAACAGTCCTCTTCAGCTACCTTCATATATCCGCACCACGCCTGATACGAGTAGCAGTGATTGTATCGTCATGGGAGTATCTGCTAAGCACCCACAATACACATCGGTCTGCCTAAGCGCTCCATAGCGCTGATGTATTGCCAAGTACAATATCCTTCAGAACACCGAAATTCGGACTTCCCCATCCTGTCACAGGATCCCATCCCACTGACGCCTGCACCGCACTTTATATCAAAATACTGCAAGGACGGCGACACTAGACTCACATTGAACCCCTGAGTACCGCAGCCAGGAGCATTGCCCACTGTGATATCATTGAATGCAGGCGAGGAGATGGTGCCGAGCGCGTAGACCAGAGGATTAAGGAAACCCAGGGGGGACAAGCTATTGGCAATGCGTGCATCATTCAAAAGGGACACGATGCCCGAGAACGACGGGGTCGATGCCGACGTTCCGGCAACTAGGTACGGACTCCCATCCCAGAATATCTGGAAGTTCACTCCCTGTGCTGCGACATCGGGGATTGCCTGCATATGGGGAATCAGTTACGGAGCAAAAATCACCATGTTCTTGAATCACATACACGGCCATTCCTGTGCTCAAATCAGAGTCAGAGCGTTTCGAAAGCCAGTAGATGCACAATTACTCACGGATTATACAGCCCCGCATAGGTACCTGGTGCCAACTTGCTCAAATATGCTTCAACAGCAGAATTCTGGTAGGATGGACGCGGGAACTGGCATGTAATTCTATCAGCTATCTACTAATCAGAAATGCTTGTGATCGGCACTTACATAGTTGCTGAATCCACCGCCAGAAAAGTTGGCTGCAATCTCAGGAACATACTGTAACGCGCCAACTGCAGTCACACTGGGGTACAGACCTGCTCACTCTCCCATAACTTCAACGAGCACTCAGACTTACTAGGGACAGCTTGCAGGAAATCCAGGGATGAACTCTGTCACATTGCGTCCGTCATTGCTGTAGCACTCCTGCGTTGCTGGGTCGGGATCTCCGTCACCCACTCCACCGTCACCAGACGCAAATATAATCGAGACGCCTCGAGCTCCTAGAAGGGAAGTTGCATTGTAGTGCCTATTCGGAGAAACATCGCAACACGCACCCAATTGAGCGAAGTCCTCGCAGACGCGCTTCGCGTAGCTGTACGGAACTGAATGGAGAAGAAGCAGCTTGAGAATTGGATTTCTAGGGTTCGTATTACACCAGTTACCTGTCTGTTCATCATCACCATAGCTTGTCGAAATCGTCTGTGGTGGATCCTCTATAGAGAGCATGTAGCTAAGCCACTGCGTGTGCATATCGTTTAAAAAGGGAGCACTGTGATCGACTCAGGTACCTACTTCGCTATACGGCTCGTTTGAGTCAGTTGGTTCAAGATCATCCGGCTTGAAGGGCGGGCTACCACCCGTCGTATAAAATGTCGCGGGGGTCGGATAACTAAGGCTGAACGCATACTCGACGTCTGAGAAAATCTTAGTGCCAAAAGCAACCGACGAGAACAAACAAATGTACCAAGGTCTGCCTCGACACCTGCTTCTGCTGGTGTCTGATTGTTCAGACCACCTATGGACACATGATCAAACGAATTGAAACTGGCCAGCATTAACAGACAAACCATTGACGGACACCACAGAAAACGTAGAGCCAACTGCCTGAGGCAGAAGTGCCGCGTAGAACATTTGTAGATCCTCATGATTTGCATATTCATCCAAATATCCGGTGGCGGCGACCTTATTGACTCCTGCGGCGGCTGGTTCGTAAGCCACCGCATTATACAGCTGCTTGAGGCACGTTGGTGTAATGGTGGCGTTACAGCTCGCGTTCACTTGTCCTCCATATGCAGAGGGATCAGGAATGTATCCCGGATCAGTGGCCATAATCGAGGACTGTCTCTGTAAAGAGTTGTAGGTAGTACTCATCCTCTTGAATCGCGAAAACATTGTCGTGGGTTGCACGAGGTCCACATGATCAACAAGGTGCTCTGGAAGACTGTACGATGTAGTGCGGACTAGTGAGTCTCCGCTTGCAGCGTGAGTCCAGATGTGGTACTCCTATGATTATGCATGAGTAGGAACGTCAGCCCGCTCTTCTGGGTGGATGTACCGTCTTCAGCATGGTCTCTGCCAGGCTGACTGGAACCTTGACAGTGATCCAGTCATTTGCAGGAGAACGAGACAGGGCATCTCCTGCAAGTCCATGAGAGGCAAGCCATTCTTCGACCAACTGTACACTGTCATCGTGTGGAGCAACAAGCGCTTCGACGTCCTCCTTGGATAAATGCGCACCGTAGCGTGGATGGAATGGATCGCTGACGATCGATGCTCAGAGTGAGATGTAGCTGCAGTAGAATGGATTGTGCGCACCTGATTTCCCACAGATGCTGCTCCAATTCGGCGAAGTTGGACTGCGGCAATGCAATCCGAAGCTCGATGTCATGATCAGTCGGTGCAGGGCTACCCTTGATCCAACCTCGAGGCGGAGAGACGCTCTCCTTGACCTTGTGAGCGCATTCTCCCGCAGGTGCAGCGGCGACCAGAGACGTCAAGGCAAGTCCAAGCCACGCCGAGAGAGATCTCATGCTGGAGTTATGCCAAGGACTCTAACCATGCAACAGCGCAGCCCTACGGCTTATAATGCGGCCAAAATGATGCCGCTTCCGAATGGCACACGACCCTGAGAGTAGGTACTACAATAGACACAAGGGACATGCGCATGTGTCATTTCGAGGTCTGATGAGGATGGTGCGAAACTTCTTATAGCGGCTCTCAGGAACTATCACCGAGCATGGACGACCTCGTGATACAAAGATATCAGGTCGCAACGAGGGAGTAAACAAGCACTTTGCATGCTGTACAGATTCCCCAACAAGAACAAGGGCGCTGGCGTGGCGTCAAGGGCTTCTCCGCGCTAAATCGAACGAATATAGGAAGCAGTTGTCGCTCCGGGATCCGTGTCGCCAAATCCAGCAAACATCCACCCAGGTGGTTGAATGCCGAGTGAAATCATACAGGGCAACATACATCCAGAGTCCCGCTGCCGTAATTCACTTCGCATTTAGACTCTCTATACCAAAATCGCCTGCATTTGTGCGATCAAGTTCGTAGAATGGGTCACGCATGCTCCCTGTCTTCGCGCGCCACAGCTGAGTGTATAACGCTTTGATCTTCTGCAATTCCGCATCGAGAGCAGCGGTTTTGTTTGCGAGCGCAACGAAAGTTGCATGCTGAGCCTCTAACGTGGACGATATCGCTACAACGTACGAGCCGAGATCAATAGTTTGTAGTACAACCGACCGATCAAGGATCCCACCTTGAGGAGTAGCCTGTGATTGAGCCGCAGCAGACGATAGCTTCCGTTCGATTTGCTGCAGTGAGCGAAAGTAAGCAACGCATTTTGCGCCGATAACTTTACACGAACCTCGATCGTCGTTTTGTACCATCGCAGTCTTTCTCGCATCTGTTCAGTCATGCGTTGGAAGAACCTGTGATTCACGGTTTCAATGCGCTGGTCCGGCGAAAAGTCCACCACTCTTACTCATATGGAAAACTGGCGTGATTCTTCAGGTAAGCGCCATGTTGTTGCGGGTTGCGGAAACCGTCCACAATCCGCGTTGCAACAATTGTGTCTTGTACTGTCTGGTCTACCTTTGCCTTCAAATCTCGTGTGTGCATCACATCTGAATGGAGAGTGGTGATGGCATTGACGAGTTCCTAAACAAATACAGGCGAGTGTTACAATTCAATTGCTAGCAAGGGCATGTGCCATGCAATTTCACCTTATGCACACCACGGACAATGTCTTGCCCTTTGACCGCTTCTTCGCCAAGTTTGCGCTGCTTCAAGTCATTGCTAATCTGCACACGTCCTTGAATATGGGAACTGATTGTTGATCACATCTCAGCGAACGTCGCATTCTCCTGCCAGAGCAACCTACTTTATGTCCTCGAATATCTTCTTAACATTATCAGGAAGATCATTGAACTTAGTTGATCTCGTAAATGGCACTTGTCCTGCCGTCTGGCTGGCTGCGAGCGATCTGACCAAACGATCTAATATATCAATAAAAGATTCATAGGATGAGAAATACACCAACGGTTGCTGTGGCCTGCCAAAAAGACCACCAGAAGTATTGGTCAATGGGCCTAGGGTTGATTGCCCAGGCTGTGTCGTGCTCGAGCCCCAGCTGCCCAAACCTGTCGATTGCCCGCCAGTGTTCGTACTCGGTCCAAAGAGTCCAGTCGACGCGTTGTTCTGTTGCGTATTATTGAATAGAGACCCGCCGAGCGCAGGTCTCTGCTGGTTACTTAATCCGAAAAGCCCTCCCGAAGGCTGTTGTTGTGTATTCGTGTTGCTAAAGAGGCTTGTCGAAGGCTGCTGCGTGGTGGTGTTGCCAAAAAGCCCGCCAGACTGCTGCTGCTGGTTTGGGTTCTGACCTAACGGTGTACCGAAAAGCGAAGTTCCCTGAGCCGGTTGGTTCTGCTGCTGCTGATTGTTGTTCTGCCCAAATGGCGTGCCGAACAAGGATGTTCCTTGCGTTGAGGCCTGATTCTGATTCTGCTGCTGGTTTGGGTTCTGACCTAATGGCGTGCCGAACAAAGAGGTGCCCTGCGATGGTGCGTGCTGGTTGGGATTCTGTCCCAGCGGTGTACCAAAGAGTGACGTTCCCTGCGTCGGTGCTTGCATTTGCTGGTTCGCGTTCTGGCCTAGCGGGTTTCCAAAGAGTGAGGTGCCCTGCGCTGGTTGGTTCTGTGGTTGATTCGGGTTCTGACCCAGTGATGTACCGAAGAGCGAAGACCCTTGCGCAGGGGTTTGGTTCTGCAGCTGGTTCGGATTTTGGCCTAGGGGTGTGCCAAAGAGCGAGACACCCTGAGTTTGCGTTGAGCCCAATGTGCCAAAGCTTGTGGCCGGTTTAGCACCAAAAGCCGAAGTCCTGTAAACGGTGGCGTCGTTCTACATATTACGTGATAGACGGTTTGGCAAGACTCACCCGCTCCCAAACGACATGATCCGTTCCACCGTCTATGCTGAGTTCCTATCGCTGTCTCCAGCAAGGCCCACGGGGGTTGAAGGCAGTCAGTAGATACGTTGATGAAGGACCGGAGGACGTCGAGCTTCGACTGCCTAAACCGCGCGGCCATGACACGTGCGCGTGTCACAGACGCGCTTTGTCACAGACGTTCATCAAGTGTCACGCGCCCTGGCATCACGTTGACGCGCTCAACACAGCATTCGCTCGTCCAGAAATGGCGTTGGCCCGGATATTACGAAGGTGTATCCAGGTAAGCCAATTGACCCCTGCGGCTGGCATTGCATTGCTGACACAACAGCCCAAGCATGATGAATAATAGTGGGAGGTACTATTAGATACCGCAGTACCACAGCCGAGCGAGATCTCCATAAGCTGAAGGTCCACGGTCGCATGCAGCAGATCGCCGTTGGCCCCACAATTTGTCCAGAGTGGCAGTCCTCTCAGCTGCGCATAGAACCCTAGAGCACCCCCTGTAAGTCGCTGCCAGGTACACCGTGCCGTCCCAGCAACCACGTCCCGTGATGGAGTACTGCATTACTGCCGATCTCCATGAGGCTTGCACGTCCAGGGAGTTTCTCCCGACCAGCGCGCGAGACCACACCAGGGGCGCGCTCACCATAAGCGATGCTTCGTGGGCCCCGCCATCATACCTCACTACACCCGCGGCCTCGCCCCACCAGCGGGGCATTTTTGGCATAACGAGCATGTGAAACTCGGGTTTCGGGGATAGCACGAAGCGGTACGTAGCGCGCAATTTCTTCTAATTACCTCAACGCAACGCCAAAAGACGCGTCGCAGCCCAAGGGCGCCCACGGATGTGGGGACCTGAGCATGAGCGGGCGGGCGGGGCGTCCCAACTGGAGGATGTCCGCTGGTTCAGACGTGTGTACACACTAGACTATGTATGTCTTCCCGCGATGCTGTGTGCCCTCGAACATGCTGCTCCGGAGCGTGCGCGGCGCTATACTGCATGTGGTGACCGCTAGAGCGCCTGTCAGGCGGACATGGTCATGCATGCCGCGGCTTGTGTGTGCGTCGGTCTAACTCTCGGCTCTCCTGGCGAGACCGCGCGGGGTGCTGCGCGATGACACACTGGTTGCGTGGCGTTCCTGAACGCTGTGCAGAGCATCCCGCATACAGCAACTCAATGCAAATGTCAACGGGAATGCATGGCGGAGTTGAGTTCACTTGGCCATACGGCACACATTGAATTCCGAAAATACTGGTGCCGGTATCTGCTGATCGCTAGGCTGGTGGGTGTTGAAATGCTTCTAGTTACCAGTCTCAGTCAGCGCTGATGCACAAGTCAAAATCTCTAGACAGATTTTGTACCGGATGAGACCTTTGTCGATGATCATCTTCCATTATGATCGGGAGAGTCTTCTGGCGTTATTTCTGTCTTCCTTTTTGCACTGCGGACACAAACTCCAGGCTAGACCGTGAAACTCGTCCCTTGGACGCTGCCAATCCGGTCAGTCTCCAAGTCGCACAGAGGTGCCGTTCGGCCGCTTTTATGCATTTCTGGACATCCTCGCCCCAGATCGCAGCAAGGCATACTGCGGGTCTTGACACTGTCGGTGTCACAGCTCATGCTGGTTGTCTTTTACTTCAGGACAACTGGATACGTGAGGTTTGCTGGGCACTACACGCTAATCGCTTCCATCGACGCTCTTCCGCGAAAGGCGAATGCTCCCCAATAGACCAACTTGCATTACTCAGTCCGATTGCATATCATCTCAATCCGCGTTACCCCATTGTCGCTGTGGCAGCCTTTCGCATTTTTGGATGCATCGCCGGTACCAAACAATGCCATATAGTGGCGATTTTCAGACACTCTTGGGTGTGATTAGGATTGCGCTCGAGACGCAGCTCATGACGTGGCAATTTAGTCGCTGCCCGCCGTGCCTGAACGTGCGTTTCACGATGCTATCCGCGAACACGTCGGCTGGAGGCACCCAACTGCGCTAGAGGATCGCGGCTGGCTGTAAGGGCCGCCGCGTCAGGGTTAGGTTAGCGCAAACAGGAGATCTGGCGGGATCACGATTTGGATTGTGATCGGAAACACGTGGAAGCAGTTTGCCGAGGAATGCCGATGTTTAGCGCGAAACTTGGGACGCATCGGGATACGTCGGGTTCGCTCCCATCGCAGATCTCTGACGCGGTTCTGAGATTGTCGTTCTCCAGTGCGGTGGCTTGACGGCCTCGACCAGACGCGCTCTGTGCTGGAAACGCCGCACCACGACGTTGCATCTGTTTCACCGGCACATATCTATTCGGACTAGCGTCCGCAATTCGCGTCTGCATTGCGTTTTTGGATAATCGTATCCAGGGCGACGTGTGCGGTGACGATCTACTCGGACACGGCGCTGGCGAGCGAGGGGCGGGCATTCTGCTCCCGGCTGGCACGCAGGCTGGGGGCCTCCTGTATCACCCTCATGGCGTTAGAAGCGGCTTCTTTCGTCCCAGGGTACCACAGCAGTCGGGCAGAACGACCAGTCCGAAATCATCGAACGCGCGGTAGCCATAAGACACCTTATGTCAGGCAAGGTTTAGCAGGCAGATCGAAGTCGTCCTGCACGCAAACGCATTTGTTTCACGTTTCTGGCACCCGGTTAGCTGCACAACTATTCAGCCAGCATTCCCGCGAGACCATCGAGCCCGGCAAATCAGTCGTGAGTTTGGCATCGGCATCTGTTACAGTTTTCGAGGCTAGTCCAAATTCTCGGATCTTTCTGTAATAAGCAGTGAGTTCATTGGTTTTAGCCATGACTCGGTTGTCACTTGCGCAACCCTCCAGCGTCTTACCTTTGTTGGGATGAAACATGTTACGTTGTCTTGGATCTGTGACTTCGTGTACTTGTTACCTTCGTGGTCCGCCACGGCACTGGATCATTCGCGGGGGCGGAGACTGTATCTTGATGCGGTCGTGTCGCAGCGTGAAGAGAGATATAAGGGCTAGCCCTTGCAGTCGAATACCCCACTCAACCTCGTCAACTTTCTTTAATTGCATTTCACCTGCCCGTGTATCGACCTGTACACGTTCCGTTAACTATTCAAACTAATTCCTAATGGCCGACCGAGACTACGTATGCCCTTGCTTCGTTGTTTAAGGCCATCCCTTCCTGATCATTCGTTGTTCAATGTCTATAGTCACACAGGAACGACAAGAGCGACGACTCCGATGGCGAGTCGTATTCTCCTCGTACTCCTAGACGCACGCCAATGGCCTGCCAGTTCTGTCGAGGTATGGATTGTCTCATCTCGTGGTGCACATATGTAACAATGCTTATCTGTTCTGCAGGCCGTAAGATGAAGTGTGATGGTAGACCCATCTGTGCGAATTGCAGTCGTCGTGGCATTGCATGCTCTTACGTACCGGTGTAGGTTTCCGAGCTGCCTTTTCTTAACCCCATTGAAGCTCACACTTGCGGCTGCAGGTCGGCACAACAAAAGTAATTGCTCCGTCAATCACTCACTACATCGTCCGTGCTCCCCTTATCGAAGCTCCTGCTCGCCCGTGCTCTCCACATCGCATCGTTCTTTGTTATTGTCCGTCTCTCGCTCTCGCTCGCTTTGTAGCAGTAGCCCGCTCCGTAGTCGTATAATCACATAATCGCACCCTATCCTACAACCTAGACTTGTACTTTGTTTATGTACGCTTGTTGGTCTACCTGTGTACACGAGATACAGCAGTAGTAATCACCTCTCGACGTTGCCATACACATGCCGACTTGATCGCATATACATATTCTTAACTTAACTTACTTCCATCGTGCCAGATTGCATCGTGCGTTGAATTCCCTCGGACGCTATCCGGCACATCGCCGGCCCCAGAACCCGCGTCCATGTGACATCCAGTGACAGCCTGCTTTTCAAGCTTAAGCTTCAGGATGCAGCTTGGGCTTCCATGTCCGGGCATGCGTTATCTTGGCTGTATGCCCGATTACACACAGATGCAGTCCGATATAAGCCTAGCAGCTGCACACTTCCGACCCTTGTTGTCTACACAGATACCCTTCCTGCAACGTGTCCCGCAGGGAAGCGTGGCTAACGATGGATTCCGAGAAGAGGCAACACCACGAAGGGAGCCCCGATCGCGAGCTTCCGGAATATCCTGCTGTCGGTGGCAGTCGGGCGGAGCTCACGCAGCACGACTACCAGCTCGAGGACAGCAAGGGCCGTTCGTGGCTCTTCCTGTCGTTGCGGAGCCACGCCAAGAGCGAGAAGCAGCTTCCACTCTTTCATAACGGAGACATTATCGCGGGGGACGTCGCGCTTGATTTCGATAAGACGAGCGGCGTGCAGGCCGTGTTCGTTGCAGTAAGTCTGATAATCGTAGACGCCACCGGATCCGCTCATCTCGCATGTCATGCGAGCCATTGAACTTGCGTTAGTGCTAAGGCACCGTGACTAATACTGTTTGTTTTTAGATAATCGCAGGTGTCACCGCAGTGGGCCAGGAGGAGGCCCGGTTCCTGCATCTCCCGGCGACTTTGTGGGACGGTAAATCAACAACGTCTGCGGTCGCGAAGCCGACCGGTAAACAGTCCTGGCCGTTCTCACTGGCTCTTCCGAGCGAGATCGCCCTTCCCGGGAAGGGCAAGCGGGCGTCGCAGACGTACATACTCCCGCCCAGCTTCTCTGAGCGTGCAAGCCCGGCGTACGTCGAGTACAAGGTCATCGTCACTGTGCGTCGCGGGCTCTTTCGTGCGAACCAGACGTGCGTGCGCCAATGTCCGATCGCGCCTAGCTGACATGCATACATATGCACATGGACACCATATGACGCTTGAATTTTATGGAGGGCCTGCAGACTGTCTACGGCCATCGTGTACCTACCACATTGGCGCGCAGACCCGCCGTCCGCGTCGCGTCACGCCGCGTATCGCAACGGCACCCCGCTGGTCAGCCCTGAGTTTGATCCAGACGGGTGGAAGGTACTGTCACCGGTGACTGTCAAGGGCACACTGTTCAACGCGCGGCAGGTGGAAGTGCAGTGCACGGTGCGCGTATATGCTTCTCTTCGCACCCGCCCATCACGTACACTGACAGCTGAATCTTGATTCGCCGCTGTTGCTGGCAGCTCGCAGTTGCTCGCCCGGTGAGTGCATCTGTATCTGCGGTGGTGTGATGCAACCGCGCTCATCAACATTGCCTGGACGTGGCGGCGCGATCTGAGCAGCTGTCCTTTGCGCGGGGATCTCCGATCCCGCTCTTCCTAACCGTCGCGGGCGCGGACGAGCAGGCAGTGGGCGTTCTGGCTGCGCCTGCTGCAATCAAAGTGCACTTGCGCCGTTCACGCGTGCTCGGACCGTATGCTACGAACGAGGAGGCCGACCCTCCTAGTGACAAGGTTTTCCGAGACATAGTCGGCACTGCATATTTCTGGCCCCTCGAGCAGGGTTCTTCGGGAAGGACAGCACAGACTCTGCAGGGCGAGCTGAGCGTGAATGTGGGCCTGAAGCCCAGCTTCACCTTTCCCGAGTTTTCCCTCAAGGTGCGGGGATGTCCATTGGGAAACGCGGCCATTCCACTGACACCCGTAGCGATGCATTTCCCGCAGTACCATCTCGTGCTGCTCCCTCCGCAAGCGTCTGGATTTTCTTGCAAGGGGTCTGCGAGTGAGGCGTTGTTAACAGAGCAGGCGGTCATCGCCTCCGCGGAGGCGATGGGCGTGCTGTCTCGCCGCTTCGCTCCGCCGGGGTACGTGCCTCCGGACGACACGGACTACAACAATTCTGTCGGCTATCTGGAGAATGGAAACCAGAGGTACGCTAAGGCACAATACGCACGTATGGCGCATAAATTAATCGCCTTGGGTGAATAGGTTCCTCCACCATTCCGGCCAGCCAGGTTTGTAAGCAAATTTCATTGTGACGAAAGTCCCTGTTGCGAGTATGCGTTTCGTGAGCGAAATTAGTGTGTATGCTGTATTTGCATACATGTATTAGTTAGTCAGGGTTCCTGTTTGAGGCTGGCCATCTGCGTGTATTTTTTTGTTTGGAGTTTGTGTGCGAGAATCACATGGTCCGGACAGTGGGCGGCATTGATTGCCGTAAGCAAGGTTGATCAGTCGCCGGATTGAGGGGTGTGGGGAACGACCGGTGCGCTCGTTCCCCAGCGAGTCTTGCTCGCAACATATCATCTATGCTCTCAGGCAACTCGGCGTAGCTACCAGCCCCCTTCCACGCGTTTCACCCACAACTGTCCTCCTTCGTAGCGCACCCATTTATCACGTCGTTCGTCGCTGCGGAGAACAGCATCTACCAAGGCAATGTCTTCCACGAAACCGACTCAGCTGACGCCCTTTGGGTATGCGCTGGCGGGCGCACTCGGAGGCTGTTTCAGCAATGCGTGAGTGTACTACCTGAAAGGAGGTGTCGCGGTGCTGATGGTGCACAGCGTTGTATACCCGCTAGACATGTACGCAACCCCCGCGTTCGTCGCACGCAGCACACTGACCGCGTGCCGTCTCTTCCAGCGTCAAGACCCGCATCCAGGCTACGACCGTGGATACCAAGGGGGAGAATGATAAGGAAAAGCTCAGCGTCGTCTCCGTCCTGCTCCAGATCCTGAAGGAAGAGGGCATCGCGGGGTACTACAGGGGGTTCACAGCAACGATGATCAACACTTTCTCCATGCGTGAGTCCCCTTCAATATCCCAATTTAACTCTTCTATGCGCTTTGTTCCGCCAGCTAGTGGATACACGCTGCGAGATACATCCTATATTTGACCTAGGTGTTTATTGGTCGCTCGGGGAGCGTCTGAATGGTTCGTCAGACTCGGGTTAATCCCGATTCGATGGCCGGAGCACCATATTCGTGTTCTATCTACGCGGAGGAAATGCGCTGCGACGGTGTGCATCTAGCACGAGGTGCGCGCCCCTATCATGGAACTGGTGAACCCCGCCCGAGGGCAGTGAACTTTGCCCTGGCCGTTGCAGCAGACAGCCCGTGCTCACCTTAAAGGACCATTCCGCACTAGCCTCCGAAGCACTGAGAATAAGCCACTCCTTGAACACGGGCGGATGTGCACCGTGTCACGTTCCCGAAAAGCTGTGCCGACGTAATGTTCGGCACTTATGTCTGGTAGGGGCTCGCACAATGCGTTTTGCGCGGAGCTGGTCCCTCGCTAGGCTTCCTGGATGTCTAGTTGTACGGTCGAGGTGCTCCGGGCTGTCACGGAGGTGTCGTCATCTTGGCTACATATCAAATGACACCCGTTACTGCCATACTCTTGCAGTATGGACCCGTATATTGCCAATTACCAGTGGGCGCGGCTGAACATGTACGCCTGTGCTGTTATTCTTGCGTTGTGTGTATTCCGCACATCTGTCCAGACATGAGACTCGACCGCAACCGTTTGCACCATGCTGCAGCCGTCATCCGCATCCGCATCGAAGTCCCATATATCGCCGGGAAGCCTACTCATCAGATCATAAGCCACTTGTCCCTTGATCACGGGCGGCCGTCCACCGCTAATTTTGCCCAGAAGGCCGCACACAGAATTGCTGCAATACGGTTGTGGGCGTGCATCGTCGGTAAAACCTGCGCAGTGATGTCTTGGCCTGTAGAGCGGAGTCGACTTCTCTGGCGCCGGAGCTGTTATAAACCATACGCCACTTAACTTTAAACTTTCTGTTCTTCCGTTTTTGCGGCGGTCGGAGCAATCATCGTTGGGCTATCCTGAGGCGTCTAGCCGGACGCTCGCGAAGCTACATTTCTTCTGGAAATTGTCACTACAGAGATTACCTGCAGATGAGGATTGCCGTTTGTACTGCGCGGCGAAACTATATCGCTACTGACTTGAGAAGCTAAAGCCTTCTTGGAAGGGTGGACAAGGATGACCAGGATGCCATCATGTGTGGCGTGTGGAACGTCACGGATACGTTCTGGCCATTATAGCGTGCATGGGACATTTTGACCACCTCCGAATGCAATGCTCCCCTGATACTTCTAGTTCAATGATATCCTGCAGTCATGTCCTGCACGCCCGAGCTACCGGGATGGAGCACATGACGCTGGTGAAAGCCTATCATGTCGGCCCTGATGCACTGGTCCTGGGCGGGCCCAGAGTCCCACCTCGGGCACTTTCTCCGTCAAACCCGGTGGTACTTACACATGCAGCGCCAGGCACAATGGCGTATGGCCGCTCTGTCTGGCCTGCGGACTAGCGTGGGTCCCGAATAGCATGCGCGCTCCGCACTCTCTTGTTGGGTAGATTGCTGCCGCGAAAGTGTGGTTCCTTTTGCCATGACATCAATGTCCAGAGGCAACTTGCCGCTGTCATTCCTCCTTGATCGTGATGCCACTATTGCTGACGTCCCTGCCTTTGCCGCGATGCTTTCTCACTTCCCGATGTGATTGTCGTATGCTGGATGTCATGCTGACTGCTTATTCTGTTGTCCAGAATACGCGTATTTCTTTTTCTACTCCTTCGTGCGCACGTCTTACATCAAGCGCCTCGCGGCACGTCTGCCTAAGGGCGCCAAGCCGCCCCCACTCTCCACCGCTGCGGAGCTCATCCTCGGCGCGATCGCGGGTGCTCTTGCCCAGATTTTCACCATCCCTGTGTCCGTCATCGCGACGCGGCAGCAGATTGGGCCCTCGCTTGATGGCCGACGGCGGCGTTCTGCCCGTGCGACGCCGGAGCGTAAGGCCGCGGACATCGATTCCGCGGCTGCGGCTGCGGGCCCGCAGGAGAGCGACGACTCGTTCTTAGGGGTCGCGATGGAAATCGTGGAGGAGGAGGGCATCGGCGGGCTGTGGCTCGGCATCAAGCCTGGGCTGGTGCTTACGGTGAACCCGGCAATCACGTACGGAGCATACGAGCGCGTGAAGAGCGTGCTACTCGTCGCACAGGAGAAGGCGACCGGTGTAACGGATGCGAAACTGAGTGCGTGGACGGCGTTTGCGGTCGGTGCGTTAAGCAAGACGCTCGCGACGGTTGTGCGTATCTTTCTGCTCGTGATTGATGTGGGTGCTAACTAAGAGCGGTACCTGCAGGTGACCTACCCGTACATCATGGCGAAGGTGCGCATCCAGGCGCGCTCGGCGGACGCGGAAGAGGCGGCAGAGGAGCATGTGCCCCCGCCCCCGCCACACGCGTACCACCACGTGCAGAATAAGCACGTTGGCGCGCTTGCTATACTTGCGCGTGTATGGCGCCAGCAGGGCTTCCTGGGGTGGTATCAGGTGGGTTATTCAATTCCGTGGTGTAACAAGGCGAGTTAAGCTCACAACCACGTCACTGCAGGGCATGGGCGCGCAGATCACGAAGGCAGTGCTCTCGCAAGCGCTGCTCTTCATGTCGAAAGATAAGTTCGAACAGTGGGCGCTTGCGATCATGGTCATGTTCTGGCATTTACGTAGAGGGAAGGCGTAGATGACAGAGTTGTGATAGTTGGTGGGTAGATGTGCTTGGTCCAGGCCCCCTATAACTTTTATATTCTTGCTCGTATGCTACATCAACTGTAGAGTGTGCACTGCATCTATTCATTTATGAACATAATGTGTTCTCATCGGCGAGCATTACAGGATATGTAAATGAGTGTCTAAATCATGTGAGGAATCTTGTTCAATTAATTGTAGTCATACACAGGGTTCAATGACATCAGTAGCATCGTCTCAAATGAGTCGTCCACTTTGCCCTCAGAAGTCCCCCATGCACCTACTCCCGCCAGTAAGTCCCGATCGTTCTCAGGGATCGTCCACGTCCTCGACTCGCTCCGTCTGCGCGCGACAAACACATACGACTCATCCTCACCATCCAGGGTTATCGGAAAGCGGCACCAGGCTCCTGCCTCGAGGCCTACACGGAGCGCAAGCACCGGTGCATACTCGAACCAGAGCCCAAAGGCGGACCAGAACGGCGTCTCTTTCGGCAGGCTACGGATCTTGTACGATATCACGATCACTGCGCTCTCGCCTGCGGGCGACCGGAAGGGAGGAGATGTGACGTGCAGTAAAGTGCGGAGGAGCGGCGCGAGCAATGCGGGGAAATATACCTGCGTGGGAAGTATGGGGAGGGAGACCGTCGAGTGGGGTAGGAGGGGAGGGGACGTACCAGGTCGCTGCAGATGATGTGGGTTGGATGACGGGGAGAGTGAGCTTCATTTGCTCCAGGCGTGGTGAGGCCGAGAAATATGGCAAGGGCCACTGCAGCTTCCGTACTTCCCCATGTGAGGGGCTGCACGCGGATTGCGGGGCATGCCTGGAGGTTACCCTCCAGGAGCCCGCATACGTCGGGTAGATCGGTGGCGAGAAGCAAATCACGGTCAACTCGCAGATGCTCTGCAATCCGAGAGGCAATAAGCCCAGTGCCCGATCCAAGCTCGATGATGGTCAAGGGATCTGCACATGCCATGCGCGTGAATGGCGGAGGATCAAATTCGAGCTGATCGGGCGCATCGCGATTGCTGCAATCGAGGTAGGAAAGCAAGATGTATGATGCTTCCCTGTTCGTCAATAATATAGGTGTTATGGCCACGATGGGACGAAGGCTTATCAAGTTTGGGTTGAACGCACCATACACGTCCTGCAATGCCGAACTTACTAATCGCGCTCGCTTGCGCGATTTCACCAAATCGCGTGTCTTCACTGCGAGTAGCACTGCTAGTTGACGGTCGGATATTGAGGTCGAATGGAAAGTTATGATTCAGAGGTATTACAGACATGGTTCAAAGAGCAGAAGCTCGGGTCTTAGATCTGAATCTACCGATGACAAGAAGCGATCGAGCAAGCAATCGATCGGGATCGCGCCACAAGGCTGCAAGGTCTGTTCAACATAGTACCACAAGTGATTCCAGCATGCAAATCTAGATAGGTGTATCTCTGTTCTTATGACGTGCCCTAGACAACAGGAACCGCAAATGCTTTCCGCTCGGCCTCGGCCGCAATGAACGCCTCGCACTCTGCATGGCTCTTCTTGACATCTACCAGATAGAGGAACACTGTGCTGGCTACGCCTCTGGAAGAGGCCCAAGCATATTCTGTTAGTCTACCACAGAGGAAAGCGAGGGTGTTAACGCACAGTGAGAACAAGAAGACGAACGGGTAATTGTCATTGTTGCCCGAGGCAGTAATGATGGCAGAGGACACGAAGGGCCCGATGAACGCTGAGGTCTTCCCGATCTGGCACAAGGTGAGACGGAGACCAATGAGCAGACAGGGACGGAGAGTGTGATGGAATTGTGACATACCACGGAGAAGAGTGCGAAAAAGAGAAACCTAGCCACGTTAGCAGAAAGGCCGTGAGTGGTTTCCTACAATTATCGAAGACGGGGCGCGTACATTTGGGGCATAGGAGAGACCTCACTTATCAATGTTTGGCTGTAGGCGTACCAGGGGCACACCGCCAGGCCGTAGTATGCCTGATACATCCTGTCGTCGTGCACACCGTCAACGAAATGTCCGACAAGGAGAGTAGGATCGCACCATATCTCCCAGACATGCTTGAACCCGAACTTATCCGTGTGGATGCCGATGAGGCCCCAAATCGTTAGGACCTGCGCATTATGTGGACGATGAGAAGAGCTGCCAGCGGAGAAAGCACGTGAGAGCTTACGATGATCCAAAATACGTTGAAGCAGAGCATCTGTGCACTAAACATGACGCGGGATATACAAAAGTCAGGAGCCGCACGTACCGCCTTTGTTGAGATCTTGAAGTACTTCTGCACTACCCAGTAGATACTGCAAAGCAGGAATTAGCCTTCGCAATGATCGCGGCAGACATCACGCACTAGATACCAAGTGCTTGTGTGATGAGCCCGACGATGAGGAGCAATGTCAGCTGCAGAGTGGAGTAGGATACTACACTATAAGAGTAAATCAATACGATGCGGGTCGACAATTGTCGCGCTGGTTATACCTGTTCTGTAGCGTGCCAACAACCGTACTGTGTATGAGGTCAGTACGACAGAGCAGCGATCAAGTGTTACGACCTTGCGCACACGGTGGTATTAAGCACATCTCCCCTGGGGCGAAACCATAAAGATCAAGTGTTGAGATGCACGGGCGCACACGACTTACATGAGGAAGTAGAATATGAGGTACAGGAATGTCTGCTTGAGCCTCATGCATTCACGCAGCGCCACATACGTCTGTTTGAATCCGATCGTCAATAGCGACATGCCTGGCGGGAGCGCGAGTCCAGCGCGCCGCTTCTCCAGGAAAAACCATGGGAGCGCGCAGAGCACTGTCGCCAATCAATGCACGGCCAGTGTCAGCAGGTATTGCACATGGAACATGACAGTCCAAGCACGTACGCCAGACGCCGCCTGAGAACGCGATGAGGACGCTGAATGCCTTGGTGTTGTTCTCCGTGCTCGCATCTGAGTGAAGCCCCTTGAGGATGCCAACCATGACGGCGAGGATAAGGACCTCGCCGACGGAGCAGATTGTGAAGGACATGTTCGAGATGCGGTTACGCGCAAGGGACTCGAATTTTGCGTGCTCTTCCACACTGGGGACAGCGTGTAGGGAAACCATTGAGGACACGCATACATCGAGGGTAAGGGCTCACGTTTTGGTGCCCGCCGCAACATCATCTTCGGATTGTTGTATTTCTGGGAGGTCCCGGGCGAGCCCGGGAAAGGCTGCAGTCCAGAATGTCAACGCACACTGGAGGGGTCATTAGGCCGCATGTTAACATAGGTCGGGATGGCCAGCAGCGGTACCTGATACGTTATAACTGGAAGTTACATCAGTGAATGTGCCTGAGGGGGTGCAAGATGTCCTCACGCCCGAGAATGTACAACGCGACGCCAGCCTTCCACTGCGAGGGATCCTCAACCCCGAGCCAGGCGAAGGACACCGCAACAGCAAGAAGGGTGAAAAAGATAGTGATATTGGGTCTGCACCGCGATATGGCTTGAGTAAATCCAGTCTGTCCTAATTCAAAACCGTACGCACCTCCACTGCCCGTAGTCCGCCCAGGCGCCGATCAAGAGAAGCACGGCGGCCTGTATCGCAAAGCTGATGCCATTAGTCAGGAGAACGATAGCGTTGACTGTGAGAGCTGGGGTGAGCACGCGGTCTCGAGATGATCGAAGGACCGTCGCACCGTCGCGGACACGTCCGAGGTAAGGGAGTACACAGTCTGTGCCTGTACCGCAGGGTACGGTGAACGGGGCATAGCTTGGGTCGTACCCCGCGAGGTACAGCAGATTCTGGAACTGCGAGGGCCCGAAATTGAAACCTGAGAGCCCATTGTTACCCTGCGTTCAGCGCAGTTAGCCTTGCCCAACGCCTTTTCATCGTCGCGTACGCACAATATAGTACACGTAGAATGCCCACAACTCCGGGCGTGTGGTCGTGAATGCCCGCTTATTCTCGAGTTGGAGGCTATCCGCCGGGGCGATCGCGTTCTCGACGCTGCCTGCATCCTTTTCATCTTTTTCCTGGCCGACGCTCGACATGGTTGGCGACGTTGGACAGAAGATGCCGCCTGCCTTGCGGGGCGATAAGGCGTACAGCCGGAGACGCCATGAAAATAAAATTAGACCCTGTATGCACTGACAGGGTGGTGCGGGTGATCAGAATGCCTTGACCGGCTGCAGCCACCTCGATCGCCGACGGCGACGAACGCGGCATGTTCTTCGATGCTACTCTCGACGGTCACGGCTCTCCTTACATATCTCCTCACGACATTCACTCACGACGACAGCCACGAGTCGCCAATTCTGCGGTTCGAGCTGCGCCAATATCATGCTGTCTCGTCCGCGGCGCACGTCCTCTTTCACGACGCACCTCCGGCTCCCGAATCCTTGAGACCACAGCATACACTAGGAACACGACTCATCAGATCCCGTAGACCCTCTTCTCTCGCAGCCCTTTCTGATGCACGCGCACGGTCACGCAAGTATGCGGAGTCCGTGCCAATCGACTGGGACGATGACGACGTGATCGGGCCCGACGTCGAGAGTCGTGAAACGCTCCTCGAGATCGCGAAGATGACGAACAATGCGTATCTAGAGCCTGCAGAGGCCGGCTGGTATGATCTGGGTGGCGGTTGGAACGTCGTGAGTGTTTTGCCACATCCACAATTCATTTGCGAGACAGGCTTTGGGCGATCAAGACGTTACAAACCTTTCTCGCACATACAGCGTGTATTAATGTCCCACTCACGATCCTGCGCAGACTTACCCCGTGGGCTGGGAACCCGACGCGGACGGCTTTCGCGGGCACGTCTTTGCGACGCCGGACAACAGCACGGTTGTGCTCGCGATCAAGGGCACGTCCGCAGGCTTTGTCGGCGGCGGAGGTCCTACATCGAAGAAGGACAAGTTCAACGATAACCTACTGTTCAGCTGTTGCTGTGCCCGCATTGACTGGACATGGACGACGGTGTGCAACTGCTACCGCGGTGGGTGGAAATGCGACCAGGATTGCCTAGAGGAGGCACTGATTGAAGAGAGCCTGTTCTACTCTATCGGGACTGTAAGTCGGCACTCTCGTCGTTCCACCGGTTTTCGCTTGCTTAATGGGGCCAGAACTTGTACAACAATATCACGTACATGTACCCGGAATCCAACATATGGATTATCGGGCATTCCTTGGGCGGCGCCCTCGCATCGCTCCTTGGCGTGACGTTCGGCGCGCCCGTGGTTGCCATCGAGTCCCCGGGCGAGAAGATCGCGGCGGGACGGCTGCACCTCCCCTCACCGGTGCGGTCGCTTCCTCAACTCGCCTGTTGTTTTAGCCCGATTGACGCCAGCGTTCCGCTAACAGCCCGAGGTGCAGCAGCACATCACCCACGTCTACCACACCGCGGACCCGATTGCGATGGGCACATGCAACGGTGTGCTGTCGTCCTGCGCCCTCGGCGGATTCGCCATGGAGAGCCGGTACGTGAGCCAATGCGCTTGTCTCGAGACTCACTTTTTCCATCATGGCTTGTCTAATTCGCGCCTGGATTTATGTAGCTGCCACCTCGGTCGGTCTATCGTGTATGACACCGTGACGAATCTATCCTGGGCTGTAGACATACGCAAGCACGGGATCGTTAATGTCATCGAAGAGGTGCTCTCACATCCGTGGCCGCCAGCCGTGGAGGCGGGGCGAGAAGTCCCGGAGGCAAAGCCAGAAGAGGACTGTGTGGTGAGTCGCCGGTCTCATGAATTTGCTTCGATGCTCGCTGTGCCAGGCTCTTATATGGGGATTTCTGCTTTCGCAGGAGTGCTTCAGCTGGGATTTTGGGGACTACCCGCCATAGCTGAACTGGGCCAAGACGTTCGTGTCGGGACTGCCGGATGTATGTACTAACATTCTAGATGTAGGCGACTAATACAAATTCTGTACCACAGTTCTTCACATTGCACACGTTCGATGGGTTCTTCAGGAAACAATGTTCATGCCTTTGTATTATTTAGTATGCCAGCCATCCGCATGATTGATGTGGTGTATTGTGCATTTGTAACTCATCGTCATGATTGACTGGGTTTTGGTACTCGTAACACCCAGCTCTCAAGTTGGTGCACCCTCCATATAGACTCCTACTGCAAATATGCATAGAGCCATCTACCCTGACGCCGTTAAATTTCTGCGCGCACCGCCCGAGCCTACTAATACCATGCACGATGTGACAGGTGGCCTTCGACATTGCAGTCGAGCTTCACTCAAGTACAAGCATCCTCGTGCGTTGCGTTAAATCTCACAGCAGGCAAAACGCTCACTCCTCGTGGGTATATTGGCACGAAGGAATCACAGTCCGTTCGGCCGCACAATTCGCATATAAGATATCAGCGACTCGACGCGAACATCCGACGCCGTATGACTCACGGTGAAAGCTTCGTCCCGACCATCCACTTCCTCACCGTCAAAATCGCGCATGCATGATTGCTGGGTTACTCCTACGGACCGTCTTAGAGTTTCCCCGCAAGGCGTTTCAGGCAGGCTCTATTGACATCCATAGCGAGCGATGTCGGCCTTCAACTCTTGGCCCCATAGGGTGAGTATGACTTCGTTTCTGGACTTCCGCTCCCACTCTTCCCGGTCTTACGCCATACGTCTTGTACAATTTGCCATAGAGCCACTTTACAGAATGCTGTGGAATATCTTTTAAGGGACAAGCTCGTTGCGCACGATCTATCGCAGCAATGCGCAAAGTCCAAGGAGGGGTCCGCAAATGACGAGTGGGATCTCAGTAATCTATCTGTGACAATGAAGAACTTCGTAAGGTAGATCTGTCAGAGCACGGAGTGAGTTCTGGGTCTCCACCGAAGACGGTCTGTTACACGACTATCATCTCCGTTACTGTGGGAGAGACAAGACAAGACAGAGAGGTTGCTCGAGTCCAGCATTGTGCGGGTAAAGAGTAGTTTATTACTAGATGGTCAAGGTTGGTAAGCTAGTAATACTAGACTTTGACGGCCTGCCAGAAGACACGCCTTTGAGGCCGTTGTATGGTTTAGAGGAATGATCACTCACGGTAAACGAGCGTAAGCGATCCTAGCAGGTGACAAGGGTTTACCTCTACTGGTCCTGATGATCCTTTATTTAGATCCCCTTACCGGCGGGACCCGCTTCCAGTCGGACGCTACTACGCACCGTTATACCTCTCTGTGGTTCACATTGCCAGGGTGACCTATATCATATGGCATGCAAGGCGAACATAGAGCGTCCAACCCGTGATTGACTATCTGTTGGCATGCAGACTTCAAGATTGTGTTTAACCTTGAGAGTCGCTCATAGAGGACGGCCACTCGGGCCTCATGATGGGGATGCCGGACACAGGCATGTCGCTGGTGCATAAGTGAAGTATGGCAATGATGTGTGCTCTCATTTCAGTCTCTGCACCTCGTTAGCTGATATCCGAATGCAACTCGCATTTTCACGGGTTCTAGGAGCTATGCCCTCGGCATCAGGCTGTAGAGCACTAATTCGTCACACAGTTTACCAAAAAGGCATCCGCAATTGTATTTCGGTCAATGATGTACTACGGAGAGCGTAAGTGCCTCGCGCTAGCCGGCGAGCAGCTCGGCTTGAATGCACCTGTAGAAAGACTCTCGTTTAACTTCCATGCTCCAAAGCACAAGGTCGTTACGAACCGAGAACAATTACTTGCTCTTGGGTGGCTCAGCACAGTTGCATGCCGGGTAGCTGCAGGACCCGCCGTTGGCCTGGACGTTAGCGCACTTGACTGTGTCCTATGTCCCAAACCAGCATCAGCATGAGCGGTCCATTCGAATAAGACTTGGACATGGAAGGTGAGCTACTCACAGACATGTTGTTCGAGTGTGTGGGGTAGTTGTAGACTGGTGGATACGGAGGGCAGACGAGCTTTATATAGTGATAGCGAGTGGTGCAAGCATCGCGAGGTGGAACGAGCAGCGGCGTAATGCGCGTATGCCGATTGGTGTGGAGGATGGCCATTTGAGGAATGTAAGATGCGTGATTGGGCGGCGTCAGGACGAGAGCTGTGCTCTCGGCTCCGTCGAGGCCGTTCGTGGGGCCCGATATTTGAATACCAGAATCGACCAATGTCAACGTTCTCATTCCTCAAGTGGTACATCTGACACCCGCTGCGGCGGGGACAAACGTGTATTAGGTATCAGCTGTTGCTGAAGGAAGAAGTAATGTGAGAAGACTTTCAGATTATCATTTGAGAAACGTTCACTTATGATACACGCCGGAAGAGTTGGTTTATGCATTATACATTCCAGAGCGTGTATGCTTGCTAGTACTTCTCAGATGCTTATCAGCCGAGTGTGCGTACATTTGAATTGAGATAGAGATGAGACTGTATTCTTTTCGATGTGTACTCAGTAACGAGCAGTCGTTCCCAGAGATGTAGCTCGTTGCTTGTCGGAAACCATGGGTCATTTTGCTGAGGACGACAAGTATACAAATCACCGGCGGGTTCATTGGACGGCGGTTCTATACACCGCGAGTGTATATTGAGATTAGCAAGTCCGTGGTGTACGCTAGCAGGTGGGACACATTCTAGTCCTGTGCTACTACCAGAGACGCTAATGTAGCCTGAGCCTGTACCACCTATCAAAACACCCGTCAGATCATGTGCTTGACAAGAAGAGTCACCGCAGCTCACCTCCAATACCTGAACCACCTCTAATCTCCGGCGCGCGGCCGCAAGCCAGTCAGATAGAAGCACCTTTGCTGTCCCCTGCAACTGATTGAGCTCACGAGCAGCGCTGTCCAAATCTTTCTCGTTCAGGTAGTACTCTGCGCGCGCTAGCACACTGAGCACGTCCGAGCCCGGAACAAGGCCTTGTCTCCGGAAAGTGAATGTCGATACTAGATGCGATGCGAGGTGAGAAAGGACACCAGCATTCTGGTCCGGCACCAGCGCTACGCTTGACACCGCCGGTACGACAGATGTCGTGAACCATGTTGCAAGGTCTGCGAGCGGTTCGACGCCAACGTCCGGCACGTCCGATGCCTCGAGGGTTTCGAGCACCGACGAAACGATCGGATCCTCGCGCGCCGCAGCGATATGGCGGAGGATACGAAGTTCCTCGCGGAATGGCTTGCGCACGGACGCATCAACATTGTGGTTGAGCGCGCGGAGTGCAGACCACAGCGCGTGTATCCGGATGTTTTCGTCAAGATAGGCTGAGTTGTCGAGGGCAATGCGCTCTAGGCGCTTCAAGTTCGTTGCGAGCTCGTCCAGCTTCGCCAAACGACCGCCGCGCTCCTGCTCGACACGGACCTTGATGTCGCGGATCCACCGGCGCTGAAGCTCAATGCCTTGCGCAATGACCTCTTCCTTCAAGCTATGATTGAAAAACTCATCAGAGCAAGTATACTGGGAGTTTCTGTGTGCACACACCGCTCGTTGATGATCTCGCTTTGGGTCTGCAGCTCGCGGTTGAGCTTCTCCCGATAGGCTTGCACGAATTTCACTCTCTCCTCCTCAAAGAACTTCCTGAAATCTTGCTCTTGACTGTCTAGCTTGTCCTGTGCCTCCATCTCCAGCTCGAGCAGCTTGATCGTATACTCGCGCGTCTGATCGTCCAGCTTGGTTTCGAGCTTCTGGCGTTCCTCCTCCTTCACTTGGTCAATGCGAGACGCGAGGACGGTGAGATCAACCTTCGCGCTGTCGAGAATATCTCGAGCCTTATCAGCGGCAGCAGGATTGGCATTCAGGTACGAAGCGAGGTCGTCGATGACGGATGCAAGCTGCGAAATAATAGGTTCCGACGCACTGAACTCAGATACAGCAGGCGCAACAAGCGGCAGAGGAGGCAGGGTTGGCTTCTCCTCGACAGGCTCTGGCGGGGGAGCGGCCTTCTTTGGCGGCGCAGGGCGGGAGAAACCCGGTGGAGGCTCAAAGCCAAGAGGAAGAGGGATATCGTACACATTGCTCTTGGCCAAGCCTTCCTTCGCGTCATTGTCGCGCGGAGGAACACTGTCGGATGCCACGGACGGGTGTTCAGGTGTTATGGTCGTTGTCGGGAGCGTGTCGACTGGCTTGCCCGTAAGGGCGGCCTCTGCGCGACGAACGAGCTCCTCAACACCCTCTGAGAACTGAATGGATTGGTGCTTTGCGACAGCGACAGCTTTCGAGCCCTCTCCGTCGTTCTTCTTGACGCCCGTCTTCAGCGAACCGGCTACGGACCGCAGTTTATCCTTGGAGTCCTGAATGCGATCCTTCGACGCTCCCGCGGTGTGGATGACGACTTCCCTCGTCTTGTCATACGCATCCCTAGCCTTCTCGAGAGCAGTGGGCGTGCTGACGCCGTCCCGCGAGCCCGTGACGAGCCCCTGCAGATATTCCGCAGCACTCTTGCTCGAGACTATGATTTTCTGAAGGGTGAGAGTGTCCCAGTCGTGATCTTCACCATACTGGATGACCGCCGAGCCGAGCGGCACCTTCTCGACGAAAACGTCATAGTATGGGGGATACTTGAACGCGACGAACGCGCTACCCACGTAGAACGTCGCGGTCGCAGCAGAAGTGTAGAATACGAGTTTGCGAACAATGTGTCTCTTTTTCTTTGGTGCCTGGGCGGGGGTTTCCGTCGCAAACCTCTGGACGGATGGATGTACTTAGCTTGTCGGACGACCGCGAGAGACAAGGATGACTTACGCGACGCGTCACACGGACGGCACCCCTCCCTGACGTCCCGACCGCTCTCGGGGCAGACAGCGAACGAATCATGCGGGCACGCGGAGCGTTGGGTGTCGACGCCGCCGCTAGCGTACACGGTGTAGAGTACACTCGTCGGACGAGCTCGGGTGTCGGGTATCTTCTGGAAATTGACCTTTCTGGTAATACAAGGGGTTATCTAGGATGAAATAAGGCACGATCACAGACTGATTAACATGTTTGGCATTTGCACTCTGACCTTCCTACTTGCCCAGATATCCATGGATGTGAAGAACGTACCTTGCAACAATAATGTTGACGGCTGGGCCTTTTCGAAGCGAGATAGTTAGAGTAAGATGACTTGGGACCGGAAAACGGTGATGGGGACTGATTTCCCATAGCAGAGGGTGGCATAACGATCTAAAGCAGACATAGAACTAATGCGCAGACACCACAAGGGGTTGAGAACTCGAGCCTTGCATGTTCTCGACCGTATCGGGAAATATCGCAGCCATAATAGGTAAGTCAACGACATCGTCTTGGCATAATAGCGCGCGACGTTGAACCTTTTGCAGTGTCTCCATCTCAGCGTTCTTACGCAGTTGTGTCATGATAGCAGGATAGCCCTTTACAGTAATTAGCCGCTTGTGATGGCGTAGTCTGAAGCATACTGGGCTGCCGCGTGCTAGTGAATACTACAATGTTCGCTTGGAACACTCGTGCAGTACTAGTAATAGCATCAGCCTGAGACGTTTCGGGTGCATTTAGCAGCACAATGTGTAGCACTGACATGTGACCAATTCAGGAGGTCTCGCACTTAATATATGTATAACTCGAGCCTTGTCGAACGAGAACGTCTCTATTGGACTGTCCTGAACGGATCCAGTCGTTTCGAGCAGAAAGCTTCAACAGAGTGACTAAGGGCAACACAATACTGGTGCCATCGCCCAATCAACAGCTTTACATTCCTCAAATGGCCATCCTCCACACCAATCGGCATACGCGCATTACGCCGCTGCTCGTTCCACCTCGCGATGCTTGCACCACTCGCTATCACTATATAAAGCTCGTCTGCCCTCCGTATCCACCAGTCTACAACTACCCCACACACTCGAACAACATGTCTGTGAGTAGCTCACCTTCCATGTCCAAGTCTTATTCGAATGGACCGCTCATGCTGATGCTGGTTTGGGACATAGGACACAGTCAAGTGCGCTAACGTCCAGGCCAACGGCGGGTCCTGCAGCTACCCGGCATGCAACTGTGCTGAGCCACCCAAGAGCAAGTAATTGTTCTCGGTTCGTTATCCTTAGTACATTCCTTCACGTTGTGTCAATGCTGACCAGATATATTATTCAGCTGTCTCTCGACGAGCACGGAGCAGTTGCTGTATTTTCTTGTATTATTGTATTTTTGAATGCAAAAGGCCTATTTCATGTGAGAGACTCGTGAATGCCTGAGTATATCTATACCTACGACGTGGGTGCTCGAAACATCATCGTGACAGAGCCTGGCTCAACAACGGTCCTCGAACTTGACATACGAGTTCTGTTCGTCGACGTCGCTGGCTCGTGTCTTACTAGACCACAATGTCATAAGGCATGATTACGATCAACATTGCGATCATCGGCCAGTGCTTGAGTTCCCTGATTCCCTGAAACAGGGTGACTCCCAGTCACATAGCGAGTCTGCTCATGAAGCATAACCGAGGTTGCACTGACCATGGAATATGTTCCGCAGTGTGAGACTAAACACCTGGATTGAAGTCCTCAATACGACATTACATTCGTTACCATATATGATCTCTTATAATGTCACCGACGTACCGCAGGTGAATAAAGCATCCTGAACTAGTCAGTATAAATACCCGGCATGCCTTGCTAAGTAGAAGGGTACGCCAAGTCATACATGAGGTTCATAGGCGTGTTCTTCCAGTGAATGTCAACGTCTATCCGCACAGGCTTGCCTCGTCGAACAATCAATTCACCCTCCTCTGGCAGCTTGATATAGCCGTCATAGTTTTCCACGAGGTGCTTGATTGGTTCGAGGACTTGCACGACACGTAAGACGAGGACGCGTCTTCCAGCATGTTTTTCGAGAGGCGAACGCTCAAAACGCAAAAGGAGTTTCCCTGTTTTGCCATAAAGCGTGAACATGGTATCCATAAAGGCGGGTTTGGGCTCTGTACGTACCCGCATAGGGCAGGAAGGGTCGCATGCCTTCTCTGCGATCGTACCAAAAACCATTTACGGAAAGGCGGCAGAAGGAATCATCTGGCGTCCAATACCAGAGTGTAACCTCCGTATGCGACAACTCTACCGTAAACGGATCTTCAATGCTGTACAGAAATTGCTGAGACCCCACAGGCGCGTTGTAAAACGGCTGGATGTGACAACATCATACGCAGCCAGGTGACGTGGATCAAGGGTTCTGATGCTATTTGTGAACTGGGGGATGCGCGCTCCCGCCAAGGTCCCCGCGGTGTCCTCTGTTGTTCGAGAGGCCTGGTGAAGAATTTCATTGTTTGATTTAATGAGCTTGTAACATATCATCAGTAACTCACGCTATCGCTTGTAGAATAAGGCCGTCCTGATCCATCAATAGGTCTCCGTGTTGGTGATAACCGCGACGCTACTAGGGACAGAGATGTATGGAGGAGAGGAGCCCTCGAGGTGCAAGTGGCACGGGTGATATGGGCAGCACACATTTTGATAGACAGCCTGAGTATAATGCTCAATCTATGCGGGTATAGACCCGATGAAGGTAAGATATATCAGTTTTCAGGCAGATTGCGTCCAAGGTCACGACAGGTAAATTGAGTCTTGGAGGAAGAACGACGAAACAATGCGTCCGCAGGATAATTGCTTTTAAAAGCTAACGGCCGGTGTCAAACGGCCACTGGCGCCAGTATGAGGTTGTTTGTTCTTGTTGCATTCGCAAGGCGATAGCGTTAGCGCCAATAACCTAAGGCTTGTTGTGAGCCAAATAAAAACAAATAGGACACCGCGACTCTCTCTCCGGCGCCTACTGGTCTGTGCTAATCCCTCGATTTGATGTTAGCAAGAGCATGTCCATCCCCGTTCGATCTGCATAGCTGTATGCATGGACTACTTACGGCCTGTCCGTCTTGTATTCACCATTAAGCGAATTCGAGTGAGTACCGTTTAGGTGTAACGGATCAATATGTCAGCCCCACATCAGTCACCTTGGTGTCAAGACCGCGTTCTTCTCACCGCGCACGACCGAACGGAATATGCGCACGCCCTGCTGTTCATACTGGTGATCTGATTCTCAAGGCATGCTAATATGCAACGGCGCGCACACACGTCGGGGCACACGTGTGTACCAGACACGGTCATGTGCGCGACGCGACCCGGAGACGCGTGTGCTGGAGCAACTCGGTAGGCCGGAGCGTCATAGGTAGGCGTCATAGCGTGCAGCCCCCAATAATTGGACATTGGTGGCTGGCAACTGGTTCCGCCAAGGGGTAGGGAGCGGAGAATGACGCACAGGTGGAGTCTTCCAGCCTCCCGTCTCGCTATCTGTGGCTGACCGTGAATACCGTGTAGAGATGTACTGCGCTTATAGCGCGCCTGCTTTCTTTTATAGCCCCCGCAGGCTCCACTTTGTCTTCGTTCCGCCTCTCTTGGCCTCCTCCTCAAGTCGTCGTTATGGGTCTCCTCAACCGTAGAAGAAAGACACCCCCTCAAGATGAAGAGTCTGCTCCTGCTGACAACTCCGGTGCAAATCGCGCATCTGCAGGTAGTGGGGACGGAACAGTCGACAACGCCAAGGAGGCGCCGAACGGTGCGCCCTCTCCTCTCACAGACCAATCCGCCGATACAACGGTCACGCCTGCAGCGTATGAGGGCAATGAGTATGACGTGCTCCTCCAATTCGCCACCGACGAGGCTGCAAAGCTTGAGCGCGGCGCAGATGACGAAGACAAGGAAGACGAGGGCGAGACGACGCGACCTTGGTATGCGCCGTGGAAACGCGTGAAGAAGGAGAGCAAGAAGGAAAAGAAGGTGCCTCCAGACTGGCTCAAAACGGACATGCTCCAGGGTCTCCCGTCCGGCCAAGAAATCGAAAAGCGGAGAGCGGTATCTGGTTGGAATGAGTTGCAGAGGTACGCCTCTCACGCTGTTTCATATGCACTGTCGTGCTGATGGCTCGAACAGCCAAAACGAGAATCAGTTCCTCAAGTTCATTTCGTATTTCCGCGGCCCAATTCTATACGTCATGGAGCTTGCTGTCTGCCTGTCTGCCGGCTTGCGCGACTGGATAGACTTTGGTGTCATCGTGCGTGTCTGTCACTTTAGGCATTGATCGCTGTCTCATAGCGCGCCAGATCGGTATCCTGTTCTTGAACGCCGGCGTGGGCTGGTATCAGGAGAAGTATGTTTAGAGTACAATTTGGTGCTGCCTTCCTGATCCAACGTTGTGCAGGCAAGCGGGAGACATTGTTGCACAGCTTAAGGCAGGCATCGCGATGAAAGCTTGGGTCATACGCGACGGACGCGAGCAGGAGATTGAGGCGCGAGAACTCGTTCCCGGCGACGTCGTGAGTACATCCCTTACTGCAGTCCTAACTGTATTCTCAGGCATGCTTTTGTGTAGATCATATTAGAAGAAGGCAGCACAATTCCAGCAGATGCCAAGGTACACGCGTGTCTCCCGTTCCCCCGATCGTGCGCTGATCATTCGCGTCATAGATCATTGCGGACTACAATGACAAGAAGGGTGATTCAAACCCAATCCTCGAGAAGCGCGCGCGGCGCGACTCGCAGTCCTCTCAGAACTCGCAGAGGTCTGGTATGGAGAAAGGTCCGTCGGTGGCCAGCGTCGATCAGAGCGCGATCACGGGCGAGTCGCTCGCGGTAGACAAGTTCGTTGGTGATGTCGCATATTACACATGTGGTGTCAAGCGCGGGAAGGTGTACGCGGTGGTCGTTGCGAGCGCACCGCTGAGCTTTGTCGGGCGCACGGCAAGTTTGGTCATGTGTATGTATCTGTTCGTTTTGTGGACCCACGCGTGTCCTTGTGCTGGAGATGTTGATCTGTGCGTCAGCTTCCAACGAGCGCGGACATTTCCAGATCGTGCTGGGAGGCATTGGCACAGCGCTGCTCGTCATCGTCATCGTCTTCATCTTCATTGTTTGGATCGGTGGGTTCTTCAGGTATGTGTCTTCGTGAGTTCACCAGCTCGTGACAGCTAAAGCACAGTGACATAGGCACCTGGGTATAGCGTCTCCGGCGCAGAATAACCTCCTGGTGTATGCGTTGATTTTCTTCGTAAGTTGGAGGGCGTGTACATGAGCAGATAGTAGTGCTGAGTATCCGTCATGCAGATCATTGGTGTACCTGTCGGTCTGCCATGCGTCACGACCACTACAATGGCTGTCGGTGCTGCATATCTTGCGAAGCGCAAGGCTATTGTGCAGAAGCTCACCGCGATTGAGTCGCTCGCTGGTGAATAATATGTGTGATTGGTGGAGAAACGCATACAAATAGCTGATATCTCTACAGGCGTGGACATGTTGTGCTCTGACAAGACAGGAACACTGACCGCTAACAAGCTTTCGCTCAACGAACCATTCATCGCACCGGACGTAGACCCTAACTGGTTTATGGCGGTGGGTATTGCCGCTCCTGAACTTCAAAGCCATTGACTGACACGTTTTTATCATCAGGTTGCCGTGCTATCGTCATCGCACAACATCAAGTCACTCGACCCCATTGACAGGGTGACCATCATCGGCCTGAAGGACTACCCTGGCGCCCAGGAGATCCTGCGCAAAGGGTGGATCACGCACAAGTTCACGCCATTTGATCCCGTCTCGAAGCGCATTATGGCAGAGGTGGAGTGCGACGGGAAGCATTATACGTGCGCGAAGGGCGCCCCCAATGCGTAAGTGCCGTGCTCCTTTGTGTTAGCTGGGGTGCCAGTATGCTGATAGTACCGGCGCACTTACCACAGGATACTGAGACTGCATGATTTCGACCCAGACACTGTGGAGAAGTACCGCTCGCAGGCACAGGAGTTCGCCCAACGGGGCTTCCGATCACTTGGCGTCGCAATCAAGGAAGGCGACGAGCAATGGCAACTACTCGGGATGTTGGCGATGTTTGACCCGCCCCGCGCTGACACTGCCGAAGTATGTCAGAGTACCTGTTCGTTCCTTTCGCAGCTGAAGCGTGCTGACGCGATTGATGACGCTCGTAGACGATCCGCGAGGCGATCGACCTCGGAATACACATCAAGATGCTGACTGGAGATGCTGTCGCAATCGCGATCGAGACGTGCAAGCAACTCTCGCTGGGCACGAACGTGTACGACTCGGCACGGCTCATCGGAGGCTCGATGGCAGGCTCGGAGGTGCGCGACTTCATCGAGGCGGCGGATGGGTTTGCGGAGGTATTCCCGGAACACAAGTATCAAGTCGTGTCGATGCTGCAGGAGCGCGGGCATTTGACTGCGATGACAGGCGATGTAAGTAGACATCACTTTTTATAATCAGAGAGGGGAGCTGACAAAGGATGATGCTATAAACAGGGCGTTAGTGCGTATTTCAGATGGCCCCGCTTCTAGATATATCCGCTGACGGAGATGCGCAGACGATGCCCCGTCGTTAAAGAAGGCTGATTGCGGTATTGCCGTGGAGGGCGCGTCCGATGCTGCGCGGACTGCAGCTGACGTTGTTTTCCTCGACGAAGGTCTCAGTACTATCATTACTAGTATCAAGGTCGCACGCCAGATCTTCCACCGTGAGCTTCGTTCGTACCGATCGCTTAGATGGTCACTCATGAGCATGACAGGTATGAAGGCGTACATTGTGTATCGTATTGCGCTTTGTATCCACCTCGAGGTCTACCTGGTATGTGAATGCATTTTTCGGTTTAATCACGAATGCTGATCGATGAACAATAGTGCCTCTCAATGCTCATCCTCAACGAGACCATCCGCGTTGATCTAATTGTCTTCCTTGCCATTTTTGCAGAGTAAGTCTCGCGTGTCTTCATAAATTTGGGACGAGGGCTCATTGGTGATATTCAATTCAGCGTCGCTACCATCGCTATAGCGTATGACAACGCCCCATTTGAGCGGAAGCCGGTAGATTGGCAGCTACCCAAGGTCTGGATAATGTCCACGATCATGGGTTTGATCTTGGCCGGAGGAACCTGGATCATCCGTGGGACTCTCTTCTTGCATGACGGTGGCATCATTCAAAACTTCGGAAGGTGTGTGTTCAGCAATTCATGTGATTGAGCGTCGACCCAACTGTGCTCTGTCCGCAGCGTCCAGGAAATTCTGTTCCTCGAAGTGGCACTAACAGAGTCTTGGGTTATCTTGATCACCCGGATGTCACAAGGACCAGATTCTGGACCTTTCGTGTGGCCGTCATGGCAGCTCCTTGGTGCCATCCTGGGCGTCGACGTCCTCGCCACTTTATTCGCACTCTTTGGATGGATTTCCGGACCCGGTGAACACGGAGGGTGAGGCTTTCGTCGCTGCAGCACTTCCGTCCATTCGCTGATTCATAAATAGTTGGATTGACATCGTGACTGTGGTCAAGATCTGGGCATACTCGTTCGGCGTGACAATCGCGGTCGGCTTTGCATGTGAGCCGATTGTATATCTAGTCATGTTGTCTCAGGCTCATCGCATTTGATAGACTTCTTGTTGAGCAGACTGCCATGGTTGAACAACATTGGTCGGCGTGTGGTGAGTCACACATCTGGGCCCTTTCGTCACGTAAGTTTGAGTGCTCATGTGTCGCCTTATTCTCTTAGCGGAGCAAGAAGGATGCTCGTCTCGAGAACTTCCTCACGGAGATGCAGCGTCTCACCCTGGTGCACGAGCGAGACTCCCATGGCGAGTCGTACTATCGCATCGCTGGTGTGCCCCAAGATGAAAGCGCCAAGGGCGACAGTAAGCCGAAGGAGGAAGTCAAAAAGGAAGTCAAGAAAGAACAACCCACTACAAAGGGCGGGGATACGCAGTCCGCTCGCGGCCAGGCGCAGAAGACGGGTAAGAGCACACCTAGCGACACACAGGAGAAGAGCCCGCAACCTGAATCGACTCAGGCGACGGAGGGAGGGGCGGGGAACGATCATGACAACGATATACACGACGAAGCACGAAGCACATGAAGCCGCTACGGCTAGATAGACTTGATGCTTTTGCGGACATAATGGTTAGCTGTGACCGGCTGTGCTATACCCGATTTTACAAGTAAAGTATTGTTGCTGTAATCTTGTAGTACTTTACAATGGACAAGAGTCATACTTGAGCTTAGTCCAAGAACAATCCCCCTTACCCTGAATACAATGACCTTCCCTGCATGTTCCAAAAAGCGATGATTGCTCGTCTTATGCCCACTGGCTGGATTGAACAACCGACCTCACCATTACGAGTGGCGCGCTCTACCACTGAGCTAAACGGGCTTTATGCAGCGGTTATGGGAGATATCATTGGCCTAAAAGCGGACATTGATCTGTTGATCCACGGTGACGCTGTAGTGACGCGGCGCCTACTCGACTGTCAAGCCTCTGACTTCATCCACTGCAGCACACGCCCCTGTATTCCACCATATAAATCAAAATGTCATTCGTTGCCAACGGCCCCCCCCCTGACCCCTTCTGCCAACGATGCCTGGCCAACTCATTTCCCAACCCAATCCCCCTCCAGATCCCTCTCTCCTACCCGATTCTCTCCTCGAATATCGCGTCCAGCTAGACACGAATGGCATTCTCTCCCCCGATGACCTCGAGGCAGTTATCCAATTTAAACGCGCCGCCAACTACATTGCAGCAGGTACGCTCGTAGTCTCATATACTTTGTCTGCAATAAGTCACGTCGTCTTTAGCAATGATATTCTTGAAGGAGAATGTTCTTCTTGAGCGTCCTATAACCCCGGACGATATCAAGCCTCGCCTACTTGGACACTGGGGGACCTGCCCTGGGCTTGTTCTTGTCTATGCCCATATGAACCGGATTATCCGCAACACTAACATCGACGCGCTCTACGTTGTTGGCCCCGGCCATGGTGCTCCCGGTATACTGTCTTGCCTCTGGCTCGAGGAATCTCTCGCGACATTCTGGCCACGCAACACGCGTGACAAGAAGGGCCTGCACAATTTGATTTCGGGTTTCAGCGCTCCTGGTGGTTTCCCGAGGTACGATTTGCCCAGCCCAAACATGTGACCACAGTATAGTCTTGTACGGGCGCATATATGCACCTGGATTCCATTTGTTGAGGCCACTGATACCGAAACAAAGCGAGGAGACTGGGCCATGCCCGTTAAGACGGCTTGTTGAATGCTCATTGAGGTGTCCCAACCATATTGATGTGCTATTGGCGCCGTGCGAGTGGTCACTGACACTCTGCTTGCAGTCATATCAATGCAGAGACTCCTGGGTCTATCCACGAGGGCGGCGAGCTCGGATATGCACTCGCAGTATCCTTCGGAGCCGTCATGGACAACCCTGATTTGATCTGCATTTGCGTGGTAGGCGACGGGGAAGCAGAGTCTGGCCCGACTGCTGCGTAGGTACCTTTCTCTAAGTAGCCATTCTGTCGCTCATGCTCTCACAGTGCGTGGCACGGATATAAGTACATCGATCCTGCTGAATCCGGTGCGATCTTGCCGATCGTGCATGTCAATGGGTTTAAGATCTCGGAGCGTACAATTTACGGCACAATGGACGACAAGGAACTCGTCGCTCTGTTCGCGGGGTACGGATACCAGGTGCGCTTCGTCGAAGACCTGCCGCATATCGACGAGGACATGGCCGCGTCGCTGCAATGGGCACTCGGCGAGATCCATAAAATCCAGGACGCTGCGCGCAACGGAAGGCCGATTGTGAAGCCACGATGGCCGGTGCTGATCCTGCGCACGCCGAAGGGCTGGTCAGGCCCTAAGGAGATTCATGGCGAGTTTATTGAAGGCTCGTTCCACGCACACCAGGTACCACTGCCAAAGGCAAAGACAGATAAAGAGGAGTTACAGGCGCTGCAAGCCTGGCTCGAGTCGTACAAACCGAAAGAACTGTTCGACGCGGAGGGCAGGCCGAACAAGAAGATCCTGTCGATTATACCGGAGGTGAGCCGGCTTATACCCCCCCATTTATGCATACTAAAGTATACGACAGAGGCAGGAAAAGAAGCTAGGACAGAGGAAAGAAGCATATGCCGCGTACACACCCCTGGATGTCCCTGCCTGGAAGCCCTTCGGTGTTGAAAAGGGGACAGAGGCGAGTTGCATGAAGACTATCGGTGAATTCTTGTACCAGGTTATCGAGCAGTACGTCGTCTCCTTCGCTACAACGGTTTCAGATACTGATCGTCGACTAGGAACGCGCATACATTCCGCATATTTTCCCCGGACGAACTTGTGTCGAATAAGTTGGATGCTGTTCTGCGGCACAGCGGGCGCAACATGCAATGGGACGTTGCCTCACGCGCGAATGGCGGGCGCGTGATCGAAATTCTCTCTGAGCACACCTGCCAGGGTATGCTGCAAGGGTACACGCTCACCGGGCGTACAGGGTTGTTCCCAAGCTACGAAGCATTCCTGGGGATCATCCACACGATGATGGTGCAGTACAGCAAGTTCGTGAAGATGGCGCGTGAGACACCGTGGCGTCAGCCAGTCGGCTCGCTGAACTACATCGAGACAAGCACGTGGGCACGCCAGGAGCACAACGGGTTCTCGCACCAGAATCCGTCGTTCATTGGCGCGGTGCTGAACTTGAAGCCCACGATCGCGCGGGTGTACCTCCCACCAGATGCGAACTGCTTCTTGTCGACGGTCGCGCATTGTCTTAGGGCGAAGAACTACGTGAACTTGATGGTCGGAAGTAAGCAGCCGACGCCGGTGTGGCTGAGTCCTGACGAGGCGGACAGGGTACGCGGATGTTCTCCAACGATTGATCAGCAGAAAGACTGACAACTCATGACTCTGTAGCACTGTATTGCAGGCGCATCCGTCTGGAAGTTTGCGAGCGTCGACGACGGTACCGACCCAGACGTTGTGCTTGTCGGAATCGGGGTCGAAGTGACCTTCGAGGTCATTGCAGCGGCAGCCATGCTTCGTCGTCGGTTACCCCATATGCGCGTACGCGTCGTCAACGTCACAGACTTGATGATCCTCGAGCCATATGGCGCGCATCCGCATGCGTTGAGTCAGGCCAACTTTGTGGGGCTATTCACAAATGACCGTCCCATCCACTTCAATTACCACGGGTACCCGGGTGAGCTCAAGGTGCGTCCGATTGCAGCGTATATGATTGGTTCCGCGCTAATTGAATTGGCTGCAGTCACTGTTGTTTGGTCGGCCTAATTTGGATCGTGTCACTATCGAAGGGTACGTACATCTGCGGCATTGCGAGTTCAAACTATATTGATCATGAGCCCATAGCTACGGCGAGGAGGGCACTACCACTTCACCTTTCTCGATGATGCTGCTGAACCACACGTCTCGGTACCACGTCGCTGTACACGCAGTGAAAGGCGCGGCACTCAGGAACCCCAGGGTGGCGATCGACCTGCATGAGGTCGTCAGCGAAATGCTGCATCAAGCAGAGAAGGACAAGGAGTACGTATTGAGACATGGTGCTGACCGTGAGGGGACGTTCGACGTCCCCACCTTCGAGTGACTGCGCAATCAGAAATCACTGTATGATTATGTCATAATGTTGTCTCATGGAAGTTGGCACCTTTGTGATGCATAGCCTTGTTTCCCTACCCCAGATGATCTGTACTTTATACAATGAACGTCACGTAAACGATTTAATCAAAATGGCCAATAGCGAAACGATTGATCGTAATATGACACAAGACGTTCGATGCACCTAGGCTAAGGCTGTGACGGCAGTGCTCTATATGTGACATCGACATTCGACCTGAACGAGATGCGAATCCGGTATGAGCCTTCGATTACATGGGGTACACACTGGACGTACAATAAGATGCCGCGTGAAGCCAATTTCGGCATCTTCGAGCAGAGTGTCTGATGCCACTCGCTCGCAACCAGTTTCTCGGCGGCTGGGAGCAACCAGAGCTTGAAATGGACCTCTTGTAGCTTCGAAAATTGTTTCGTTGCTAGCAGCGCGTCAACCGAGGAGCAAATATCAGGGGTCAGGATGTTCTCCGACAGCCTGGACAGGGCCGTCCCGTATCGAGCATCGATGAGGAATACGATGTTGCGGAAATCGGCAGAATTAATCTGGGTTAACATAGGAATAATCCAGGTGTAGTCCACATCCTCAATGAGACGCATCTTGAGATGGAGCGCGAGAAGACCCGTGTTGTGTGTGAGGTCCGCGGGAGGTTGGGTAAGGGCATCCGAACGGACTATACCTTCTTCGGCATGGATCCCAGAATCGTCCGAGTTGGCGGACTTGAGCGCCGAGCCCACGACCGTGATATCCAACACTCGGAGCGCTGCGCCGGCAGCGGATAGCAGATCTTGCAAACCGTCAGTTCGCGCGCTCAGGACCGGCCTCGGGTAGCCCAGCAACATCTCTCTGAGCTGCGAAGCGATCCTGCTCTGGACGAAGAAGTCCACAACATCCGGGACCCCGCTACCATTGAAGGATACATGGACGATATTGGTTCGAGGCGCGTAGAAAGTACGGGAATTGAAGGGCCGTTTCAGGAAGGTAAGGTCGAAGGTCGCGATAGCGGAGAGATTTGGCAGTGAACAAACAAGGCGACCGAACACGTCTACGGACGAGAAGACGCTGCTGTACAGGGTAAGCTGGGTGACTGATGTGAATGCAGATAGATGTAGGAAGATTTGGGGATGAAAGGTGGCTGGCTGCCAGTCCGCGTATGTGATGCCGATTTGTCGCAGATTCGGTAGCCTTCGTGCGAGCATAGCCGCAAAGGTTCCAAACTCTGGGATAGGTTTGTGCTGGCCGCCGGGGTGCTGGCCACCTTTGAAAAGGACCTGCAACAGCGCCTTCCCATGGATGGGGCTTGTCTTGACGAGCTCCGCCAGTCGTACAACACGCTTTTGCTCTCTGAGGAAGACGCGGCGAAAATAATGGTAGCGACTTCTGGGGAACCAGGCTTTGCAGACAAGCGTGCAATTCTTGAGAGCTTGTGATAGCATCGCATACGCCAGATGGTCAATTACGCACTCCCAGACCTCCGTCGGTAGAACAGGTAGTGACATGAAGTTGGATCTATGTGCTCGTAGCTCGACAACGACTGTGTATCAAGTAGTCATATTCTATAATCGAGCCCATGGCCAATTAGCAGGAATCCAGCCCAGAGCGGTCATAAACTCACTAGACTTGCAGGCCCCGATGGGAGACAACGATGTGGGCAAAGATCGATAGGTGAAAGACTGACTGGGCTGTCCATTTATCCATTGACTCTGGACCTGAGCCAAGCCTTTGGGTGACAGCGTCGCGTAACTGCAATCTGATACACGAGTCGCACAGCACTGGTTTAGACTAGCAATCCGCTGGCCGGCATCTGGCCCACTGGAGCCCGAGCAGGTTTGAAGGAAGCGTCTGCCTTGCTCTCAAGAGACTAGCTAGTAAGTGCTCGGAACAAAACCTAGCACTGGGTGAATTGCCATGTACTGTTGTCTTATCGCGCCCGGGGAAGGCCACCAATCCGCAGCCAAAGATGACGTCGAGGAACCCGTTACGCCATCGGTATCCAGTTTGTTGCCTCAGTTTGCAAGTCACCGATCGAGCGATTCTTCCTCTCTCCCGGGCAGTGGGAGCCTTCAAGTTCTACTCGATGTTCGAAGTCTGGAACATGTTTCCAGTACGGGCCACAGGCCCACAGCGGCGGGCGTCATGCTTAGTTTGGCAATGTCTTGCGATCGTATAGACATCCTTATGCAATGTCTCGTAGTATGATGGTACGGGCAAGCGCTGTATTCAGGTACGGACCCAACCCGGAACTTTATCTTGCCTCCTTCCCTCACGTGCATACGACGCGCTTGTGGCGCAGACGCTGACTCGGTCGCGTTCGCCGTTCACCGCTAATATACGACGATCCTCAAACAAGCTCCTCGAATCTTAGCCCACTTCAATTGACACCGACGACTTCGAGATGGTACGCGAAACAGTCCGGAATAAAGCTAAGGCTATCAGTAGGGGCGGTGGATCCTCCCAGGCCAAGCCACCAGTGACCGCCTCATCCCACGCGTCTTCGCTTTCTGCAAACAACAAAGGCCAATTGGACAAGATTGCAGAGTGGATAAAATGCACTGGTGGACCAGATATTAGTCATGATGATACGGATAGACTATGCAAGGGTCCTCTCGCCGATGCTTTGCGTTTCATGGCTGAACATATGAAGGGACGCTCGAATGTAGAGGCACAGCGAGTAGCAATTGACCAGTGAGGATTGATTGAATACTGTATTACTTGACTACTCCTGATTCAAGTATCTATTAGAATGCGGCAGAGCAGCCGGCTGAGAGCACAGTTATCGCACGACTCCGTGTTCATAGAGACGAAGAGTGCTACTTCGCGACTGACTAGTGCACAGCAAGAACATCTCACTATCAAAGTCGAACTTGAAGATCGAATGAGAAGTCTGTCAGAAAGTCGTGAGTATCTCGCTGTATCTCGATGCATCATTCTCAGGACCTACGCTATAGAAAGAGAAGTGGACCGCCTGCAGGCCACGGCACAGACAAAGCGACTAGCAATTAATCTTTTGGAATCTCTTAATGAGAAGGAATCCAAACGTATGGCAAGGATTAGAGCCGCCACTACCCTCATTGAGCGACTCGAGTAGGTGGCATTCGCGCGTTATATATACATTGTCCCCTACTGAATCATCATTGGCGACAGAAGCAACACCCCTTCGCATAATGTATTCGTCCATCATGTCCAGTCGTATGACATTGCGCTCATACTTTCTGCATAGGCTCATGACACACTGGTGGTCGATCTTCCTCAGGTTTCTCCAATATCAACGCGCGTTGATTCTACCAAAGACGTACTAGCGGTAAGAAGCGCCATCATCCGCGGTGTATCTTTGACCAACATCGTCTCAGGCTCTACATTCGTACCACATTCGTTCAGTCCGCTTCGGATCAACACCAAGAAAGACTCGACGGGATGCTGAGTGTAATGAGGCGAACAGCCGAGAACGCCTGCGCACAGCTATTGTATCAGCTACAGGCCGATCTGAGGACGACCCCCGAGTAGTCGAGTTATTGTGCGTGAGGAACCCGATCTTACAAAATTAGTCTGCGGCCTTTTGATTACGGACTCACCCCATACACAGCGAGCGATTTTCACAAGCTGCACAGCGCCGTGCCGCGAGCTACCTGCGATACCGATCCCCACTCCCCCTGAATCCAGAAAGGATCACGTCTGAAGGCCTAGACGCAGTTTCGAGACGACTGGCAAGCACCCAACCAGCTTGCTAGACACAAATGGCTGCTCATTATGCTTTGTAGGCCGAAAAGGAAGCGTCGTTGCAGCGCTTGTCAGACCAATCCTTGGAACTGGTACACTCTTGTGCAGGATTAATCCAACATGTGCGCTAGCTGGTGCTATCGCCTCTCCCGAGCTGACTACACGCGCACATGGTCCAGGTCTCCATCTTCAATGATATCACGAGCCCTGAACTTTGTGAATGTCTGCGCAAGGAATCGTCTGAAGCAGAGGGATATGTGGATGCCCTGCGCCTGTCAATCACGGGATATGCAGATGGTAACGTACGGGATCTCCAGGACGGTAGTGTTATTCTCCGACGAGGAAAGGTACGTGTCTTCTTGTTCCGTGATAACTGTTATTCAGGATACCCTATCAAGGCATGGCAGCAGTCATTAGTTGACGTACGGACCAACATGGTGGAAGGTTCTTACATTGCTTCGTTCATGGTTAACCGCACGATTCAATTAACGGCGTTCACTTTTATCAGCGCATGAGAAGGAACTACTCGTCCAAAACGCTGTCATCTTCGCGCCTGCACAACATCCGAACTCGGGGAAGCTCCTAGGTAGACTATCTTCATCCGAATCAAGTGTTTTTGTCAGCATACTGATGTCTAAGCAGAATCATATCGTAAATCTGCCAGAGGAACCGAGGAGCAATTGACCACGATGTTAGCGCGTAAACTAGAAAAGTCGCACACAGGGGATACCTTGCAGACAGAAATCGAGCGACTCGTGAAGGAAGTAGGCATAGTGGGTGTCCTATCTGGGTCCACTGGCTGACTTGATATAATGCTTATGCTTTATCTACGCGACGGAGATCACTATCTACGCCGGTACACAGCTGGCACGACTGTAGGTCTAGAGTTGAACGAGGTGCTTGTTTGAGTCAGCTGCATAGTCATGCAGCGTTATAGCTGTTACCGGAGCACCGCCGTGACAACTTATTGAACGTGCACTAGCAAAGCACGCGGGGGAGACAAAACCCCGGCTCTAGGCCATGACTAAGAGAATGGACAGGATGAGCGTCGAGGTCGAGGTCCAAGTGGCTTTAGGCAGGACTGCAATCGCGATAGACTCGGATCAACCGCATTCTAGATTCAACACGGTCGTTCTAAGTTCCTCATTCAAGACATTACATGACTAGGATATCGATTGATACGTGCGTGGATATTCGGCTACATCGTGAGCATCGACGACAAAGAACCCGGACTCACATAACAGCAAAGCGTCGTGACGGTCGTGCCTAAGAAGAATACACCGGCTCCCAGTAAGTTAGATAGATCTCAATCGGCCCCGGCGGGTCGGCATTATAACACATGGGTATCGTAGGGCCGCAAGCGCAGGGCGCGGGCACTGCAGTGCAGCGTACCGGATACATTTCAGACTGCCGCGACCTTTTCGCTTGCACCGTCCTTCTCTGATGCGTCGCCGTCGGAAAAGGTGGTGGATTCGTCGGTGAGGCCGAGACCCATCTGCGAGGTGTCGTAGCCGTTGGCCTCGAGGTACTCGCGGAACTGTAAGCAGGGATCAGTGTGTGCGACATGGAGAGAGCCTGTGAACGCACCAGGCGGTCTTCCTCAGCCATGCCGTCGTGAGTGAGGGGCTTGATCAGCACAAGGGTGATGAATGCACTCAGGACGGCCAAACCTGTCGCCAGTCCGGCGCGTCAGCGGTCCTAATACAAAATACAGATCGGCGGAGCACGTACCACTGGCGATCCAGAAGGGTCCAGTGTTGCCAATGTTCGGGTTGTTGCCTCCGTATCTGCTCTGGAAGTCTAAATAACAATCGACTCATCAACAGACACATTTTTGGAAGGCTTCCTCCGACGCCAACTCACCATTGACGATATCCGGGAACACTTGAGGGTGAGGAGGTGTCAATCAGCCAGACTGAAGCAGCCTATGCAGGCCAGGGGAGCTTACCATAGGTACCGACAAACGCGCCGACCTTGCCGATTGCTGCAGCAATTCCGTAGAATTTACCACGGATAGCGGTAGGACCCGTCTTCGCGGCGAGCATACCAAGACAGTTGCCGGGGCCTACGACACAGACCGTTAAGTTAGCGCATGATCGCCAGTCAACACGACCGCAATACGCACCAACTTCACCGAAGCTCAAGAAGATACCGTAGAGCACGGCAAACGCGGCAATATGTTTAGTCAGCCTGCGAGAGACAGGAGCGTGAGAAGTATGCGGACGGTGTGGCAGGGACGGAGGCGTACTGCGTATAGAGGGCGCTCATGATGAAACCAATGATAGCCTGAGCCATGAGACCGAGGATCTACAATGGTGGGACATGTGTCAAAATCAAGCCGATGCATTGTCCATTATATAGCATTTTACCATAGTGTGCTTGGGGCCGAGGTAGTCGACCAGGAGGGCGCCGCCGATGGTTCCTGCGTGGCAGTGTTAGTCAAGGGGCACGTTTCGTACCGTAAGTATCCTTATTTACCTGGCATGTAGAACAGGCTGAGATTCGGCGTCAGTGTTAGAGAAACACGCGCATAAACACGCGGAACGCACTTGATAACGGTATTCCAGCCAAACACGATGCTGAGCGCAGAGGAGTTGCCCGTGATCCTGTATTAGACGAAAGCTCAGCAAGGGTGCGGAGATAGGCTTATTGACGAATATTTACGTGTCCACAACGGTCGACGAGTAGATGCTGAACGGGTAGCTGTATCGCAAGTCCCATCAGTGACGCTACGCTAGCACTCGGTCGTTGGCTACTGACGTGATGAAATCGTAGATGAACCACGTTATGCAAATCGCGAAGAGATTCCGCCAGTAGCGCTTAATGATCAACCAGTATGGCGTGCGCGCGCGGGCCATCGAGTCCTTGCGGAAGCGCGTCGGCTCTTGCATGTTCAGTCGCCAGATGAAGACAGCTACAGCAGGGATGACGCCGAGGCCAAGCGAGAGGCGCCACACGGCGCGGAGATGGTGCTCGCCGAAACTGCGAATGAAACCCCGTTAGACGCACAATTACAGAGTGACGGGGATGCCAGAGCGTACATCCAGTAGAGCACGAGGGGGACAAAGGCCGCGACGACGAAGCCGAAATCGATCATCGTGTCTATAAGCAAGTAGAGGTGAGCGGCAGCGCATATAGTCAGGTATTTGGAGGACTACTGACTCGTGGCCAGTGCGAACCACCGATGCTGCGCGTTCTTTCCGATCCCAGGCTCTTCTGACTGCTCAGAGGCAGCGACAGACCCGCAAGGATATTCCGCGCCAATACCAATCCCGAGGAGGAAACTAACGGAACGATGTCAAAAAGCATTCACGTGGAAGGACTGGGCATACTCACCGCATCGCGCTCAACATGGAAAGGAGGCCGCCGATGCTGTGATGTGCACCGCTGGACGCAGCGGAGAGACCAGAGAATAATGCGACAATGGCGGCAGCGGTCATCTGGTAGCGCGTTGTCAGAATTAGGGTCGCATGAGCTGCAGGCAAGATGCTCGCACCATGCCAGATTTGCGTCCAAAGCGGTCAGACAAGTAGCCGAAGGTAAGCATTCCGACGATTGTGCCGGCGAATGCTGTACTATTGACGATATTGCTGTAGTTATGTTTGGACACCTCGTCCGCGCCGTATGTGCGTTTGAGGACTAATGACGTGTGAGTTGGAAGCGCTTGAACGGACAGTAGGGGCTGTAAAAAAAAAAAACAGCAGACACGGGTACTAACGTGTGTTCACTGCATACAATCGCGTGGGCGTCAGCAAAAGTCTTTACCACCGGTCCGAGCACACATACCACTTCCGATGATCCCATTGGCGTACCCTGTAGAAGACTGTGTGGGTAAAGAAAGTAGGCATTCAACGGATGGTGCTGACCGTCCGAAAACAGAGCAGTCCCGCAGCTGAAAAAGCGAATGTGGACGTCAGTCGCGTGCACACCTGCTCGGGGCCGAAGTACGTACGCAAAAATAAGGGACACCTGGGAGAGACCTTTCTTGGGCGTAGTCGCAGCCATTGCTCGTTCTCTGGTCGACGCTCACAGTAAAGGGAGGAAGACGGGGCTGATGGTGGGCAGCGGGGGTGTGGCGGGGCAAGGCATATTTATGCGCGATAGGCTCGGAGGGGGAGCTGTCTGATGCTCCGGGGTATCAGGCGTCTGTTTCTATTGATGGCCCTGTGCTTTCGCCAAATGTGGCATATCTACTCGCGCACGTTCGCGGACTCCGCGCGCCATCATGTTCCTTGCTACCTCGCCGCCGCCCATCTGCCCGACACGACAGCACCTTGTATAATAGCCTCCTACACGCTGCGCATCTCTGAGTCTCTTCTTGCACGAGCCAACTACGAAACCTTTACCCTGACGTCGTGCGCCCAGAAAATGCCGCTCGATTGTCCACCGCGTGCTGCTCGATCACCCGATTACGCACTTTTCTATCAACTCTTAGAACCCGGTGGAAATTCGCCAGCTCACTGCTGCGCTCAGCTCTGGGTCCCTCTTCGCCGCTGCTACTCTCGACAAAAGGTCTTTAGAATGCAGAAGGGACGCGCGAATGTGTTTATTTCAGGCCCACTGGCATGATTGATCTCGCTGATCGACGTCGGTTGCGTCGTCGATCGCCGGAACCCTTACAACGTGCCATATGCTACACAGCAACTTTGCGTTCCTTGCTCAGACTCTGTCGACGCACATGCAAATTCATCCCCGCGCTACACTGTTTTTTGCAGAGTCTGGGCAGCGGCTCCGCATATTACCAAGAGCTTCTCAGGCTGGGCGCGAACTGATTTTAGGAGGCCAGCCACCGCAAGATCCATACGAGATATAGCTTTTTCGAGAAGATTTAGGGGAATCTTCGCGGACTTGATCTAGGCCGCGGCACCATGGCTCTGGCTTCGTGCCTCAGTTTCTCCCTCGCGCACATCGACGTCCACAAGTGTCTCCGCTTGCTGCTGACACGGCTCCGGAGTCTTCCCCACGCGTTTCTGCACGTTTGTCGGCACTGGGCCTGTTGAACTCGTTTCATAAAGTCAAACATATTTGCTCGGCCATATGCAGCGGTCTCGGGTCTTGTGCCGCCGGCATGAGTATAGCAGAAGCCTGCGCTTCGTTCAGGCGGTGTATAACAATTTCAACTGCGCATTAACAGACGGAGCCAGAGCCAGTGGTTCCGACGTTATCTTCTCTAGGCTTACCATGTCCATTTTTGTACGTCACACTCGGAGAGGCTGGTCTTGAATAACCAACTGACACACATGATCTCATACCTTGTCAGCGGAATCAGTGAAGCGAGTGCACCAGGGTCAAATTCAGGTCTTGGGCATTTGCTGTTGACATGTTGAAGTATTGGCATTGACCTCTGCACTTTGTTCAGCCTAAGGACGGATGCATGCGTCTCACGCTGTATCCTTCGACGGGCTGTGCATGACGTCGGGCAGCCGCTCCGCGGCATAGAAGCGCGCTTCAATGACATGGTGTGGCGTCCATGAGAGCCGACTAGCGTTCCGTGAGGCGCGTGTTCGAAATATCAAACCTTGCAATGTAGTGGCCGCCCCTGCCTATCCAAGGCGCCCTTGTAAAGGCATATCTTCTGGTTCTCTGTGGGTGCTTATGACGTCTTTCAGCAACGTGCCCTGAGTAGCTCATCACGCATCCTGGAGATGTAGCCTCGTGGAGGCATGTAGGCATGTGGCGAGGTGTGCAGGTGCTGCGCAGGCAGTGCCTCGGTGTAGAAGAGACAGCATTTCCAACGTTGGACACGGAGAAGCACCAAAATCAAATTCGGCGCGCCCATGCATCGCATTTGGAGATTCTGGACTAGTGAATGCAGCCTTGACGCTCTGCGCTGATGCAAATACGGCATGTGCTTCAGCAGTGGTAAACAAAGGAGGGTTCGTCATCTTCAAAACTTGAACAAACTTATTTTAGTTAAGAGCCAATGGAATACTTGTCTTTCGATGGCGAGAACCGACCGATCCGTTTAAGCTCTGACGATCTACGCATCGAATCCTCTATGGTGCTCGTAGCGGGACCTGCAGCTCCTTGTACATGATCCTTGCTCTACGGACACATATCCTTGAAACCCGTGTCGAGGTCTCGGCCTGAGCTATAGTGAGGCCGACATCGATCGAGAAGATGCCGGCTTCCCAAATAGAAGATCGACCTTCCTTCGATAACAAGACGCTCATCGAATCGCATGCCGCCGTGGCGAACGTGCGTAGGCGTCAGTATACACACTTGAAAGGCTTCAGGTACGAGAAGATGCAGGTACATGGTATCTATACAGAGCTTCCTATAAGTATGCATTGAGTGCTGTCACTTCAACGGCCTTCCCGCGGCGTCGTTTGTCTTGCGATCCCGCACAGTCGAATACAGTACGTTCGCTGACAACGACATAACGGGGCATCATGACTGTCAAGGGCAAGAAGAAGGGCCTCTCCCAGGTGTCGCTCATTTTTGCGTTGGTAATCCTCTGCATTTTCGAAGTGGCATAATTGAGCGGCTCTCCTAGCTGCGGGACCGCACTCTTTTCTGATGGTAGGCAAACGTTGCACTGGCTGCGACAACGTGCTCATAATGAGTTTGTAGGCTATGCTAACGGGGTCATTGGGAATGGTGCGTTCCGACCTGTCTCTTGATTGATGGTTGATTGTGGAACTCCGCGGATAGTGAACACGAGTACGTGCTAGGACTTTGAATGCAGAGCGTAATGATCAGACATTCCCACTAGTCTTGACGCGAATCTACGGAAAGGAAGAGGTGAATAAGCACAACTATAGCCAGACGCTCTCCGGCGTCGCCTTCGCAGGGATGATCGTCGGCATGTTGGTGTTCGGCTACATGTCTGACAGGCTTGGCCGGAAGTTCGGGATGGTCAGTCTCACGTACGAGTAGTTTGTTGGATTGCTCATGCAGGATGGCACGCAGATGCTCGCGACAGGAATAGTCGCGGTATTCTCTGGGCTTTCAGCCGCATCAAGCGGTGCCCATCACAGTGTCGGCGGCATGCTGTCCATGTTGAGCGCTATGCGGTCAGTCGGCTCTCCTCCTGCTGCACAGGTGTGGCCGGAGGTTTCATACATTACTTCACCAAGGTTTGTGGTCGGCATCGGCATTGGGGCAGAGTATCCGTGCGGCTCTGTGGCAGCCTCTGAGCAGTCGGAGGAACCAACAATCTCCAAGATGGCACAGCATCGGTGGTTGGCGTTGTCGACAAGTGGGTGCCCACCGCACATATGAAACACCAGAGATTAACGTTTTCCAGATACGATGATTGACTTCGGGTTTGTTGTCGCTTCATTCGTACCGCTCGTTCTATACTGGATGTATGCACCCAAGTCCTGTCCCCTAAGTACCCGACTGTTGACGCACTCCATACCTCACACAGTTTCGGCGCTGATCACCTACGAGCTGTGTGGCGGCTCTCCTTGGGCCTCGGTGTCGTCCCCGCCGTACTCGTCTTTCTTTGGCGGCTAAACATGGAAGAGCCAACCCGGTACAAGAAAGACTCGATGGCGCGCGCGAAGACACCGTACTGGCTTGTCGTCAGACGGTATTGGAAGGACCTCCTTGCCATCAGCACGACGTGGTTCATCTACGATTTCATCACGTAAGTGTACGCGCTTCGCGTCGCGTCCTGGACAGCTCACCGAGCCGTGTTGCAGGTATCCTGTGCGCGCGCATGCCTTTGACCCAAGACAAGCCATCTGACTGCTCTTTTACCCGCTCTACAGTTCGACATCTACTCGTCCATTGTCGTTGACAAGTACGTCGTGCCGCTCACATCCGTAACGATGGCTTGACATCGGCGTTGCCGAGCGCAGTATCACCGGAAACGCGTCTTCCCTCAGCATCGTCTTCGGCTGGAGCGTGGTCATCAAGTTCGTCGTCGCTGCCTCCATCATGTATAGTGGCTGATATATCCCTCATGCAGCCTGTTCTACATGCCAGGTACGGGTATGCGGTCTCCGGACGTGATGCTTTACAAACCAATCCGTTAGGCACAATCTGTGGGGCCTTCTTGATTGATTATTTAGGCCCAAAATACACCATGGTTGGTCACAGTCGCAACGACGAGGCGAATTCAGCTCATTCAACCTCCCTTCGTCCAGATCCTCGGGCTGCTGTGCCAAGCGACCATAGGCTTTATAATGAGCGGTCTATACGTTCAGTATGTCATTGTGCATCGCTAGTGTACACTTCTGACCCACCTCGCGTATAGGCTGACAGATCACATTGCAGCCTTTGCGGTGCGTCTATGATCTCTGGAGACTCCCAACTTTAGCAGACCTAATTCCCCTCTACAAGGTCCTGTACGGGATATTCTTGAGCTTCGGCGAATTAGGTGCGGCTCGCTATAATCAATACCAGTAGACTCCCTGACCCTCGGCGATGCAGGACCTGGTAATTGCACCGGCATGCTTGCTGTGAAAACGGGCCCTACAGCTATCCGCGGGCAATTCTACGGCATTGCGGCCGCAGTAGGGAAGGTCGGGGCGTTCATCGGCACCTGGGGTAAGTAATACGCCAAGTTTACCGGCAGGCAACCGGCTGACGTGCTTACAGTCTTCCCTATAATCATCGACAGTACGGAGCGTCTCTGTCGGTCCGCTGTTATAGTCTACTGATCGTGTGGCGAAGGGTTTGGGGGAAGCAACACGGTGAGAGGCAACACGGGCCCGTTCTGGATAGGCAGCGGTATGTTGTCAGATCGATTGGACAAACACGACTATTGACTCTGGTGTTAGGCCTCGCGATTCTCAGCGCACTGATCACTCTGTTCTTCATCCGGCCGTTGACACATGACGGCATGGCCGAGGAGGACCGCAAGGTACGTTCACGCGTATGCTTGATTGTATCCCTGGTTCTGCGGTTTATATGACGTCGTGGCAGTTCCGCGAATACCTCGAGAGCAACGGTTACGACACGTCCCAGATGGGCCTTCCCGAGGCAGAGACAGAGACATCATGGTCTGACGGGGGGTCTGACGAGAAGCATGCGGATGGCGTCGACGAGAAGGTCACAGAAGTGTAATGTCTGCTTGTGAACTTTGTTTTGAATGCGAATTATACATCACATCATGTATAGAACAGAAGATACTCGGAGATTGTTTCAAGTCTGAGCAGTACACCGCATGCCGCACTGATAAATCAAGGCGTAGAAATTATGAGGGACTAATCTAGACGATGACCATCATGATGGTAATGAACTATCTAACATATGTACGCCTGTAGTATACTTGAAAGTCGTGACTAGTACCAATTGCGTAGCCTGTCCGATTAGATCGGGGCGTTTTCTGACAATTCTCTCTTTTCCTAGTTCCACCCGTGGATTGCGAAGCGCCCCGCGCAGATCAGCCGAAAGAATCGACTCAAGGCGCTCTACACCCGGAGTAAGAACAGCTCGCGGTCGGACTGAAGGACATCAGGTACGCGCATTCGGCGTGCAGGAGTTCATACGAGTTTTGATTGTACACATATTCCTGTTCCAGGACGCCCGAATGACGAACGCACACAGGACGTAGGATCGAGCGTACGCAACGCGTTCGTGGCTAGTAGAGTCGAACACGATCAACTTCGACTCCCCGCGATACTCAGCGACGGTATATACTGTGAGAACGACGCCGGAAAGACCGCCGGCAGCCAACGTCCTCGATGGACAGGGATCAATGGTGGATAAGGTTACAAACCGATGGGGCTACCTACGGCGCGCGACGCCTACATAAGTCCTATTCCCACACCGGCGCATGACCACGTGACCCGGGCCGGCAGCGACGCTTGCCCGACATACCCAAAAGTCAACATATACCTTCTGGCATTATCGTATTGGATACTTATGCAGTGTGCCTCGAGGCGATGGCGAGGCTTTTGGGGACGATAGGTTGTTTTCACCCATCCGTTTCAATTCCTCACGTCTGCGCCCCATTCCGCTTAGCGCCTGTGGGCGCCGGATCAGGGACTGATTATCATGTCTCTGATTGGCTCGTTACCAGCGCTAAGCTAATGCAGGGCGCGCCTATCGCACTGCACCCGACGTCTATCCGACGCGGTGGTGGGGTGAGGAATCGAAACTAAAGTTTAATAGGTACGAGACCAGATATCGGGCCTGTGCTCTCCCCGTTCCATTTCACTCCTGAAATTGCGTATAATGGATGTCCATTCTAAGGTTTACCTCTAAGATAGGCCTGCGGTGACCGGTCCTCCTACCGTGACATAATCTCTAACGTCAGTACCGCTAGCACTTTCATTCACCACATCTTGCTTTGCACAGGGTCCACCAACTACCTTACCATACACCGAGAAACGGCCCACCACCAGCAGAGGGCTACTTCTACAGCGTATTCAGTATCTAAAATTTCTAATTAATGCTCTGAAGCTAGTCGGCTGACTGCTATTTCCTACTCTTCGTTTATATCCACAATGTTTGCACAGCAAACATGGTAGGCTGCCCCCAGTGTGAGGTTATCCGATGGGTTTAAATATGATCGCTAATTGAGGCTTAGCGACACAGGGAAGCCCCGTCTATTTGACGAATTTGTCATCCGTTTGCAGGCTAGCTTGAGAATGCTCCTGTTCTCACTCCTTGTAAAGCCTCCTTGATCTTGATCTAATTTGCGGACAGGGTCTGGCATGTGAACCTGTCGACTGACTCTACCTCTATGAGTAAAAGCACATTCGCACCGCAGACCGGGTCGAGATGTTGCACCGCCTATCCGACACAGGTGATTTCACATTCTCGGCCATATAACAGAACATAGACCAGAGCCGCTTGAACAGGACATCTGCTGTAAAGCACCTTTTTTGACCGTCAATTTTGTGCTAGCATGACCGTCCCAACGCTCACCACCGGTAACATCCTCCTGTCCTTTGGGGTGGCAGCGCTCGCTGTAGTCTCATGGAAGCTGGTCTCAATCCTCATCAATATCGTTTCGTCGCCTCTACGTAACATCCCGGGGCCTCCCAATTCGAGCTGGGTGTATGGTAACATGAAGGAGATCTTCAAGGAGGAGCATACGGTTATGCACGAGGCTTGGGTCGCAACGTACGGCAATACCATTAAATACAAGGAATGGTTCTCGGTGAGAACGTTCCTGCAGGTTATAATGACGTCTGGATGCTGATAAGCGGCGGTCTTGTTCAGCGCAATAAGTTATGCACCGTCGACACACGTGCACTGAACTATATCCTCAGTCACTCTAACAAGTACCAGAAGTCTTCTGTCGCGCGCTTCATACTGGGCGAGGTCTTGGGCGATGGCCTCTTTGTCGTCGAAGGTTCGCTCGAGCGCGGATAGTATATCATTCTTGCATGCTGACGGCCGATCCCTCAAAGGCGAACAGCACCGTAAACAGGTACGACACTGTCCGCTAATTGTACGGAGGGAGCTGATATCTTTTTACCATCTAACAGAGGAGGATAATGGTGCGTGATTTCGCATATCTCAAACTCAACGGTAACATTGACCAATCAACAGAACCCGGGTTTTGGTCCCGTTCAGATCCGCGAGCTCAACGAAATATTTGTGGAGAAAGCACAGAAGGTACGCACTTGTCTGATGTCCGGTTCTCTGCCCTAAGATACACCTTCATTCTAGTTGTGCCAATTCTGGCGCAACGAGATCTCGAAGAGCGGGGAGCCCGCTCGCATCAATGTTCTAAACGGGCTTAACAAGATGACCCTGGATGTCATTGGACTAGCAGGTCCGTGGTCTTTCTTTCTACCTAATGGGCCGCACAATAATGCTGAGTACGTGTCATCAGGCTTCAATTATGATTTTGATGCGCTGAACATCGATGGGAAGCCAAATGAACTTAACCAAGCGTTCAGCGTCATGTTCAGGTCCCTCGAGAGCTTTTCTATGTTCTCCTTGCTCAAGGCATTCATTCCCGCGCTACGGCTCATCGTACGTTCTTCACATGCTGTCAGAAGTCGTGGCACTCACGTCGGACCACGGTTCTCAAATGCAGCCTGACAGTCGGTCGCAACGCATAGCAAACGCTCGGAAGGTCATGCGACGCATGGGCATGAAGCTCATCACCAAGAAGAAATCAGAGATTCTGCGCCTTGCCGCTGATGGGGAGAAGGAGAAGGGTAACCTGCAGAGCCGCGACGTCCTGACGCTGTTGATCAAGGCAAATATGGCTACCGATCTCCCTGAGAGCCACAGGTTGTCCGACGAGGACGTGTTGGCTCGTGAGCAGATTAAAGCCCTTATTTATACGGACGCACGCTGACCGTTCGATACAGAGGTACCGACGTGAGTACATGTTCCTTGTTTTATATGACGTGCGGGGTACAATTGCTTTATCAGCTTCCTTGTCGCCGGCCATGAGACGTCGAGCAACGCGACGGCTTAGTGTCTCTATGCGCTAACGCAAGCACCCGAGGTACAGCAGAAGCTGCGCGAGGAGCTCTAGAACATCCCGACCGAGAACCCAACCATAGACGAGCTGAACGAGCTTCCTTACCTCGACGCCGTCGTCCGTGAAACCATGCGCGTGCACGCACCCATACCCTCGACGGTCCGGGTCGCAATGACGGACGACGCGATTCCGCTCGACACGCCGTTCGTCGACGTCCACGGCCAGGTGCAGGACAGCATCAGGTATGCTCTGCATGATGCCGTCCGTCAATGCGTGCTGAGGCGTTTTGCGGCAGGGTTAGAAAGGGCGACCCGATCTTCATACCCATCCTCGCCATGAACAGGTCAAAGGCGCTCTGGGGCGAGGACGCCTTCGAATTCAAGTAAGTGCGAGTTCTCTTCCCTGGATCACCGTCTCCGGCGTTGTTTTGATTTGGCATTCAAGGCCTGAGCGCTGGGAGTCCGTTCCAGACGCTGTGCAGCAAATTCCAGGCGTGTGGGCGAATCAATTGAGCTTCCTGGGCGGCCCACGCGCCTGCATCGGCTATCGCTTCTCCGTTACTGAGTGCGTTGCTCCACTCATGTTCCTCCTTCTGGCGCTGCGAGACGAGCTGATTCCGAGACTGTCTTCCCTCATTGCAAAATCGCACACAGGATGAAGGCTCTGATATTTGCGCTCGTGCGATCGTTCGAGTTCGAGCTCGCGGTGCCCCCGGAAGAGGTCATCAAGAAGTCGACTCCGGTACAGCACCCCCTTGTTCGCAGCGAGATGAGCAAGGGTGGCCAGCTGCCGCTATTGATCAAGCCGTACCACCGGATTTGAGCTGTGGTGGATGTACATGGGTTCTATCTGCCACACGTCCGCCCTTTGTTATTCAGTACTGTCGTGGTGTTGCTGCACACATGTCTTTTCTTCCGATGCCAACCCCTACATCCCCAGTCAGCGTCTCAACCGCTGCGACGCACCGTATACGGAATCAGGAATAATGTGGGGATGAGTCCTATGTAATAAGAATATTCAACTATCCATCACATAGCTAGTCGTAGCAGTCCCGAATAGTAGTCGTTCGTTCAAGGTGTTTACATACGTGTCTTCAGAAAGGTTTCTTGCCACTTCGAATACTCAACGCTCAATTTTGTGCTGGTTAGAGGATTCTTTAGATGCGCTTTTTGAAATTTATCACACAATTTATTTGCCTTGTTTCGGCATACGATAGCTAAAGGAGCGCGTGCTAATCAGTAAGGATAGTCGGCCAGTACAAATAGACCTTGATACCGTGGCGGGGTCCAACCTACTTGTACATCTTGTACATTTGACTTCTTGTAGTTCGCAGTCGGCTACAGGTAGTTACATCCAAGATTGACTCTGTAGGACTACCATGTCATTTATTCGTGTCATGACTCTCCGTTCTACCAGGCAGTCTGTTAGTGAGCGAAAGCACCTGTGCTTTGCAGTCGAATAAGAAAATCAAGCAGTTGGGAGTTGGATTCTACTCGTGTAATCAACCTGCGCCGCGGCCGGCTCCGGATATCCATGCCTGACGACCGACGTGACCATTTCCAAATCAAGCACCACACGTCGGGAGCCTGCCCTAAGTCTCTCACGCTACCGCATTCTTAAAGCGCGCGCCCCGCCGGCGCAGTTTTCCTTCGTGCGGCGACACAGCCATATCTTCCCCATGTTGCTCATAGCTGCGCATTGCCACGCGGCCGTTCGAGTGTCAGGCTGTGTCAAGAGGAACCCGGACGTCTCAGTACCTGCTGTCCTCCCGACGCGCTCCCTGGATCTTTTTGGAGGTCCCGGGAAGACATGTCGGGATGACGGGTCGGTGGTTCGTACAATTTGAATACTCTCTTTGAGGAACAATATATATTACTTTTGCCCTGGACGTCTTCAATTGCTCGCTGGTCGGAGGAGTGCCTCGCACCTATGGGATGCTTCTGGGAAATGAAAAATGCATGGTCATTGTCATGAAACGTTAGGCTCCGCTAATATGCATTGGATGTTTGTAAGCTGAGGAATGCGGCAGGTGCGCTGTCTGTTTAGTGAAGTCATATCCCTCTGCTCTCTTTCTATATTGAGAAATTTGTCGAAGCTGTGCATTCCTGGATGGCAATTGAAACCTTTTCCATCGGCTGGTATTGCTGCTAGTTTTCTATTATTTCGTTTTTTATCCAGTTTTATATCCGCTTTGCTGCTAATTGATTTGGCAGGCGCATGGTAATTTGCATATTCTGTAGACCATCGGGTCGAAGCACTCTTTCACGCTAGTTGCCTTCAACAGCCTGTGGAGGGTGTACCGAAATGGTAGAGGTGACAAGCAAGCCAGTGCTGTTGCGCACAAGGATCCACCTTATGTCTCTTGGCCTCACAGAGGTTGCACAAATGATGTTGTAAGCATTCAGCTCGGACCACAATAGTCAGAATCGGCACTTGTTTTGGGACCACGCTTTGTATGCCCGACACATACATCAACGCACCAGCTCGTACAAATACAAACACGAAAGAGAATAAGTTATACGCGTACAACAACCGAGCGGGAATAACCTAAATGACACGAAGAAGACAAGGAACTGCTGAGAGAAGAGCAGTGGCGATACGTCGGCCGCCGCGCGGCCATTGCAAAGATGATCGGCGGCGTTTTGGCGTGCGGCGATACACGCCCCTCTCTGCAAGCAGGGAGACGGTGGATGATGAGGTGTAGATACGAGAGGATATGTGCGGGGATAGCTGGCGTGCTGGCAAAGGATGGCGGAGACCACGAGCGACAATTGCGTGATGAGGGTGGGGGTGGGGTGGGGATGTAGCGAAAGAAGGCGGAGGAAGTCCAAAATGTGTATGCGCAGCAAGATTGAGGACACGAACAGAGAGCAGTGCTTATGCCCGCGCGTCCCTCGTATGTTATGGCGGGTTGAGTCATTAGGCAGGATGATTAAGGTGGTCGCAGCACATCCATGATGGAGAGCTTTTGGTACAGAAGTGGATGTGACAAGACCATGGGGACCCGAGGACAAGAAGCCAAGCGCACGAGAATACGGCGCAGCGCATCAAGTCATCGAAGTTGCGCGGTATCCATGAGACGCCGCCGATGACTTCATCAAACTCCAAGCTTAATTGAAGCCATCGAAGTGCCCCTTGAGGATGCGCTCGCCCATTGGAGAGGGCGCACGGGGCGGGCGCGGCGTGCCAGCCGCCATGGTGTTCGAGCGACGCGGCTTGCGCGGCGTCAGCGCGGGTGGAGGCGTGCCGCTGCGATGCCCCTGTGCGGGTGCAGGCTTGAATGCGGATATTTGCGGCTAACAAAAGGGGTAAGATAGATCAGGGTCTGGGGTACGAGAAAGGAGGATGTCGTGTTGTTGCCGTGAGGTGGAACCGCAAGGTCACAGCACCCTGATGTCGGCACCTCACGGCAACACAGCGAAGACGGGGCACTTACCCTGCCTAGCGCGCCGCCCAGTGAAAGGCGGCGGAGGACACCTGCAGCTCGGTCCTGCTGGTCGTTGTGCGATGTCACTGGCGGAGGGGGTGGTGGCTGCACGAAGCGGTCGGTGCCGGTCCATGCGGTGCTCGCGCGCCGGCCGTGCGTGTGCGCACCCGCGGGCTGCGCCTCGGAGGACTCGTCATCTGTCAGCGGCAGCAACCGATCGCACCATGCACGTCAGATCATTGCACAATGCAACGGGATTGACGTGAGCGTTACCTTCGACGACAGGGGGGCCGAAGTTCCGCCGCAGGGGGAAGGTGCTCGCGGGCGACTTGGTGGCCGTCGTGGGGGATGACTGGCCGAAGAAGTAGGAAAAGATGGGCGAGGTGGGCGACGATGGCGAGATCCGAGGGGGAACGCCTGTGGCAGACGCGGGGAAGGGCGTGGACGCGGTGTAGGGCGTCGTCGGGGAGGCCGAGTCTTCAGAGGAGTCGGAGACCGAGTCTGAGCGGCGGCGGCCATGGTGCCCCTCGAACGAGATGGGCTTGGTAGGACCCGTGCTGTTGCTGCCGACTGGGGCCATGACGATGATATGATACTGAGAGCAGGGCAAGTGCGCGCGCAGAGGGAGATCAGATGGCAATAGGGGAAAAGGAGGGGCGCAGAGACAGGGCTTATGAAGGGGACGGAACAGGCTCCGATCAAATGGTGCAGACGAGGTTCGATCTCCAAGACGCCGTAGTGCTTACTCCGCTCCCTCCACCAGTGGAGCTTCAGATTCCCTCTCAGCCTGCGGGTTCTCCTATCTTTCGCACTGTTCTACTTATCCCGACGTCTGGACCGCCGCAGCCGCCGCCTCTCGCATCCGCCGCACCCGCTGGCCTTTGCAACAGAACATTCGTACGTACTTACACCATGGCGACAGGACGCATCCACCAGACCCGTCTGCTCCCCATCGCACTGGCCTCGCGACCGCGAACGCAAGAATAGCCTGGGACAGCCCAGAGGAGGACGGGAACTTGGGCTGCCAGGCCACGTGCTCTACCCCGCATTCCCATCTTTGCTTCCTCCTGCGCCGCCGAGATGCCATGCCTTCCGCGGGTCACAGGGCCAGGGCACGCCCGCGCATCGACGCCCCGCACAGGTAACCCGGCTCCTGCTGATCGGTAGCTGCTGCCCTCGTTCACGCGCGCGTCCCAGGTCTCTGGGCTGCAATAGCTTTCAGCCAGAGACGAATGCGCTTCCACACGCTGTAGGCAGGCGACGATCCATCCGACCGCCCCAGGCGGCCTGCCTATCTCCACCCGGGGGCACTTTGTTCTGCATATCCTGCGCTTCTGCGTCTTCGGGGGCAAATGCCTGGCGCGCACGAAGAGCAGTAGGGCGCCCCAGGAGATTTGCGAACCGTGGGCGCATGCCGGGAGAACGCGTTGCAATCCAAGCCGTCCACATCGCCCGACTCTGTCCTGGACAGATCTAGACATTTTAGGCGTTCCAGATGTCCATCCCGTCGGGCAGAATGACATCAGGTGTGCGCACATCATCATAGGCCCGGGTGCATACGGGGTACGGGGGAGAGCTATGCTCGAGTCCATCGTCCGTGTCGCGACCGATCACTAGCACTATGCATGTCTTCTCCGGCGGATCTTAGCCACCGCTCGTTAGAGCAAAGACCCTTAACCATTACGTGACACCCCAGTGATCGGGGAGTATGCCTCAGATGTCGTTGCCTCACGAGATCGGATCCCTGAGCGAGCGCACTGTTCACGGACGGCTGCGGTCAGCGTGCGACGGATCTGAATACCGTAATAGTGGTCTTCTTCGGGTCGCAATCATGGTCACGACGAAAGGTCCTCGTACGACCCTCGAGAGCGCTCCGTTGCATACCCCCATTCAATCGCCTGCGGATGCGCCACCGTCGCTTCCAACCGCCCCAATCCCGCGCCGAATTTCATTGAGAGCGCGATGGATCCCGGGGGTTTGCACCGATGCTGAGGGCCATGCTGACAATTTCGTACCCGTAAAGGCCAAAAGTTAATGCACAAGAATACACGGTACATCGTGTCACTATTAGGGGCCCCCAGTCGATCGGACGAAATCGACTCCCACCGATCCATGTCCACTCCGTGTTGCCCGCGTGCGGCGTACCAGCGGTACTCACCGGGGACGCTGGGATGAGTAACCGCGTCCCTTGCCCGTCCGACTTTCTCGGGTGCCTGTACCCGCATCGCACGTGTCTCGCGCCCGCGTCTCAAATGCGGCAGCTGATCAACCGGCTCATGCGTCAGTTGATCAGGAGGCTGAGCCTCTGGCATGGGTTAGCGAGACGTGAGGTCTGAATTGAATGGGACTTTTCAGCTTGGGGCACGGCCGGTTGAGCAGGTGCTCGACGTACAACAGCGAGGGGGGCTCTCGGCGGAGGCATGGGGCGCTGGCTGCGATTGCGGTACCAGGCTGCCGGATTGGTCGCTGAGAAGGTTGTAAGCTTAATTGCGTCGAATCCACTGCGGAGTGGAGCGACGACAGAAGTCGTAGATACCGCGGTCCAAACATCCAACGCCGAGAATAGAACTGGCAGCGCGTGAAAGCACGTCGACATGCATTACCTCGTTCTACTAAGTGCTAAGATGAGAATTCAGACCCTGGAGCTGGAGTGTGAGTGCTCTTCTCGCACTCGATGACGAGAGAGATGCTCAAGACAAGGCAACGATTGAGACGTGAACGGGGGCATGCATGTTTATGACGCGACTCGAGGCCCCGATCTATGTCGAGGAGGGACAACACAGACTTCCCCCAACGGTCCCGATTCAGACACACGATGTCGAGATGGAGGATGCTCGGGCACGTCGGCGGCTGAACGTTGTGAACGTTGAAGGGCGTTCATGCGGACGTTCATCGTGACGGCAGTCCTATCATAGACGCGCTGTCATCAGCTTGGTGCCCGCCTTTCTATCTAAGACCTAGTGGCAGTGAGGAGGACAAGATGAGGGCGCGCGTCATGCATGGTTGGGAGGCGATAACGTTGATCAGCTTGGGCGCACTCGAGTTCGGGCAGTACACTCAACAATATAGGACTTCCACCCTCTACCTCAACATGCGAGAGCTGCCTGCTCTAAACGATCCTCTCAATCGGATATATGTCATGTTGCACCGGCTCGATGATCTTCAAGATGCGCTTCGATACGGCGTGTCTACTCGTGTGATACTGTGATACAGGAGCATCGAGCTTCTGTTGAGCGTTCGTGGAACAGAAGATGCTGCTCTGTGCTCAGTTCGGAGGGCAATTGTCGATATGGGCTCATTGATATACATGCTAATCGATTAGCGGACTTAACGAAAAGGGGAGGAGGGGGATTTCATACCAGCTTCAGTAACCTAAGGCATGGGACATACTTGCGACGTAATGTCCTGCTACATGGAAGAAGCAGCACCCGATCGCGAGCGACCGATTCTGCATTAACCTCCCAATGAGGAAATTCCACTTTCGGCTGCCGGTACCGGTACCTGTGGCAGGGCCATGTCCGTATATGGTCAGCAGCGCGGACTGCGAAAAGGCGCCGGTCAGCCTGCCCAATCAGGTATTTTCTGACATTTCACTCTTTCCCCAGGTTTATGAGTAGGCTACGAGGAACCCCGATCAGCTCAAGATATCGACTTACTTCTACGACGCCTGTGGCACAAGTCTTTATCGTTACCCACTAGCGCGTCCTTCTCGTCTCATTCATACACCGAGGCATGATCCGCCAGCGGCAAACTGCTACTTCCACACCAGCGGCGTCATGATCGCTATTTGAAGCTTTCTCGCCCTCATTCTCCCGTCTAGCCTGTTGCATCAGGGCCATGTATGTATAATTAATCAATGGAGCCGCATTCTATCCTACGCTTTGAAAGTACATTTTCGTGGGTTCTGGTGAGTGGGTCATCCGTAATATCATGAGCACACAGTCACATAAAAATCTAAGGTGCTGCCACAGGTTAGGGCCGCCGACGGTAGCAGCCTCAAGGTGGGTCCCTATCGCTTTCGATCGTTCTCGAGGCGACCACACTGAGCACGCAATTCAATCTTCCTGCCAGTATACAATGGATGACTGATGCACAGATGTCGCTGAAGGATCTGCTGACCAAAATGCTGCGCTATACGCCCTGTCCAGCAAATTATACTCAATTACGTGGCTGCATTAGCGACTAACTAATCGTGCGTCGTCGCCTCAACTGATGGCAGTGGCAGCATTTAAAACCATACTAACGAGCACACGGTCAGTGTGCATGCGCCAAGATATATCAGCGCTTCAGCACCAAGAAAAGTGAGACATAGATCGGGTTAGAGTTCTGCTGACAAGAGGATCCGTGGCACTAACTCGTGGCTGACAGATGGGTAGCTGAGACGTACCAGCGCCATATTCCCCGCTCTAACTTTATCACCTTATCATTACAACATATGACGCGTCGTCGTGGCTTTGTCACAGCAAGGATTCGCCTTCGTGAATCTTTATGCCCTAAGTATATAACTGCAGGGAAAGCACGGCCTATCACCACAATACATCTATTATGCCTTCCCTCGCCGCATCCCGAACCGCGAATGCTTCCTATGCGTTCCCAGCCGCACCAGTCGCCATCTTCGTTGGGGGGACGTCAGGAATTGGACAAGCTGTCGCACAAGCACTAGCCCGCTACACGAATGGACAACTCCACCTCATCATTATAGGGCGAAACCGCGCCGCGGCGGAGTCCATATTCGCGACGCTCCCCAAACCTGCCACGCCTGCCGCACGCTACGAATTCATCGAATGCGACGCAACGCTGATGAGGAACGTCGCCGCGACGACGTCCGAGCTGCTTGCACGCCTCCCCAAGGTTAACTATCTTGTATTGTCGTCAGGCTACTTGGGGCTCCGTTCTCCAGGACGGGACGAGACTCTGGAGGGGATCGACAAGAAGCTGGCGCTCAATTATTACGCGCGATGGAAATTTACACATGACCTGCTCCCGTTATTGAAGGCTGCGAAGGACACGGGAGAGGACGCACGCGTTATGTCCGTCCTCGCGCCGGGGAACGGCAGAACGCTCGACCTCGAGGACCTCGGGCTCAAGAAAGGCTATTCCTTCCTTAGTTCGTTTCGCGCTGCGCCGACCTACAATGACCTTATGGTCGAGGTGATTATACTTGTGTTCTCTCTCTCTTGCACAACTTGCTCACCTGTGAGTCCTGCAGTCATTTGCAGAGAAGGAACCCGGACCATCTTTCATTCACATCTACCCCGGCGCTGTGCGCACGCCGCTCCTCAGTACCGTCTTTACGGTGTTGATGTACCCCTTCACGTGCTCGCCGGAAGACTGCGCCGAGCGCATGCTCTATGCACTGGTTCACGCGGACGCGGGTGCGCAGCGGCGGGACGCCAATGGGGACGACATGGGACGAAAGGACTATTACGGCTCGGACGAGGCGAGGGTGCGGCTTTGGACACACACGGTGGACGAGGTACAGCATGCGTTGGACGTCAAGCACTGAAGACTGTGTCACAGCATGAGATCTCATTTGTGCGGTACGTTGTCCGATTTTTCAGCAATCTGGACACTTGAATGACCCGCTCTTTCGTAGAATCCGACATCGGTGGATGATAGAACCCTCTAGTAGCCACAAAATCACAGCTTCTCTTATGAGAGCACGTTTCAGGTTGGACCTTGTATAATATATGACACTCCGGTTTAATGTGTAGTAATCTATACGCAGAGATCCGAGGAACTCTTCAGCTCTCATCCGTAAATTCATTTACACGACTCAAGCTGGATCTCTGTCATTTCGTGCGCCACAGTGTGCAAAAGATATTCAACCTCGGCTGATAAACATTTGGAAACAAATAGCGTTTGAAGTTAGTCATTGTGTACACGAGTGTTAGCCTAGATTGCAGAAAAGTAGGGAATTTAAAAGCAGCTACGACGTGCAAAACGGACGATGGCGATGGAGCTATACTGAAGCGAGCAGCCCCACACTACAGTGTACTACCTCCCTGTATCATTCCACCGAGTGGAATCTCACGGAATCTCAACATCATGCATATACGTAACAAAGTTCCGGACAGTAAACGGGATAGCAAGCGAACTCAAGCAAGCGCTAGATAGTAAGAGTAGTGTACTTAGTATAGTCACTAATCGAGACCAAAAGGAGGTGAGGAGACCAAGAACGTCAGCTTCTGCCTAGTAATCCTGAAACGCATCTTCCAACTTAATGCAAACACGTCACTCTCCTAATACTCATCCGGAATCTCCAATACTTCGTCTGGGATCGACGCAATGCTCATGGGGCGCGAGGGCTTTGTTTCCAGCATGTTCACGAGATCCGCGAGGTCGGTCCCACCGCTTCCTATGGGCGTCGGGGTCGTTGCTCCATTCGCATACGCTTCCTCAGCGTGTGGCTCGTCGTGAGAAGCCTCCACATCAGGTTCGTGCTCGCTTTGGGACAGGTTCGCCTCAGGTTCATGCTCGTCTTGTGCGATCAGCTCTTCGTGTGTCTCTACGGGCGCGTCCTCATGGAGTTCCGCCGCTGCAAGCGATCCGGCGTGGTCCTCCTCAAGCGTTACCCCAGCATTGGATTCTGCCTTGTCCTCGTCCACAGTGACTGTCTCTTCCACCTCCGCCGGAAGCTGCGTAACCTCGGCGTCCAGGTCCTCCTGCTTCATGTGCAGTATTGCCTCTGCTACTTCGGCGGCGGCGTCATGCACCCCTTCCTCCGGCGTCGAATCAGTCGAAACCGCCTCGGGCTCGTCGATTAGCGTGCCCTCCGAGCTCTCATGTCCATGCTCTGTATCAACAGTATGCTCGACGGGGCTTGCCAGCTCTTCCGGCTCCTCTGCGTGTTCGAGATGCTCCACGACCTCATGCTGCTCCTCACTTGGAGTTTCTGGGGCAGGATCTGGCTTAGAAATAGCAGCGGCAGTGACATGTCGGGTCGTAGTGGTCCGCGCCTTCGCACCTGTCGAGGACGTAGCGCCCCTCGCTCTGGTGGCAGTCCCCCTTGTAGCTGTAGATCCTCTGGCGGGCGCTGTTCCTCGCGAAGACGCCGTACCTCTTGTGGTCGTTATCCCTCGGGTGGTTGTACCTCGTGCCCCTACCCGCGGACCCGGTCCACCCCTAGTTGGAGGCGGGCTCACTGACTTGCTCAGACTGGCCGCTGTCGGCTTGCTCAACCGCTCTGAGACGCCCGGCCCTGTAGTCGGCTTGCGCACAGGCGTGGGAGGCGGAGACGACGCGTTGCGCGCCTTGGCAAGCGAGGCTGCGGTCGGTGCAAACAGTCCCGAGGCCGGTGTTTTTGGACGCGTCGTGTGTGCAGGTGTCGTTACTGAAGAAGGCGTCTTCGGACGGGTAACAGGCGTCTTTGCGCGGGCGGGCGCGTGCGACGCGCGTGACGAGGGGCGTGGGCGAACGGGACTGGAAACCGAGGCGGCAGAAGACTTAGCGGCGGCAGAAGGCCTGGCGGGGGTCGAGGCGGAGGCGGACGGCGCCGCATGAAATGAGGTGGGTGGAGACTTGGCGGGGGTGCGGCCAGGTGTGCGTGTCGTGGTTATGCTGGGCCGACTAGGTGTAGACTTTGAAGGCGTGCTGGGCGTACGCGTCGGCGCGGTCACAGATCCAACGCTTGACTGCCGCGCTGGCGTTGGTTTGGGCACCGGCACGGCAGTCTCTGGTGAAGATGGCACTGGATCTGGCGCTGGCGCTGGCACTGGCGGCACTGGCGGAACATCCTTGACTGGAGTCGCGTTCTCAGCGGGCGCAGCCTTGGGGAGAAGGTCACTATCCCGAACAATGCTTGTCTCTATCGTGGTGGACGCAGTTCCGATGACAGTCTTGGGTCGTGGCGGCCATTCACGCTTCTCCTTCAGCTCCTCTTTAGCTGCATCGCCTGTGTAGTTTGACTGGGCACTGCCTGTGCGCGACGGCGAGCTTGGTACAACCGACTGCCGCTTCGTCTGCTGCTCGAAGCGTCCGATGAGGTTGGCAACGCTCTGCCGTGGTCTCTCGTCGGGCAGCGGCCTGGCGAGAAGGCGGAGCTGGCTGATCAGTGCTCGATGGCAGGGAATCAGATGCGGGTCGCGCTCACATGGATATCACAGTGGGTATGCTATGAGTGCACAAGATGCGCTATATCCAAGAGCAGGCGGCCCTCGCCAGCGAGAGCAGGTATGAGCGAACTTCTGAATTGCGACAGTGATGATGAGAGCGATGATCAAGCCAAAATGCCTTCAACTTGCTTCCAATCGTTGCATGCCCGATACTTACCGATTGTGAGCGGAGATCTAAATGAATAGATCGGGAATTGCGGAGGATGAAATGCAGTCTGTTGTAACTTCGAATATTTATATGTACATATTCATGTGTTTTTGAGCTCCGCCGTAGTAGTCACCTTGACTATGTACCAACACGACAGCATTTGTTCGAATCGCACCCCTTTCTTCAATTTCCCAGATGTCATTATTCACAATCACATCTCCGGTGCGTCGACCATACTGCCTACACATGTGGGGGCTGCAGCTATCGAGGCTGCTTGAAGTTGTTCGAGGCCCGAGATAACTACCGTGACATCATTTACACACTGAGCAGGAGATTTGTCCACCTCACCCACCGCACAGTTTTCTCCGGATAGCGCGCATAGAACGCCGAAACTGCCTCAGTATGCGACTCTGGATCCGCTCAGGACCAGTAATGCCATTAGTCTCGTTGGCTGCATCTCACGTATTGCGAGGTGGCTGGTTCCCCCGAAAAAGCCTGCTAGTGGGGATCACCGTGGCAGCGTCGTCATGATACCCCGAGTGCAGAAGAAGCACATTGACTGATAGCTTCCTTCATCTATATCGAATACGGCAATACCTTGCGTAGAGTGTTCAAAGACAGTCAGCAGAGGGTGGGTCTATCACACTCTCCTGCTGTTGCGAGCGAAGTCCGCTTCCGACTCTTGTCTCCGATAGGGAAGCTCGATTTCGAGTCTGAAATGGACCTTGAAATCCCTTCTGGTAGGACATTTTCAACACGGCTAAGGTGCAATGTAACCGAGAACTCCATGCTACATGATGTTTTGCGGGATAAAGTCGTTACTCCAGAGCACCTTGACCGTCGGGCCGGCCACGTTGGCAGTGCACCTAGGAGGCGTCACTACTGCGATTTTCTGCGCAGGATCGAAGCTCCACTCATGAAAGATCTCGAGAGTTAGTGGCTCGAGTTTCTGTTTGTATGATGTGTTCATATATCAGTGCGTGCTGATTCAAGGGACGATGCACACGGGTGATCGTTCTAAACTGTAAGGTTCATGGTTTGTCTTGTCACACCAGCCTGCTGAAGCATGGACCGTTTCGCGTCCAGGTATCAGCTGACGTCGGGGATGTCAGGCGGTTACTGCGCACTGCACGTCTACATACTGATTGCTCGGCTGGGTGACAGTCATTCAGGGACAAGGCACAGCCTCACCGTAAACACAGGCTGCGCGTAGACCAACACTACATAATTATACGGGGCGTCGCAGCAGCCCCTGTCCTGGTTCCTTTCGCATAACATCAACAGACGCCCCTCGGTTATCCCTACTACCATGTCCACCTCCGAGGCTATCACCAGGCTCACATTGGATCCGGATAACGCACGTAACACAACTATTACCTGGGAGGATAGTACGGTCGCCTACACGGTGCAGACCGAGATGAGCAATCAGGGCACCACGATGCGCATTTGCAAGGCAGGCGGGTCACCGGTCGCTATCATACAGTTCAGGGCCCGGGGCTCTCCTTTCAACCTGGTCTCAGTTGCGCTGGGAGACCAAGAGCCGATTGCGATCGGCAAGTGGCTGAGCACCAGCATGGTGCCCTTCCGGAAGTGCGTCAGCTGTGATTGGCACGAGCGCGATTTTTGATGTCCAGCGTCCCCCAGCCATGCGTCGTTCAAAGATGACTCTGGACGGAAGTACAAGTGGAAAGGTACCGGACCTGGAGAGTCGCTTCAGGTTCGTCCTGCATGGCGATGTAGCTGACTGCTATTCACTGTGCATTCATCAGCTGTTCGCCGAGGACGACGACTACAAAGAGTGCATCGCGCGCTTCTACTATTCGAGCAAGTCATGGAAGACAGATCCCCCTACAACAATCCCTGCGACACTCACGTTGTTGCCTCGTGCGGAGGAGATCCACGATTTGGTGGTCGCTTCCTTCCTGTACTTGGAACGTGAGAGAAGAGTGAAAGAGGCGGCAACCAACATTCGGGCTGAGGTCAATGTCATAGCGGGAATGCAGGCATCTATGTGTATCAACACGACGTGTTAATTCGCCATGTATATGGACCCGGTTGCAACTTCCCGCCGGATCTTTGTGAGCCATCTGTGCAATACACTGATTATTACGTCTATGGATACATGCTCTATTGCTGTCTCAGTCAAAGCAGAAGTCCATAGAATACGTTCTCCAGAATTTGATTACAATCAAACCCAATTGATCACGCGCACGGAGCAAACGAAAGCAGCGGATGATTGGTAGTGATCGGGTAATGACCGGTGATCGAGGACGACGTCACCGCTTGCGTCGTGCTCTTACTTGTCTACTCCTTGGCGTCCATATCTCCACTTCTAGCTAGGTTAGCATGTATTACATCGTTTGTACGGTGCTCCTTTCTCTCAGGCACATCGCCCTTTGGACGAAGCTTGAAATCGACCCCCATTGTCATCTGTAAAAACAAAACAGGTGTGCCCGTTCACGACGCACCTTGCATAAAGCTGACCCTCGCTGTGTTAGGTTGCAGAAATTTGTGCACGGACGAAACTAGTCCACCACAGGATATCAGAATGAGTGAAAGCCGTACCCCACAAGACGGCCTGATCCTCGCCATAAATGCAGGCTCCTCGTCGTTGAAGATATCGCTGTTTCGTAAAGTTAATCACCCGAGCGAGTACGGCAAGCCTAACGATTGGGTGGACCTCCTTCTTGTATCTAGCATCACGAACATCTCGTCGCCTCCCACAAAGTTTACGTTCCTCCTCGTTTCACACTCCCAAGGCCGCGAGGCCAAGAAGGAACCTATCGACAATGTACATGACCACGCGTCGGCATTTGCGCATTTCCTAGACTACCTGAAGAAAGAGAGTGCAATTGACCGTTCAGCAGTGGTGCATGTGTGTCATCGTGTCGTGCACGGCGGTGACTACTTCGAACCTGTCATCATCGACTCCGATAGCTACCACCACATCGAGAAGCTATCGGACCTTGCACCCCTGTGAGTAGGACTGCTACCCCTGTGGATGGCGTACCGAATGCATGCACAGCAGTATATCCGCATAGCTTTCACACAGATCCATACATTCGTATCTGACCAGCGAGGACGTGTCATTTGACTGACGCGATATTCCTACAGACACAACGGTGCCGCGTTGTCGGTCATGAAGGCCTGCATCGAAGCACTTCCAGATGCAAGCTCGATTGCGTATTTTGATACCTCCTTCCACCGTTCAATCCCCCTCCACATCGCGAGCTATGCAATCAACCCAGAAGTCGCACAGAAGCGCGGACTCAAGAAGTACGGGTTCCACGGGCTCAGCTGTACGTTCAGTCATACAACGCACAATATATGCGCGCATATACTCATTTACATGTTGGCCGCAGACGCATATATCCTGGGTGCCACTGCACACCACCTCCAGCGCCCCGCGTCCGCGCTCAACCTCATAGTCATGCATCTCGGCTCCGGCGCCTCTGTCTGCGCAATCCGCAACGGCACATCGCTCGACACGTCCATGGGGCTCACGCCGGTGTCTGGCCTGCCGGGTGCGACGCGTTGCGGGGTGATCGACCCGTCGCTCGTGTTCCACTACACGAACCGCGCGGGGCGCATCACGCATGACCCGAGCGCGGCGATCGACGTGCGCGTCACGCAGGCAGAAGATATCCTCAACAAGCAGAGCGGGTGGTGCGCGCTCACAGGGACCGCGGACTTCAGCGAGATCGTGCGCCGCATGCGCGACTCGGCCGGTGGGCAGGAGCTGCGGGACTGGCAGGGCGAGGGCAAGTGGCGTCTCGCGTTCGAGCTGTTCGTGGACCGGATCGCGGGCTTCGTGGGCCAGTACTACGTCCGGCTGGGCGGACGGGTGGACGCGCTCGTGTTCTCGGGCGGGATCGGCGAGAAGAGCGTGGAACTGCGAGAGGCGGTCGTGCAGAGCGTGGGGTGCCTCGGGTTCGAGGTGGACCCGCATGCAAACTCGCATGTCACTGGTCAGGGTGGGGTCGTGATCGACGTAGGGAGGAGCAAGAACGACAAGAAGGTCCTGGTATGCAGGACAGATGAGCAGGTATGTCTGACCTCGGTCCCTCTATCACAGCTCAATCACACTCATCTCGGTGATGCATAGCTTGAGATGGCGAAGGAATGTGCTCAGACAGACGAGTTCTGGAAGTGAGCTAATAACTTACGCTGGCAACATGCATAATTCCCACCATTTATGTGTTGGGCCAATGCAAGCTGATCATGCGTGGCGCTACCGACTATTCATATCTACAAGGTATCCTGGTTATAGTGTCATCCTGAGGTCTAATTTCTGGATGCTAGTAATCAGTCGTCTCAGGATCTCTAGGTTGGCTTGATTGAGATGTGTGCCTGCTGTTCCTCATGCCTTAGGCCTCCCCGCCCCTCCTGGTCACCGTGGCTGGCGGAGAATGGTATTATACACTTAACAGGCTTGATGATCTCCATGCTCCGGTCGGATTGAGCGTTCGGAACAATAACCTCTATTACAAACGGAAGGTGTCAATGTCGTCTGCGCTCAGTCGTTTGTTGCTGAATTTAGAGGATGATGACTTTGACGCCCGCGAAGCCCTGGTAACCTCCATGGGGCGCTTGCGGCCTAAATATATCAATTGAATATTAAATACCATGTACGAGGCAAGGCCTTGGGCGATGATTCCGACATGCTCATTGATCCTGTCTAAGTATGTTGTACGCCTGTTGGAACAACCCGACCAGATCTGTCCTATCTGGCCTTAAAGCCCAGTGAAAAATAGCTCTGAGCTGATCGACGCTGGTGTGAGCTCATATGTGTTATCGATTGCCATCCGAGCTCTTATGCGTTGATCAGAGCACAATATGTGACTCACGTCAATGTCTCGCGGACGCCATTAACGTTGTGCTTGGCCTGCTTGCACTGCGCGCGTGTCACTGTACGAGTTCTAACATGAATTGTTTTCCGCATGTGCGCATAGTTCGCGGCTGCCCTGTTTCCCTCCTGATTCCATGGCATCCTCATCGAGTAACTACCGCTGGTGCAACGAGCCTGTCTGATGCAGTCAGTGCTAGCTATACTGGATTAGCTCGGTCAGCTCGACACATTCAGTGACTTTGTTCATGGGGATGAATACATCAAAGGCGAAGAATGTCAACTCGTTTCTGTATCCAGGCCTGCATCATCTCGGTGCTCTCATGAACGAAGGCCTGCCCGTCTGGGATCCATTACGTCAGGTACACTATCTTTCGTAGCCTTCTGACGTCACTCTCTGCCTCCACAGGCGCCCGGTCTTCCTCTCCCCACGTCTCTGCGCTCTTCCTTTCCTCTCCCCACTGCCATACACACTCACTGCCCCCAGTCCGCGCAAACGACGTTAAAGCTGCCTACACTGCCTATGTCTTGTCTGACAAGGAAAATGGAGAGATCACGCGTGAAACAACTGCGCGGGGCCGCATACAATCCTGGTGCACATATTGAAGGCTCACGAGTGAGAGCTATACAGAGTGACGTTGGCTTCAGTACGAACTTAAGGGGCGGACTCGGTAAACACATATACAGAGTTGTATCTAAGGTACGTCAGTATTATAGTATGGGGCGAATAATGCGCTAACGACTCGCTTCAGTACGACCTTAAGGAGCGAACTGAAGCCTGCTCGTGTCCACGATGCGAACACTCTATCGAACGAAAGGGGACCCGAACTGTATAGTACGCCATACAACGAGCAAACAAAGTCCGAGTCGCGCCATTGGCGCATCATCGCCGGACGTCTCAACGACTTCTCGAAGGGGTCTCCGACGAAGCCCGCGCTAAGGCTTGCGCTCTGACAGTGCAATCCTGCTGATTCTTTGTTACACGCACAGAGTGCGTGTGCCATGGTTGCACAACATCTCATCTGAAGGGTTCATGCACGAAAAGATTGCGCAGGCTCGCGCACAATCTTGGTACGCAAATCTTGGTGTGCAATCCTGTTGATTTTATGCAATATGGAGCTCTAGCTCTGCCCCTTGTGTTTCTGAGTATCCCCCGCGCTACGGTAGGCACGACCGCTCTCCTCCTCCGTGATCATGCATACGAGCGAAACGGGGCGAGTGCTGGGTCCGCTCGCATAACATCGGGTGGACGGGGTTCAACTCGGCTGTTTGACAGAGTGCGACGTGGGCGCAAGAGGATACCATGGGACCATGGGATGGGCTCTCAGCTGGCACGGTCAGCGTTGGTACGTCCCCTTTACATTTGCCGTTTGCCATTCTGCTGATCTGTGTGTACATATTGCTCGTCTATCTAGCCCATCTGCACCCCCTACGTATCACCCTCGCACTGTCCCTTGTATCCGCACTCCTGTCATGGTAAGCTCTGCACCATGTTCGCATATTTAGAATATTCCCGCTGACCGCGTGTCCCCACACATCGCGCCGCAGTGCGCACGAGGAGGTGGAGGTGCAACTACCAGGCGGATGGGTGACGAGTGCGAGGATCAGGTGCGCAGGGTACAGAGAGCGAGTGGAATGGGGAGCGGGGAGCAGGGAGCAGGGAGTAGGGAGCGGGGTACGGGGAGCAGGGAGCAGGGAGTAGGGAGCGGGGTACGGGGAGCAGTGTTATGTACTCATATGGACGCATACCAGCGAGGATGTTCGAATTAATATAATATGCGTTGATATGTGCTAGTCGATTCGAACATACTCACACATATCGCGACACACTGACACAGATAACGGTATGTGTTTTTGCCATTTAGTATGTTACGATATGGGCAGGTATGTGTTTTGGGGCCCTCGGACCGACGCATACCAGCGTCGATCAGCTCAGAGCTATTTCTCACTGGGCTTAAAGGATGGTCCTACTCCATCTTATGCTGTTCAACGCAGTTACGGTCTCATTCATTGCCAGCAGTCCATACCTATGCAGTGTTCGGAGCTGGTGACTTGTATGCAATGACGACAAAAGTAAAATGATCCGATGCAGTGACTTATATACATGGACGATGCGAGATGCACTAGTACAACGAAATTTTGAGAGAGATATTCTACATGAGAACGGAGATCAGCATCTACATCTCTAAGCGAAATCGACGCGACGATGTCTGGAGGAGCGGCCACGAAGTCCGTCGTCAAGAACTAAGAAGCCACGGGGCCCTGAATTACGATAGAACAACATGAAAGCGCTGTGAGAACCTGAACGAGTGTGCGGGGACTTTACGCCGCGGATGAGGTGTTGGCGTCGGGATGGGGCGAGGAGAGCTGCAGATTTTCCATCGCCAAGTCGAGAGGATCGGGCGCGCCGGCAGAGTAGGCCTGCGCATTGGTCGGCTGCTCGCTCGCCGCCGCACCAAAGACAACCTCGGGACTCGTGCATGCCGATACTGCGCGCCGCATGCCCGTCGACAAGAACGACAGGCCGACCTGGTACGAGGCTGCGAACACGGAGCTTGTCAGCGATCCCGCTGGTTCTGGCAACGAAGCCACGCGTCGTCTCACCATTCATCCAGCCGAAGCCCTCACGGGGGACCATCTTGAAGTCGACACCTTGGTTGCCATACTCGGCGTCTACGAGGTGGGACAGCCGGACGGCGTCGAACTGTCACACATGACGCGCCCGTTAGGTCTCGACAGAACTCTCTGCACCGGGGGCGCGGCGGGGGGAACCAGATGTGTACGCACCTTCTCCGGCACCACGCCGTTGAAATCCACGAACGCAGTCGTCATCCTATCAGGTGTTCCATGAGTTGACTGACGGCTGCCACAGCCTTTGCGCGGCTGCAACTCACATGTATAGCCACCGGTACGCCAGCCTCTGGGCATCTTCCAGGTACCCATACCGCTCGAGCCCGACCCACGTCATGATCTGATGCGGTGGCCTGGGAGACAATTCAATTCAGTACAGCGCGCGGCATCGCGTGTGGGGGCCACACTGACCAGGCAAAGCTAAGGGCCCAGACATATATCTATATCAGCACCATGACGCAGGGAACATGCGGAGAACACGCACGGGTAGTCCCATTGGCGGTTCGGCCTGTCAAGCGAGATCTTCCCGCGGGACTCCTCGGTCCCAGAAACGAGGCCACCCAGCACTTCGAACTTCTTCAGCGAGTGCGAGCTGCGCAGCGGCGGCGTCAGCGGGGCAATTCAGTCGCACGCAGATATATATACGGGCGCGAGAGGCAAACGCACATCAGCTTCCAGCACTGCTCCTCGCTCGCGCACCCCGCCCAGAGCGTCCAGAACGCCGTCACGCTCTCGTAGAGGATCTGCTTCTCCTGCACGGTGTCGTAGTCAAAGTACAGGCTCTTGCTCTCGTTCCAGCAGTACTTGTCGATCGCGCGCTTCCGGAACGCCGCGCGCTCGAACCAGATCGCGCTCGACTGCGCCTTCGCGCGCGAGCTCGCGCGGTGCGGGCTCGCATACGCCGCGGGCGACGGCGGGAACGGCGCGAGCGGGAAGTCCTCCTCGAGCTCGAGCTCGTCGTCAAACACCTCGCGGATCGCGGTCCCGATGTCGATCTCGTACTTGTACAGCAGCGCCTGCAGGTCGACCGTGCCCAGGTTCGCGCAGCGCTTCTCGAAGCGGTACGTCGTGTCGTGCCCCGACTCGCGCACGGAGCGGTCGTGCAGGAAGTACTCGTCGAGCGCGGGCTCGCGGATCGCCCCGTCGTTGTAGCGCTCGCTGAACTCGAGCACCGACAGCCCGTGCTTCGCCGCGTACGGCTCCAGGACGTGCGTGAAGTGCGTCGCCTCCGTCTCGGGCGGGATCCCGAGCCCGTCCGGGCGGTACCGCGAGAGCCCCGACTTCGGGTCCATGCGCGGCTCCGCGACCCACACCGTGTGGTACTCCTTAATCGCCGCCTGGATCGCGCGCTTCAGCCACGCCCGGTTCGCGTCCATGTCGCTGCGGTCCAGCTGGTTGTAGATCTGCAGCGCCATGTCCGTCAAGAACGGCGGTTGCGTCCGGCAGAGGTAGTAGCTCCGGCTCCCGTTCAGGATCTTGCCGTAGTGCTTGATCTCGAAGATGAAGTGGTCCACCATGCCCCTGGCCAGGTTCACGTACCCGTCCACCAGCAGGCCGAGCGAGATGAAGTACGAGTCCCAGTTGTACAGCTGCGTCGGTCGTCGCTGTCAGCGCACGCCCGACAAAGCGCGCGATGGCGCCACTCACCTCGTTGAACCGTGCTCCCGGGACGACGAACGGGATGCCCTTCAGCGTCTTGCCGCCCTTCCCGTCGCTCACCTCGTTCATGGCCAGCGCGAGGATCCCGGGCTTGTGGTTCAGGCTCTTCACGAAGTGCGGGTCGTCCGGC